ATTTATAAAAGCGAATTTGCAAAAGGAAAAAAAAAGTTCAATTACAAGTGAATTCACTTTTAAAGGCTATTAAAAATTTTAGTTGGCCTCGTTTCGAACGGGTTAATATTTTAATGCGGACCAATTAGCGCAGTAACCTTTTAGAATCTATTTTCATTTTTCGATTAATTTTTCTATATTGAAAAAAAAAATTTATACTCGTTATGGTAAAATTATTTAAATGTACTTGGATGTGTTTTGGACTTGAGGTTTTTTTTCCAATTCATGTCTTTAATTTTATAACTAAAGACAATTTTCTCTTGTCTTTATTATTTTTGTCTGACTATTATCGATCTTATCTACTTAATAAATTTCATACAATGTGACAAGAATGTTTTTTGACTTAATTTTATTTTCGATTTCAATAAAAGGGCAATTGTTATACAGTTATTCTGCAGATATCAAATTGAGACAGAAAACGAATCAAAACGTTGCTTCGAAACATTTTAATTCGTTTTCTGATGTATCAATTTGATATCTGCAGAAAAACTTTGTATGAACTACAATAATTAGTCTGATGACTATTAGGTGTTTTTATCAGTTTTTATCTTTTTATTTTATTTATTTAATATTTTTTATAAATTTCCCAATTACTTTTTACATTCGGTTACATTTCAGTTTGACTATTCACTGCTTTTTCCACTTGCCAGTAGAAAAGTGTCTGACCTAAATTATTTCGTACCACTGAATCTGCATATATTTTGAAGATTTTCAAAAATTGTGTAGGCAGAGATTTGAGAAATAGGTGAAAAATGATTATTTCAAGAGGTGGTGTGTTGGTAATAATTGGTTTTGGAAGGATGTCGTCATGAGCCACAGGAGTGTCGTGATGTTGTCCGGAAGCGACGATAAATGTATGTATGCGAGAGTAGAAACTGTTTCCTCCTCCACAGCGAAAGATGGAGAACACCTGCTTGATGCATATGTTACCTGTGTGTGTTGCGAAACAAACGTATCACGCCTCGACACGACGTGATGCGCCCTGTGATATCCCAGCGTACATACCTGTTACGTGCAACCGGCTGGCATAAATATGTATGGGACATGAATGCCTAAGCGTGTACAGGACGATCCGAGAGAGAGAGAGAGAGAACTTTGAGGAAACGCGACTTGAATTAGGAACAACCGAGCATCGCTTCCGCTTTCCATTCGCGCCAATTCATTCAGTTTACTCATGGAAAACCTCATTCAACCTCATTCATTTCGTTAATAGTCCTCCATCTGCTTCTTATTTTTTATTACACGCTCCGAATGGAAAAATAGTCGGACGCACAAAAATTCATTTTCAAATATTTACAAGCAATCATGACATGAAAAATTATATTTTTTACTATTGAAAGCTGACTACTCCTATATATAGTCAAAAAATAGTCAGACTTAGTAAAAAAATTACCTTCTGTTAAAATCAGTTATAAAATAAAAACGTTTTCAAGTATAAAAGTACATTAACCGATTTAATAATGTTTATACTGTAACATTTTGCATTTGTTGAATTTTATACGTCATACATTTTGATATAATAGAATTTCAAAACTCACATTTCCGAATCAAAATGTTACAAAACAAAAAAAGCAAAAGAAAAAAAAAAGTTTCTCTTAGAGGATAAAAATACTTAGCGGTGTTGAATTTCAATAAAGGAACTTTTTCAAGTGCGATAGATCTAGACACTAAACGAAACGAGAAAAGTTTTTCAAGCCTCATTGGAAGTTGCTCGCGAAGGTATAAAAATTTCATTTAATTTCAAGAAACTTAAGCTCATCTTGATTCTTCCATAATCAAGGTCAATTCGATATCAATGAATTTAATTATTATTATTATAATGAAAAAGAGAAAGAAACTTGACGTTTAACTGCAGTCGACACCTAACAACATTTTCTACAGCCACCTAATCCAGTGAACAAGGTCGGCGTACCGCAACACATACACATTGACATTATCAAGAGTATGGTGAGCATAAATACGAGAAACTGGTGAGGCGATGGTGAGAAATCTTCCCACCTCTCTCTCTCTCTCTCTCTGTGCCGTGGATGAAATAAGAAAACACTATATCGAAAAAAGGGGAGAGAGAAAGAGAGAGAGAGAGACGAAGCAACGTTTTCTTTGCAAAAGGCAACGAAGAAGCAATTTAATATCGTCTTCGCGGACGGAATAAAAATACGGAAATAAATAGCCCATATTCTCCTAACTCGACCCGCGCGATGCAACGAGGAATACGTGATGCCACTTTTTTCCTCCTCTTCTTTTTTTTCTCCCTTCTACTTCAGTTGTGCGCTTTTCGATTTCCCTCATTTTTTACCTTTTCTTTAAAAGGATCAATGTAATCATGAAATTTGTATTCAAATAAATGTCGTAATAAAATATGGCTCAGGGCAAATTTTATTTATTATTATAGACAGAGGAAAGTAATGTAAAAGTATCGAGTATCAATTTTCTCATCCGACAGCAGGAATAGGTTACAATTCATTGAATTCACTATTTGTTCACTATTTGTTCACTATTTGTTCACTATTTGTTTACAAGGAAAATGGTATTAAAATCATTAAATAAAAAAGAATTCACTATTTGTTTATAAAGAAAATGGTCTTAAAATCATTAAATAAAAATGAATCAATAAGTAGAGAAAATGGCCAATAGACAAATAATTCAATCAAATTAAATTAAAGAGTTAAGTTACGTATTTCTATTCAACGCGTGTTTTTAAGTAGAAAAGATCGATTTAGTCAGTCAGTAAAACTTTGATTAAATTACAGTTTTTTGACTTAATTTGATATCTGAAGAAAAACTGTGATCATATTGATTATTACGGAAAATTATGCTTTTTACTAAAAAAAGTGATTTTTACTAAAGCTAAAAAATGGTTGAAAAAGAAAAAAGCACATTTCATTTAGAAAGCAAAAACTTCTTATTAAACAATATATTCTGAAAGTAGAAGAAGCCTCATGGATAAAAGAAATTATTAGCAGAAAAAAACATTCCAAACCAGACCTGTCTTGATAAAATAAAGTAAATAATCCTTTTTTAGTTAAAAAAAAATTGACTTTGATTAAGATTAAGGAATTTCTTTAGCAGAAAAGCAGGTGTGATCAAACACTCCACTCAAGGAAAAACCTCACTGGTCGTCAATTCACTTTCAAAGTAAAAAGAAAACTTGATAGTCAGACAAAATTTTATCCCAAATGAAAAAAATGTCAGGTTAATTTAAAGACTTGAATATACCTAGTTTAATTATTAAGTAATTTATAGTAAAAAATTTACTTTCATTAAATATAAAGAATTTTTAAGTAGAAAACCCCGTTATGTCTAGACATTCAAAAAAGAAAGTAGAAAACTTTTTCAAAAGTCACGCAAATTTACCCTCTTTAGGACAATTTAAGACAACTTGAATAAATAAGTTAAGTATAAATAAAGTACGTATGTAAATAAAAAAATGTATTCCAGGAGATAAGTAGAAAAGTCTTGGAATAGTCAGACAAGTGAAGATTGTTTATCAGAAGTAGGTAATACCTTTTAATAGTTGAATTAAATTAAAAACAAATTTTGTTCTTTAATTTTATAACTAAAGTAGAGGATTTTTTCTTGCCTTTATTATTGTTGTCTGAATATTATCGACGTTATCTACTTAATATTTCATACAGTCTGACAAGAAAGTTTTTTTACTTAATTTTATTTTCGATTTTATTTTCGTTCTGTTCCACTAGAATAATCTTTGAAAGACATTTTTAGTGTTAAGTGGTAAACTCCTGCAATAATCAGACTTACTTTTTTAATTTTTTGTTTTTTTAATAAAAAAATGCGCAATTTCCATTCCTTTGATTGAGTAAAATATACCAAAGTGATAATTCAGCAATTATTATAATAATAAGAGAAAATTAACTGAAATAATATTGAGCAAATAAGTTTGTAATTCTTGGTTTGTTTGCCGAGTGGTTGCTTTAGGGGATTATATTGTGGAGATGTTTATCTTTCCAACTCCCATTATATTCCTCTGGAGTTTCTCTATAATTATGACTTCTGGTAACGTTACTTTATTGAAGCATTATGTCAATGTCGCTCCAATGTCGACATCTCAATGGTGTCGAGAGTATCATTCTCGTCTTTCAACGTTTCAACCGACTTACACCATCCTTATATAAACGTAAAATAGCTTCTTCTTTGGAAAAAAAATCCTCTCGTAATTTTCCAAAGTGTCGGAAAATACATTAACTCTAGAAAAGTTGTAAAAAATCTACAGATTTACTGCCGTAAGTTGAATTAAAACGAAAAAAAATAAATTTACCTCAAAGTAAAAGAAAATTATTAAATAAAAATTAAAAGAAAAACAAGACTTTCTCATTTTTGATGAGAACATGTAATAAATATATCTCGGAAAAAGTTTATATTTTTATAGTGAAAATACTATTTACCTGTTGACTAACATTTCTATGCATTTTCTCGCATACTATACATTTTTTTTTTTTTAATATTGAAATGTAGATTAATGAATTTTTTTCAAACTTTTTTCTATTACCGCAGTTTTGTTTTCTATCTTATTTTATATGTATAAGCACAACTCACAACATTTATGCGCAGAAAGCCCCCTAGGAATCGAGAGCTTTTCACTTGTAAAAGGGAAGTTGCTATTTTCTCGTTTCGTATTCAATATTATGGTTTTTTGAATTCAGCACGACAGAATATTTTCATATGTGCATAAATTTGAAAAACGAAAAAAAATATAGTGAAAAAGATACGCGACCAATTTTATTGAAAAAAATTTTATTTATATTCAATCCACAAGACTTATCTCTACGAATTTTAATAAATTTTATTTCTACGCAGTCATTGTAGAAAAAATTACATACATATTATAATTTTCTTATACGTATATTATATTTCATATTTTTTATTTATTGAATAAGGGATTTGAAAAATGTTGGAAAAAATGTTACATTTCTTTGAGATTAAGTTTTTTTTTCTTTTTCCAGGCGGAAGATTTGTGGTGACATCGCAGGGTGATCTTCATATCAGAGCAGCTAGAGAAGAGGATGGAAGAGCTGTGTACTCCTGTCTCACTTGGCACGCATTAACGGGAGAACGAAGAAAAAGTGAACCAGCAACATTGACAGTCACAGGCAAGAACATTTTTTTTCAAAAACTCCTTTATTTTTGGTGACCTATTTTTTAAAATTAACAAATAACGTTTTTCTACAAAATTACATGAAACGCTCAGAAAACGTTTAAATAACTTTTTTTTAACCCAAAAAGTATAAATGTAATATTAGTAGTTCGGAGTATTTGTTGAATAAAAAATTATTATATTTAATTTATAATAAAATAAGTAAAATTGAAAAAATAGTAGAGAAAAGAAGAAGCCAATAAAGCAAAACATAAACATAAATTTTTGTACATTCAACAGAGCCAAAGGATCTCCTGCCACCGAGGCTGATGCAGCACCCTCAGATCGCAATTTCTGCTGAAAGGGATTCAGATGTGCATCTTACTTGCTCAGCACAAGGGAATCCTCCTCCACAATTTACCTGGTATAGGGATATAAACGGTAAATTTAACCGATATTTTCTATTCGAACCAGTCGATTTCAAATTTCATTACTTATATTGAAAATTCTGAAAGAGCTTAACAATAACGTATTTTTCATCTCTTTCAATTCTGAGAGAAAGATTTTTAACTTTTCAAAAATAAAAAATGCAATTAGTAACAATGTAGACCATATTTTTTTCTATTCAATTACCATCATAATATATTTATGCGAAATAAGAAATAATAATAATAATAATAATAATAATAAATGTACATGCATAAAAAATTATCAGTTTTCGGCGATTATACGATATGTAATGAATAATTGAAGATTGTTTACAAATGTAGAACAATCAATATTGAATATGAAAATATATTTACATTGTACACATTGCTAAAGAGTATAATGTTAATTTAATTTTAAAATGCAGTGAAACAGGAGAAAATTGATGAAAATTTATTATCGTCTTGCAGGAAGTTCCGTTCGAGTTGAATCTTACGGTCGGATTCAACTTTGGGGAGATTTGATGCAAATTCGCCGTGTAGACGCTCAGGACGCAGGGAGGTATATTTGCAATGCGAGTAATCAGTTAGGTGTACAACGAGCCGAAACGCACCTTGCTGTTACGTCAAAACTCAATGCTCGTATTCAGCCACGACTTCAGGTATAACAACAGGACAAAAAATTACATTTTGCATCTTGACATTTTATTTCTCCAATTTTATTTCTCCAATTTTATTTGCTCAAATCAGAAAATAAATATTCTTCAAAATTCAAACGGTTTCATTAAGTAATTAATTATATTTAATTACTGCCTTTTTCATTAGTAAAAAAAATGTACTGGAAATTGAATTTCTTTTTGAATGTCAACTAAGGTGAATTAAAATAATTAACGTAATTACTTACATGATTATATTTTTAATTAATTCTTTTAATTCACTTTTCAGTGTAATTTCGATTTTTTAGTTAAAATTATTTTTCACTTTTCCATTTTCATTTGGCAAGCAATTTTTTTTGGCTCAAAATCATTTTAATATTTTATATATAAACTTCTATTAATTTACTATAACAAATAACGGAGAGAGAATTTAAAAAAAAACATTTTATCAACTTTTAAGCTGAACCAAATTTTTTCTTTTTTTTCATTGTGAATTTATTTTTAAAGCTAAACAAAATTGAGAAAAAATCTGAAATTTATAAAAAAAGATTCCTACAAATATTTTTTCATCATTTCCATTAGACTAGAAACTTTTACAAATCATGAATTATTTTTAAATTTAGTTTCATTTATTAAAACATTAAATTTTTTCCAAACAGGTGTATTTTTTAAATTAAATTAATTTCAGTATCTAATTGAAATTATCTTTATTATATAAATGCTTTTATTTAAATTAAATTATTTTTTAACTTGAACTAATTTTTCTAAATTGTTAGATAATTATAAAATTTGTAGGCAAAAAATTGACATTATTTTAGAATTATTTGGAAGAATTTTCTATTTTTTAAATGAAAATCATTTTTAATTTTGCAAAAAATTTGTCAACTAAAATATTTGTTTTAAACTTTTAATTAAGGTTATTAATTCGGGAGAAATGGCAGTCATGAATTGTACAGTTGAGGGATATCCAGTGGAAAGTGTCGAATGGTTACACGATGGTGTTCCAATTTTAACAGCTCATGAGACGAGAATTAAGTTATTGAATCCTCTGGTTTTACAAATTAATTCAGTGGGAAGAAAAGACAAGGGAATGTATCAGTGTTTAGTTCGAAGCGATAAGGAAAATGCGCAGGCAACCGCTGAATTAAAATTAGGAGGTGAGTGGAAGTAAATTCTTTGTGATTAATAATAAAATTTGTGTCTTTTTAAAAAATTCATGTCTATAACTCTTGAATTTTAGATACCGTACCAGAATTGCAGTATACTTTTATCGAGCAGGCTTTGAGGCCTGGCCCTCCGGTTTCCCTTCGATGTTCAGCGACAGGTTCACCTCCGCCTTCGTTCACCTGGTTTTTGGATGGCGAGCCATTGGGCGAAATAATGTCCGGTCATCGGTGAGAAATTATTATTTTTATTTAGCCTTTCCTTCAACAATTTAAACCTCTTTCATTGAGTTACTAAATAATAATTATTATTCGATTATTTGCTTTAAATTTAAAAAAGTAAATTTAAATTTCCTTTAAATTAAATAATTTATTGGAAAAGTGTTTTAGTTAATTTTTAGATTGTATTTTTGAGCTTTACTTAATTTTAGTTCATAATTATTGATATATTTAGTTATGTTATGAATTTTTTTTGTTACTGTTGCACTTTAATTTTAGTTTCAGCTTTTTAAAAATTAGTGTCTTAAATTTTTTCTTCTATTTTCCAGATATGCTATCGGACAATATGTCGATCAATCCGGAGATGTGATAAGTCATCTAAATATCACATCAGCATCATCTGAAGATGGTGGTCTTTATTCTTGCATTGCTTCTAATTCTCTCGCCTCCACGACTCACAAAGCAAGACTCAATATTTACGGTATTTCAAATTTTATTTTGAAATTCACTAAACATGAAAAATACATTCTTTTAAAGAAATTTTATTTCATTCCCTTTCTTTTATATCTTGTTTTAATTATTCTACAGTTAATATTATTAAATCGAATTTAGTTAAACATTAAATTAAATAATAATAAAATTCTTATTTATAATGCACATTGCACATGTAATAGTAGTATTTTGTTATATTATTATATCCAGAGTTCTCCTTTTCCCCAGGACAACCTTACATTCGATCAATTGGACCAATCCGAGCGATCGCTGGAGTGGATACTACAATTGCATGTCCCTATTCTGGATATCCAATAACATCTGTAGAATGGTCGAGAAATGGAATAGGATTACCTCTCGATATTAGACACCGAGTGGACAATGGACACTTGACTATCATCGACGTAGATCCTCAAGATGCTGGAATTTACACTTGCACCGTTCGAGCCAGAATGGGTCAAACAGCCAGCAGAGATATTCAATTTTTCGTCAGCAGTATGTTCCATTTCATTTATTTTACAAATAGACAAAAATAATTTATTTATTTATTTTATTATACATTTTAGGTCCACCAGTTATGAGCCCAATTTTCTTTCCTGCGGATCTTCAGGAAGGTAGTAGAACTCAAGTCTCATGTAGCATAACTTCCGGCGACATGCCGATTCACTTTTCATGGCTCAAGGATGGCGAACCATTGCCATCGTCACTTCTCGTGAGTCTTGAAAAATTCTTCTTTTTATTTACATTTGATATAAAAATAAAAAAAATAAAGTACATCTTTCTCTATATTTCACTTTTTTTAATTTATTTAAAATTTTCTTTATTTTTCTTCTTTATTTGCAGATTGAGGAAAGGGAGGAAACGTTTTTTCACTTTTTGATATTTAAGAATATTTCGTCAAGACACAGTGGTAATTACACGTGTATTGCGTTGAATACTGCGGCAAAAGTTAATCAAACGGCGGAATTATTGGTTCGTGTGCCTCCCCAATGGGTGTTCGAGCCGCAAAATGTTTCGACACTGTTGGGAAGTCTTCTTGTTGTTCACTGTAAAGCTGACGGCTTTCCACCCCCTACGATCACATGGCTGAGAAGTCGAGGTAGAAGTGCAAATAATTATCAACCATTGATTGCCGGTCTCGATGGTCGATTGACAATTTTACCGAATAATACTTTATGGACCGCGTCGGCTGAACCACAGGATGAGGGTCATTACTTATGTCGAGCAAATAACAGTATTGGAACTGGTCTTAGTAAAGTTATCTACGTTTCTGTAAATGGTATGCCCTTTTTTAACTTACTTTTCTATTTCTCAATTATTTTTTATTACTATTTTTTATAATTGAGAATGATCCCTTTATAATTATTCTAATCAATGAATTATCACAGAACCAGCGAGATTTGAATTTCAAAGCAAGAATGTCACTATTCGTCGGGGGGAATCAGTTACTCTTGATTGTACCGTGATTGGTGACGACCCAATTGAAATAAAGTGGCTTCATAATAACAACCGAATGAATACAAATGGCCACAGACTGAGCGTCAGTCAAGTGAAGACAGATAATGGTCTAAAGTCTCAGCTTTCAATTAGAAGTAGTGATCGTCAGGATTCTGGAGTTTATAGATGTACTGCCGACAATGCTTACGGTCGAAGCGAACATCTCATTTATTTTGCAGTTCAAGGTCAGTAAATCCACATTACCCCTCATTATTATTTTTCTCCAATTAATATCTAAATACTCGGTTTCTTTAATCTAATTTCCCTTCAACAGAAAAACCAGATCCACCAACGAATCTCGAAGTAATAGAAATTGGTTCGAGATCGATTCGACTTTCATGGAAAAAGGCGTTTGATGGAAATACTCCAATTCATAAATACGTTATTCAATATCGCCCGCTTGGTCATGGAATCACCGATGATTGGGATCCGTTAAAAGCTCACAATGTTTCCTTTAGTCCAGGTTTATTGAGTTTTGAATCTGCAATGAATCCAAAGCAAAATGGTTAGAATACAAATTAATAATACAAAACACAATTATTTTAAAATATATTTTGTTTTTTTTTTAAATAAAATATATGTTATCAATTGTTGTGCAGGTCTATCACATTATGAGGTGTCAAATGAAGATCAAGAAGTTGTTCTGGTTAATGGATTGCATCCTGCAATTACCTACACTTTTCGAATTTTTGCCATCAATAATATCGATGGAAGTTCGCCGACTGATCCGGTAGTTGCAAAAACTCAAGAAGAGGGTAAATAAAAATCCCTTTTAAAAGTTTCATATTAAAATATAATTTTAATTAAAAAGAAAAATTTGAGTGTATTTAAACTGAATGACTACAAAATTTTTTCTATATACAAAAATTCTCAACTCTTATAAACGGAAAGTAATTAATTAAAAATTCTTTTAGCTCCTACTGAACCGCCTCAAAGTATCAAAGTTAAATCGGCTGGACCTGGAGAATTAATAGTTAGCTGGCAGGTTAGTTTGTTTTAAAAATCTAATTTTCCCAATTTTTTTTTTTTTTTTTGAAAACTGAAATTGTAAATTATTATAATCAATTAATAATTACAAATGTGAAACTTTTTAAGGCGCCTCCGAAAGAATCATGTAATGGAGATCTTTTGGGCTACATAATAACGTGGTCAGAGCATTCGACCTCGACATCGGGTGTTAATCAAAGTAAAAGTTTGACTGTGAATGGTTGGGCAACAACAAAAGTTCAATTAACAGGTTTAAGAAATTATACAAAGTATGACATCTCCATTAGGGCTTTTAATAGTATCGCGAGTGGACCGGCAAGTGTTCCTGTCGTTGGAACGACACAAGAAGGAGGTAATGAGAAATATTTAGTGATTTTAATTTTAATTATAAATTTACAAGTTTTCTAAAGGTATTTTATTCAGAAAATGTCATTTACAGTGCCAGGCGCTCCGCCAACTCAAGTCACTTGTAACCCACTTTCGTCACAAAGTATTAAGGTTTCTTGGCATCCTCCGCCTTCTCATCAACACGGAGGTGTCATTCAAGGATATAAAGTTTACTACAGGCCGGTGCCTACCGAAAATAGTAAATTACTCTTCATATTTTTATGACATTTCTGAAAGTCTAAAATTTGACAATGAATTTTTTTTGTACTTTTATTACTTCTGTACATGGATTTTATTTTTCATCTCATTTTTTTTATTTATAGTGGAGATATCGACTGTTGGTGAAGTTAAAAAGATCTTGGGTGTTGAAACGTACCTGCACACTTTATACAAATATACAAATTATTCAATTAGAGTCTTAGCTTACACAAGTGCCGGAGATGGAGTTCTTAGTCCTTCAATTTATTGCGCTACTGAAGAAGATGGTACGTTAGCTTGATATTTAAAATAAAATAAACTTTTAATGGTATCAGAAATTGAAGAAATCACGATCTCAAAGTTTAAATTAGGCAAAGTATTAGTATTTGTAAGAAAATTGTGTTTCTTTATGTTTATTATAAATAAACACAAGTATATTATATTATAAAAGAAGAATATTATATTTCTTAGAATTGATTATAATGTATTTTGTTTATATATTTTCAACTTATTTAGCATTGTTTTAGAAATATATTTATTTATTGCAATTTTTGCATTAGTTCCAGGACCACCTGCGGGAATAAAAGCTCTATCTCTTACAGTGGAGAGTATTTTAGTTTCGTGGTTACCACCATTGCAGCCAAATGGAAAAGTTTTAGAATACACGGTTTACAGTAGAGAGGCTGGTTCACCACGACAAAATAGTCAAGTTATGCATGAATCGCCTCTGTCTTCGACTGACACTCTTACAATGGAATTGCGTGGCTTAAACGAACGGTAATAATTTATTTTCTTTATTAGTTTTTAATTTAAATATTTAGAATTGGAATAAAATTTAATTTCTTTTTCAATTTTTTAATAATTGTAATTTAATTTAATTTATAGGCAATTGTATGAATTTTGGGTATCGGCGACAACAAAGCTTGGTGAAGGTGAATCGACAACAATCGTGACACAAACGACAAATACAAAAGGTATTTATTAGGTATACAAAAAAAAAAAAAAAAGAAAAGAAAATTATATAAAAGGACAAATGTCCTTTTATATATAATTTTTTTATTCTTGTTTTTTAACTTTGTTTAACTTTAAATTTATCACTGTTTTTCTCTAGCTCCAGCGAGAGTAGCTTCTTTTTCTCAAATTTTGCGAAGACCTGTTAAGTCATCGGTTGTTTTGTCCTGTCTTGTGGTTGGAAATCCGACACCTCGACCCAACTGGACCTACAAAAATAATCAAGTTTCTTCTGGAAGGCACTACGAAATAACAGCTGATGGTCATCTCAATATCCACGGTATTTAATATAATAAAAAAATTATGTTAATTTAATTAAATTATCTTTATCGTTTATTTGAATTTTTATTAATTTATTTAAAATTTAATTTAACAAACTTTAAGGCCTAGATCAGTCAGTTGCTGGAAATTATACTTGCTCAGTGAATAATTTATTTGGAGATGATTCTATAACATACACCTTAATTGTTGTAATGCCACCGAGAGCACCAATTCTTGAACTTCAATACACAACGACAGATAGCATCAAACTTTGTTGGAATCATCCTGATAATGGTGGCGCGACTATACAAGGTATTTTTTTAATAAAAAGAAATGTGGAATAATTTTTAAAAGAATAAAAATTATTTTCTCTTATTTAAAATTAATAATTTTTTAATTCATGTTTTAGGATATGTTTTAAGTTACAAACGGGATCAAGGAGGATGGGAGGAAATGACCCTATCTCCCGAACACACGGAATTGACATTAAGTGGTCTAAAGTGTGGATCATTTTATCATGCTCATTTAACTGCCTACAATCGAGTCGGAACTGGAGATCCAAGTCCGTTGATTAGTGCCACAACGAAAGGAACAGGTAATTGTAATTTTTTCCAAACTATTCATATTAAAAATCAAAGATAAATTTTTGATTACTATTTCTTCTAATTGCTTATAAATTTTGTATTTAAACTCTTTTCTTAAGCGCCTCTTTTGCCGAGAGAACGTGACATTGTGTCAGCGAATTCAACATCGGTGCGTTTAAATTTATCGGCCTGGCCAAATGGAGAATGTTTAATTCATTTTTACACTGTTGAATATCGAAGACGAATAGGAACTGAACCGTGGATTTTAGTTGCTAATAGGGCAACTGAAAATTTGTTAATTAGAGATTTGAAACCGGCGTCTTGGTATAGTTTACGTTTCACTGCGCACAACGATGCGGGCTCAACTCAAACACAAATGGAATTCGCTACAACAACTCTCAGCGGAATCAGCATTGGTCCTCCGAATGATTTAATCATGGACGATGATACCGTCAAGGGAATACCCAGTTATAAACTCCTTTACATTGTTGTACCACTTATTTGCGCAATTGTTCTCATTATCTCTGCCGTTGTTCTGGGATACGTCATGTTTAAGCGTGCAAGGTCATTATATCACAAATATTTTACATTCTACTTATTTCACATTCTCTAAATGTGATAATTACTTTTGCTTATGATTTACTTATGATAATTATAATTCTAAATTATAAGGAAGGAAATTTTGAACATGTGAAATTTTTATTAGGTCAAGCTACCTAGGAGACATGTTACAAGGTCAACCGCAACCACCTGGTCTGGGATTAAATCAAAGTCATCAATCGCATCATCATTTGTCAAATTGCATGTCTACTGTTCAATTGAAATCCACTGCTGAAAGGGACAACAGAAGAAATCATCAAGTTTACACCAGTTCGCCTGTCAAGCAAGATAATCACAAATCAAACGATCATGGTTCAGGTCATTATCACTGTTACTTGTTTCTTTTCTTGTAAATTATTTTTTATAATCGTTAAGTTCCACTAATTAATATATTTATTTATATTTACTTTTAGAAATGTACGAGATTAGTCCTTATGCGACGTTCAGCGTTCCTGGAAGGGACAATCGATCGGTGACAACGGCGACTTTGGATTACACGATGCAGTTTAAGACGTTTGGTCATTTGGAGAACGAGGACATCAATGCGATTGATTATGAGAGATCGAGCGTGGATTTTGAAAGGTATTTTCACTTGTAATAAAGTGTTTTGACGTTAACTTTTTTTTTCTTTTTTTCTCGGTGTAGTCTTGTTTGAGCACTCGTCAACGAGATCATCCTCGACCCCATTCCGCACTAACAATCATTTCCCTAAAAAATTCCCTGGTCTTTTCTCTTCCTCGTTCTCTTTTTCTCTTACGCGCAGGTCGAAAACGCCAAGGTGGCATAAGCAAAGGTACTTTCCAAGCATCGCTGAGGCCGAGAGCAAACTCCGTTCTAGTCGACAGGGTTCCGGTAGCGATACTTCCGGAAGCCCGTGCGGTGAATGCGCTGGACCAAGTTATCGTGTTCCTGTTAAGCCTTGCAGGGGTAATTTAATCATTAATTTAATCATCTTTAATCATTTTCTCTCGATTTGATTATTCTAGAAGTTTCTTTTGGATTTTGAAAAATTTTTATGAAAGTTCCTAATATAAATTTTTTATTTTTAGATATTTTCTCGCGAGGCGTTGAGTCAAGTACAGAATCTAATAATGAAGGTTCTCCGTCACTAGCGAGAAGACGAAATAGACAGATGAGCAGGTCCACTCGCAGGTAGCCAAGGTTTGTTTGAATCCACTTAGCACTCACAAACCCATTTTTTATCTCAACGTCAAGAGTTGAAAAGTGTTTTTTGAAAATAATGATAGAAAAACACTTTTTATCTCCGATTCATTCACCAAAACTTGATTCAAAATCTTGTCACTGAGAATATTTATCGCAGGTGAATATAATTATCATAATTAACAATAAAATTAATTTTCAATTCTTTACTTTCCAGATATATTTTTGAAAATTATATAATTTAATTTTAAAACTATTTATGAATTTCAATTATCATTTCTATAGAAAACAAGGTTTTGAATATTGCTCTTGGTATGAATTTTTGTATAATTTTTGAATAGAAAGAAATCTCTTCCAACTAATAAGTAAACAAATGTATAAAATTATACAATGATTCTTTAGTTATAGTTTGCAACTGCTACAATAGTAGATTAAAAATGAAAAAATTCCATTACGAAAAAGTTTTTAGATAAAGGAGACAAAGAAATTAAACAATGAAATAATTTTTCTGTCTGTTATTTGAATTTATCCAGACAAAATTTTATAGGCAGAATAAATTCAACTCGCTTGTTTGCTTCTTTATAGAAGAATTGTTATTAATTTACATTTCGTTTTTAAATGGTCTTTTTTCAAAACTTTGTCAAGAAAAAAAAAAAAAAAAAAAAAAAAAAAAAAATGTTTTATCTAAGACAATAATAATAATTTGAACTGAAATTAAAGTTCGGTAGAGGACATGACGCTGCTGCCACCAACTGGATTCAGCGACAGTCGCGAATTGAGCGAGGCGGAATGTGATCGTGATCGCGATCGTGGACGAGGACGAGATTGGCAAAGTTTATCAATCGCTACCCGTCATGGTGGCAGCCTTGGACGACTTCCTATCGAAGCTGTTGAAACAATGCTTGCAAGGTAAAAAATATAGGTAAAAATAGTGTTGAGGATTAACTAATTATCAATGTAAACGAATTGATTACTGATTAAGAGTTGATAAGGAATTTGAATTCAGGTATCAACAGAGGAAGGAGCAGGAGAGGCAAGAATTCACTATTCACGTTTGATAAGGACGAAAATTTATTCATTCCAAATCATCGTTGAGCAATTACAATGACGAGCTTAGGCGAAATAAAATTAATTAAGTAAGTCCTTCAAAAAGAAATTAAACGATTATAAAAAGTGTAACGTTTTAGAGAAAGTACTTTTTTCTATTGGAAAATTTTCCCTTTACAAATGACCATTTTGCAATTGAGAAAATTTTTTTTAACTAAAATTAACAACTCTTATTAAGAAATAAATTAATTTTTAACATTTTTATTTTCTTAAATAAATTGAGTTTTTTACTTTAATATGTAGAAATTTGATAAATTTTTAATTATACAAAATTGCGAAACGGTTAAATGCGAAACGAATACATAAAAAGAGAGTGTTGTAGAAGAACATTTATTTGGAAATTACATTTCAAACAAGAAATTCTTTTTAAATTTGACTAATTGACTTTATCATAAAATAAATAATAAAATCGTTTCTTCTATACGACTCTCAAAAATTCTATAAAGAAAGAAAAAATTTCTATAAGTAAATTATAATAGACTGTCCATGATTGGAGAAGAAAAAAGCGAGTTTACGAAAGAAAAAAAACCGCCAAAAAAACTCGCTCTCAATAATGTATACTAATCCATCGTTAATTGTAAATATCAGTGTTATGTGCATGGCACGGATTCCGTATTGGTATATGACAAAAAAGTCGGGTACTCGTTACCACAAAAAATTTGGTAGCGGTTTCCGTCAACGGTTTATCCGTTTGTATAGATAAAAATGTTTTACGTTGAAAATTTGTGAAAGATAAGCAAAAAAGAATAATTATTAAATGTTAAAAGTATTTCAATCTTCTGAGGCATTTTTGCACTTTAATATTAAAGAATACTAATAGTAATTAATTACTATTAAAGAATAATTAATTATCTTTTTATAAAAAAATGATAATTAATTGTTTCTTAATAATATAATAAATTAACTATATTAGTTATTTAATATTAACTGCTTTTAATAAATAAAGTAAAAAAAATAGAAATCCCTGACTCGATAAAAGTTTTATATATTTACAGTTGATAGACCTTAAATTGTTAAAAATATTTCTGTTGAACTGAATGAAACATTTGTCGAGTCAAGTATAAAAGATAAACGTTTTTTAAAAATAATTTCTTATATTTACAATTACGTAAATAATCTTTTTGTATACTAATTTTTGAAAGTGTCAAAAATGAAAAAAATGTAATATTGTTTAATGCATTAATCTTTATTTTAAAGTTGATAACTTAATTATTCTTTGAAAAATTAGAAAATTCTGTAAAAATTTGAAAACTACAAAATTATCAATATTAGCGTAAATTATTAAAATTTTATTAAAATTAAGATTTTTAATATTATTATTAAAACTATTGATTCTAATAATTTAGAGAAAGGTAATAATGATTGAAAATTATATGTTTCAAAAAGAAAAAACAAGAAAAAAGAAAGATAATTAGTTTAAAAAATTTTGTAGATAGATCTCTAATTTCTGCAATAATTTTACAAATTAATAAAAAAAAAATGAATGTTTTGTAAATATTTTATTTCGACTGATCGAAAGTCTGATAAGATCTACTGCCAATTTAATCATACCGCTGCCAAACAAACTTCTGAAGAGGTGAAAAATAAAAAAAGTCGTCAAACGACCTCTCCTGATCATTATATTTAATGAATGATTAAAAAAATATCATTTTTGATAAACAAAAAAAAAACAAAAGCTCAGAAACTTCTATACTTAATTTCCTACAAGTTTTTACACATAAAAAAATTTTATCTCGAAAAAAACTGGTCAATAGAAATTTTTGACAATCTTTTTCATTTATCTTAAAAAAACTTTGATATATAAAAATTATATGGAGGAAACAACGTCGTTGTACAAATTATTATCATAGAAAAAGAGCAATGAATTTTTTGAAAGTTTATAAAAACTTTTCTATTGAATCCACAATGAAATGAATTATTATTCATTTGTTGTAATTGTAATATTAATATTTTCGACTGAATTAATTTTATAACATTTTTCTTTTAAATTTATAATAAATTCATTGTTTTCTGTACAAGTGATGAGTGAAAAAGAACTTTTACACTTAATTTTTACATTTTGTAAAATATTTTCAATGTTATTTCCAGGAAACACATTGATGGATAAAATAAATAATTATCATGTGTTTATAAAAAGGAAGGAATATTTTCTTATACTTTCCTTAAACTATTCTCAAAAATAATTTAAATAATTATTTAATCATTATTTATTTTCGGATAATGAATTTTTTATTTGATTTTGATTTTTGAGTTTATGGACTGTATACAATTTCAGCATCTGAATCATCGTTATTTATAATTATTTTATAATCTTTATAATGCCATAGGTCGTCTTCACGAACAATTGTCCAGAGGTCTAGAGCTTTTCTAAAAATATGTGGAATTGGTTGAAATCCAGCTTCATGTGCCAATGAATCAAAAAGATCATATTGAGAAAGAAACAATCGGTGAGCATGTCTTTTTTTGTTTCCTTTTAGTTTCGCGTCTTCTAACATAATTTCCTTTGAGGGCAATTTAAATCGCTTTTTTAACATGTAGAGAAAAAACAGAGCCTGAAAGACAATTGCTTTAAAAATTTTTAATTCGACTAACAAACTCTTTGAAAACTTAACCAAACAATTATTTACTTTTAATTCTAATTATTTTATTTGCCAATTAACTAAATAGAAAAGTAGGTAATATTTGTACCTTAACGTGAAACATGGGAAAAGTTATCACGTAACTATTAATACCCAAAAAGCACATTGTAGGTTGATTTATATTAATCGTGTGTTTATAAAGTGGATAGACAAAATTATCATCAACACTTATTGCACAGGATTTATCTAGAAATGGGAATTCCATTAAATATCCTGTACAATACATAAAAACATCAACAATAACTGAACTTCCGTCGATGAAATAAATTTTATTTCCCTCCACACATTTAATATTCGGTACTTGAATGATAGAGGGTGGAAGTTTACTTGTTATTCTAGAAACAAAGAATTTATGAAAAATTAATTAAACCCGAATATTAATCAAAATAGTCACACAAAAATAATAGAAAAATAACAACCTTTCACCTCGATTACTCATATAAATGACATTAGCATAAGTAGACAATTCAACTCCAATGTCTGTAGCCGAAAACGCTGAGCCAAATATTAATATATTTTTCCCAATAAATTCTTCTGGCTTTCTGTAGGTGTGACTGTGTAAAATTTGTCCTGGGAAATTTTCAATTCCTGATACAATTGGTATATTTGGTCGAGAATAATTTCTATAATGAAAACAAATTTTTTTTCTTTTCAATATTTTAATTTAGAAAAAATATCTTAATAATTATATTATTTAACGTACCCTGTGCAAACCATAATTGCATCATATTCTTTGCATACAATTTCCATTGTATTCAAATCTTTTATTTTTACATGCCAAATTGTAATATTTTTATCGCCAGACTGAATTATTTCAGCACGAACTTCTTCTATTTTTTTGAAAAACTGTGAACACAAAATTTTTCTATTTGCACATGCATATTTAAAAATTAATTTTTGTAAATTAGTAATTTTCTTTATTAAATTTTACCTTAATGAAATGAAGAATTTGAAAATGATTAGCGTAATCGCGCAAATATGACAATAGTATTTCTCGATGAACTCCACTTCCTTTATTCCCTTTCATGGTCCGAAAATCTGGGAAATTCATTAATTCACAAGGCGCATTTGATCTGTAACCATAATTTTGATTTCAATTTCTAATATTATTTCTTTTCTAAATTAATTTTTTTTATTTATTCTTTCATTAAAAATTGGACGTAGCGAAGTAAAATTTTATAAATTTAGCTTCAAACCTAAGATCTCTATACATGCTTGTGTGAATTGGAAAACCATTTTCATCTAATCCAATTTTTTCCGTATAAATCCAAATTCCACCAATGTTTCCGGTTTGTTCGAAAGCTTCTGGTTCGAAATAATCCAAATCTGATGATAAATGCCTCAAGGCACATAATCCAGCAGCTCCACTGCCAATCACACAGACCCTCACCTTCTTTTTTGAATCTGTATTTACTAAATTCATTATTCTAAAATAAAACCCACGTATTATATTTTATTTATTAATTAATTAGTTCGTATTCAGTAAATTCAAAATTCAAAATAAAAAAGAATTGTATAAAAAATAAGTATTGTAAATAATAATTAATTTAAAAAAAATTGTTTATTAAAAAATTATTTCTTTTAATTAAGTAAACTACACACGAAATTGTATAGTTATAAACTAACTGAGAAAGCATTGAATATTTATTGAAACGATATAAGCAGTTTGAAATATTCTATATTGTTATCAACAGTAGCAATAAACTATAAGTTACGATAGCTAATTAATCTTTGATCTTGCAATGGGTCATACAAGAAAAAAAATAATTAGGGGAAACTTTTTTCATTTAACATTGAAATATATTTAACAACAGAAAAAATGATTCATCATATGAATCGTTAGATAAAGATAATAATTGATTGATTGATTGAGAAAAAGAAGAAGTGGAAAAATAGTTGAAATTCTAGAAATAAATTACAGACTATTAAAGTAAACATAGAAAAATTATAAAACACAATACAGTTAATTATTTAAAAAAAATATTTTTCATTAATAATAAAAAATTACTTACTTTTCTTATGTATTTTTATTTATGTTGATTGATGATGATATAAATTAAATTAAAGGATAATTAAAGTGTAGTATTTCATTTCAAAATTAAGTATACAAGGTATCGTGGGTGACATTTTTATATTCCAAAAAAATCGAAGGAGTTATTTGTAAAACAATTAATGACAGTTCGAAAATATGAAAATTCCATTTTACTGAGAAAAAAAGTTAATTGTAAAGTGAGACATTTTTTTCACGTCGTATCAATGCAGGCATTTTCACAAAAGCAAAAATAGAAAAAATGCCAATTTAAAACGAAAAAATTGCTAAAAATTATTTATAAAAATAGAAAAAAGGATAAACAGGACATAAACGAAATTGTAATAAAAATATAATAAAATGTCTATTTTTTCACTTAGAGGAATGTGATTTTTGTTCTCGATTGATTCACCTGCAGCACATTAAGTGATTCGTATTCTTCAATGACGTCATTAACTTTACTACGATCAAAACCTTTGTTTGTGCATCTTTCCATAACTTCCGAGACTTTGACTGTTTTCTTTTCACCAGCAAGTTCTTTTATCAGATCAAAGATTCTCTTGATTGATTGATGACTTTCCTTTGGTCCTGGTGCATCCGAACAATTAATGGAATGTTTCGACATTTCTAATAATCTGTTCGCCTCTTCAACGTCATCTTTATCAACTTCGTTCGATAATCGAAGACGTGCCAAAGCTGTTGCTAAACGCAAAATACCCAATAGGTTTCGTGCAGATGTGAAAGTTTTGTCTTTTTTATTACGTGCATCCGCTCTCATGTCGACATAACTTTCTGAAATTGAGAGAAAGAAAATTTAGTGCTTAATGAACAAAATAATAAGATTAAATGTGCTATTTTTTATTTTGAAATTATTCTTACCAACAATAAAATCTGTCAATTCTTCAGGTACTGTTGGTGATATTTTTTTGCACATTGCGATGTATTTTCGCATTACACTCATGTCCATTGCTTCAACTTCTGACTTGGGTTGAGCAGAATGACGATGAACATAAGTAATATGTTCCGCTAACCTGAAAATAATTCAAATAAATATTTATCATTTTGAAATGAATAACAAACAAAATTACAATTACAGGAGTTTATATTATGGAAAAACGCAAATACTTACTTGAGATCATTATCGCGATCAGCGCGATCCAAAATGAGCCAAAGTAAATCGAAACGTGACAAAAGTGCGGGTGGCAGTTGAATATTTTGTTCAACTGTTCTCTTCGTATTATAGCGGCCATAAGCTGGATTGGCAGCCGCTAAAATTGATACGCGCGCATTTAAGCGTGTCATGATACCGGCTTTGGCAATTGATATTGTTTGTTGTTCCATAACTTCGTGAATTGATGTTCTATCGGAATCGGCCATTTTATCGAACTCGTCAATACAACAAACGCCCTGATCTGCCAAAACAAGAGCACCACCTTCCAGCATCATTTGACCTGTCAATGGATCTTTCATCACGGCTGCTGTTAAACCAACGCCTGACGAACCACGTCCTGTTGTATATTGTGATCTCGGCGATAATCTCGTTATGAACGAGAGCAATTGGGATTTCGCCACACCAGGATCTCCCATTAGGCAAATATTTATATTTCCTGAAAAAAATTTAATTAATAAAAAAAAGAAACTTAAAATTAATATTGTAATTTTTTTTTGTAAATTCAAACCTCTGATTTTTATGTCTCCTTTCTTTTTGTCAGTTCCACCAACGAGAAGTAGTAGGAGAGCTTTTTTTACATCTTGAAGGCCATAAATTTCCGGAGCAATTGAAATTGCTAATTTGTCATAGAAATCGGCGCCTCTAAGCACTTCCAATTCTTCTGGAGTCAATTCAGAATTGGAGTCGTCCTTTGTTTCGGAATTACTCAAACAAACTATGCTCTGAAAATGTAACGAAATACTTTATTTAGTACATGTTAAAACAATTTTTTCTAAACAAATTTCCATTAATTTTTTCTTCAATCTAGAATTTGAATTTAAAATTAAGATTCAAAACTTTTATTTTCAAATTTTATGTAAAGTTTTAAAAAGTATATCGTGACATTCAAAAATTTAATTTCTGTGTACGAAACAGATTTTGTATATCTGCTTTTAAATGAATAAATTCAATAGTAACATTAAATTTAACTGTAATTTAAATTTCGTCTTACATGAGCATCAATGAAAGTCTCGCTAAGGAGTCCTGCGGCATTTCTCGCAGTAAAACCACTTTTTGTGAGAGGAAGAAATATACCAGTGACAAGAGCATGATCTCCTGGTTGACAGCATCTTGTGGTTTCTCCTCGACAATATATCGTCACTGACCTTGGAATGTGTCCAACTGGAACTTGATCACTCTACAAAAAGGACAAATTAGTTAATTATCACTACCAATAGGCGGTAAAAATTCCAAATAGAAAATTTCTCACATGTTCTTGCATTTTTATTTCCTGGAATTTGACGAATTTGGAACCTTTTGTTTGCATACTGAGTCTTCCACCCGATTTGTTTAGTCGACAATCTTCACTCGGACATGATTTAAGTGGCATGAAGGTCATCGAGCTTATCTGTTGAACAATTTTAATTATTTATTAATTTAATAATAGTATTAAAGGTTTTTGGAGGGAATTATAATTCTTACAGGTTGATAAGTTTCAGCACCGCACTGATCACAGGTGTAAGTTGCAACAACAACCATGGGTTTAACTTCCGTGCATCTGGTAACAATTCCTCTAACTGTTACTAATTTACCAATTTGTTCAGCTTTTACGTCCCGAACCGAGTGGCCTTTCTCATTACCAAAATTTCTAAAGTAGACTTCACTAAAATCATAAAAATTTATTTTAATTTATTTTAATTTAATGACAATATATCCGAAATTTTAAAAAATCTAAATAAGTAAAAATTAATTTTTATATGAATAAGAATTTGCAAATAATCATCAGCTATTAAATTAGACTCACAATCGACGCATAAGTTCTGGTGCGTATCTATTCCTGGGATCTCTTTGTTCTCCAGGATGTTGATTGCGCGTCTCCATTAACATACGATGTTCAATATAAACATCTAAAGCATCCTTAGCGGGAACTGGTCTCTCTTTGAAATCGGGAAGTATATCTTGAATAAGCTGTTTTTAAAAAAGAATTTATTTTATATACAAAATTGTCATCTACATAAAAATGAGAATCAAAAATTAAATTCTTATTAAAAAAACTCTAAAATTTCGTGTTTTTTTTTATAAAGTTACATACCTCAAGAAGCATATTAACGTATCTTCTTGTATTTCCAGCAACAATTTCAGCAAGATCCTCATCGAATTCCTGAAGGTCATCCAAATCAATTGTAAATGCAGTTTGTTCACGATGAGCGACTCTTGTAAGTTGTTCTCGATATTTAAATCTCTTATCTCCAGTTTTGTCATCCATTTTCATAAACTCGGTTAGAAAGAGTTTAAAAGTTTCTAGAATAAAAATAAAAGAGAATTTTGCCATAAATATTTGGAAAAATAGAGTTTGACATAAAGATAAAATTTCAAAATTAAAAACATTGAACTTCTTAACATAACCTGCAAAAATTTGTTTTCAACAAATTGTTAGAAAAGGTAATATTTCCTTTTACATAAGTAATAGAATAGAAATAAAAATTTCTATAATGGCTACAATGGCTCTTTAACAAAAAATGAAAGTTTTTTTTCACTGTTTTATGTTAAGAATGAAAGATTAGTTACTTTTGTAGAGCACAATCAGAAACATAGAAAACAGTTACCTCTGTCTTTTTCAAAGTCTCTTGAAGTTCTAGGAGCCATGATTGATGTAGTTTTGTGTTAATTATAAAATCCAAGTCCAAAACAATAGGAAATTAAGTCAAAATAAATAAACGGTACGCTCTTTCAACAGTTTTTCACTTTTGTGTTGCCATCGGCGTCTCCATTACTGCTTTTGCTGCTTTTCTACCGCTTTTCCCGCTAATTTCATTCAGAGTTGCCAACAAGTAAACAGCAAGAAGCGCCGATTTTGAAAATAAAGTACCATTATTATAATAATATTATAGAAAATTTTAGTACTAGAAGAAGAAAAATTGACAAAATTAAAGAAAAACTATAAACAATAAATAGATATAATTATTTAAGTTTAACTGAAGTAACAATTAAAAATCACAAGAAGAAATAGAAATTGAAATAAATTTAAAATGTTGGTAAAGCTGATTTTAATTCATTTCCGGAAGCAGAGACACTCGAGTAAGTCACGTGATTAAATTGACATTTCCGTAAAATAGGTTAGGTTTACACGTGTTTTGTCAATTTCTGTTTGATAAAATAGTAAATATTTTGAGTACTTTTCTAAACGAGAAAAATGGGAAAAGCAAAGAAAATTAAAGTATCAAAAGGAGAGAAAAATGTGCCAAAAGTTGGTCTCGCTGATCAGATGGAAGACGATAAAGCAGTAAAAATGAAAAACAGAAAGAAAGTCAGAATACGTAATGATGAGGATGAAGAGGTTAGAATCAAAATATTGTTAAACTTTTGTTTGTTTTTCAAAGCCTTTTTCTAATACTGTAAACCTTGAAAATATAGCGCAAAATGTTTTATCAAATTAAATATTATTTTAGGTTGTCGATTCATCTTTAACACAAAAAATTCTTTCGCAAGCACGAAAACAACAAATGGAAATAGAGGAAGAATTTCATGGTAAATCATCAAAAGAATCAATAAAACGAATAACAAAACTCGGTGATGATTTAAGCGATTCAGACGATGAGGAATTGAGTGATAACGAAGGTCACGCATATTATGAAGACATTGAAATTAATGAGGATGATGAGAAGGCCCTGCAAATGTTTATGGATCGAGATCGTGCACCGGCAAGAACATTGGCCGATATTATAATGGAAAAACTGACTGAGAAAAAAACAGAAATTGATACACAATTTTCTGACATTGGCTCAATGCAAATACAAGATATAGATCCACGTGTTGTGTCACTGTATGAAGGTGTACGCGATGTTCTCGCGAATTACCGCTCTGGAAAATTACCCAAGGCATTTAAGGTTGTGCCAAATTTACGTAATTGGGAACAAATTCTCTACGTTACAGATCCATCGAAATGGTCCGCCGCTGCAATGTATCAGGCCACGAGAATATTCGCCTCAAATATGAAGGACAATATGGCACAAAAATTCTACAATTTAGTTCTATTGCCACGTATTCGTGATGATATTGCCGAATACAAGAGATTAAATTTTCATTTATATCAAGCACTCATGAAAGCTTTGTATAAGCCCAGTGCATTTATGAAAGGATTTTTGATTCCTTTATTAGAGTCAGGAAATTGTACACTTCGAGAAGCTGTTCTTGTTGGCTCAGTTATTACAAAAAGATCAATACCAATCCTTCATTCAGCTGCGGCTATATTGAAAATTGCCGAAATGGATTATACCGGTGCTAATAGTATCTTTTTGAGAATATTTTTTGACAAAAAATATGCTCTACCTTATCGAGTTGTCGATGGAGCTGTTTTTCATTTTCTAAGGTTAGAAAGGAATAAATTCATTAAAATGTTTTCACACTAATTAAATTTTGTTTTTAAACTGAAATTTAAAAAACATTCTTTTATTGCAGATTTAGAAACGATCGACGTGTACTGCCAGTTTTGTGGCATCAAGCATTTCTAACGTTCGTTCAACGTTACAAAAGTGACATTAGCTCGGAGCAAAAGGAATCATTACTTGAATTATTGAAACATCAATCACATCCGGTAATGATCCAGGAAATAAGAAGAGAATTGCAACACGCGAAATGTCGGGATTCGGAAATTACGGAACCAATTCCGGAACCAATGATGGATTGATATAAAAATTTAGATAAAACTAGATATATTGCTTTAATATAAGAAAATACTAAAAAACAATAAAAGGAATATTTTAAATGTTAAATTGATTACTTTTCTGTTTTCAAAATTAAATTAAGCTTTTAATTTAACATTTTTTTTTATATTAAAACCATTAAAATATTTAAAATAAGCGCGTTTTTATTAGCAGTGCATGCGCCATGCGTTTGGTAACGTTCATGCGGCGATGCGGCGCATGCTTCTTTTGAGGTTATGACATTTTTATAAATATAATATACAAACAAAAATTATTTTTAAAGAAAGAAACTAAATAAAATAAATATGCACTCGTTGAGAAGATTACGATCGATAGAGATTTTGCCAATTTCGGTTAGATTTAAAGGACATAGCAATGATCATTGGGTAAGTTTACTTATTTCTAATGTATAACAAAACCTCTCCTCTCTTTAAGCAATTTTGTATTAATTTTAAATTATTTTTCCAGTCAAAACGTGATAATAAATTAGGAACTGTCAGAGCACTAAAACATTTTGACGATTTTTATAAAACAGTCTATGGAAAATCGTGGAATGACATTAGGAAAGCTCTATTACAGGAAAAAAGTAAATACGTCGCAGTTGTTAATAATTTCAGTGACAATGAAAGAATATGCACTGAAATGGAGGTAGGAAAAATTTTTTTTTTTTTAATAATTAACAACTTAATTTAGAATTTTATTACCTAATTTTATTTATCTGAAGAAAAATATTGAAAATAGTGCTTAGGAGCAATCGATTTGAGAGCAATAATCAAGGTACAAAAGGAAATTCTCGACGAATCGGACAAAGGAAAATCAAAAAAACGTCTTAAAGAATTAAATAGGAAAAAAATGCAACGTGAAATGGATTCTTTTATTTCTCAGCAACAATTATCGGAATTGGAGTCTGTTTATCCGGCTGAGACACCAGCGGGCAAACAATCTCTAAACGAATTGATAGATGAAGAAAAATTTCATACCACTGAGGAGGAAGGACTAAAACCAGTTTCATTAAAGTCAATTTCTGCAAATGCGGAGATTGAATACGATACGAGTCGAATTATTTCGGCGTCAAGTAGTTTATCCGTCTCGTCATTACAAGAATTCGTTCCAGTGACAAAATTAAAAGGATTAGACGATTGGGTGTTAGAATCGGAGCACTATGGTTACTATTCTAAGGGTGAAGATTTTACAATTTCTATCGAGGAAGACGATTCATTTTCAATTCCAGAACAATTGAAATTGTACACTTTTGAGCCACATAATTTTAGTAGGTTTAGATCATCAAAACGAGGAACAACTGGCGTATTAGGTAATCTTCCTTTGGATTTTCTGTAAATTCAAGAAAAAAGAAAATAATATTTTCATTTCTCTAAAGTTGAAAAAAATTTTAGATTATTATTTGATGGACGGAGGTTCGATATTACCTGTTCTTGCCCTGGATTTGCAGCTGAATGACAAATTTCTCGATATTTGTGCGGCACCGGGTGGAAAATCACTAGTGGCAATTGAAACACTTTTGCCGGCAATGGCCGTCTTGAATGATGTTCTCCCATCACGTGTAACAAGAATTAAGGAAGTAATTGGAACCTATGTTTCAAATATTGGACAGTGGCAGAAAAAAATTGCAGTTACGACAAAAGACGCAAGGGAAATTGATGACATGGGACTATTTAATAAAGTAAGTTTATTTCGACTTGAAACATTCGCGCAAAAAATATTTATACATTCAAATGAAAAATTCCCTTTTTTTTACTAAAATAATTTATATTGACAGATTTTAGTCGATGTTCCATGTACAAATGACAGACATTCTTTGCACGTCAACGATGGTAATTGGTTTAGGAATGAATACATTAGGGAAAGATTGAAACTACCAGAATTACAAAGTGAAATTTTAGTGTTAGTATAAAAAATAATGCCTTTTTCTAAATTTTTTTCTTCTTTTCAAAATTTCATTATTATTTGCTCGATTCTTAATTTTATAATTTTTTTTCATTTTATCGACTTTTATTTTTGTGTAGAAATCTATTAAAGTTAAATCGTTCTAAAATATTGTTTAATAAATACTTAATACGGCTTATTTTTAGAAACGCTTTAAAATTAGTAGCACCAGGAGGTACAGTGGTTTATTCAACATGTTCACTGAGTCCGATACAAAATGAAGGTGTCGTTCAGATGTCGTTAATGAAAGCATTCGAAGAGGCGAATGTCGTCGCAGTTGTAAAGTAAGTTTATAAAATATATTACAACATTGTAAATGCAATTTGTTTTTCTAATAGAGTTTCAGTAAACTCACAGTCAAGTACTTGAGAGACTAATCTAAACGATTTATTTTAAAATATTAAAAACTAGTCTATTTAAAAAAAAACAATTTTAAAATGCTCTGTAAAATAAAAATTAAAATAAACTTAAACTTTTTAAGTCAGAAATATTAATAAATATAAAAAGGAAATACAATATTAACGTGTAATTCGTTTTTTAGAGACCTGTCCGAAGGACTGAAACCATTTAAGTATCTTTATGACTTTGGCAAGGAAAAATTGAAGTACGGTCACCTTGTCATTCCAACAATGGGAAACAATTGGGGACCTATGTATTTCTGTAAAATAATGCGAATTCAGTGAATTCACTCACGAGCGAAACAATCAACTTTCTCAAGTAATTTGCCTTCATTTAAGACTTCTGTGTGGAAATTGTTTTTGATTTGTTTTTGAAATTTCATTTAATACTATATTATGAAAAATGTTTCTTATTTTATTCATAATTCGCGATGTTCTTTTAGATGTACTTTTTGATCTGTTGCTTCTTCAACATTAACACCCACTTCATCTACTCTATTCCATGGTTGCTCCTCGCCCGTTCCAAACATCGTGTAAACCAACATTTCAACGATGTAAAATATCACTGTGATGAAGAAAACTACTCGCCACGCCTCGACTGTTTCCTGTAAATAGACGAAAGGTTTTTATACACTTTTGCCAAGTAATAGAAAATTGTTTTTAAAAGTTTTTTTTTAATTAAGTTCTAAATTCTATAATTTAAAACTCATTCTTACCAATTAAAAAAGAAATTAAACTTTTTATTTTAATTTTAGTTTTTTGCATTTAACGAACTATTTTTGGTATAATTTCCAATGAGTAAAATTGAATTTAAAATTTGTTATTTTCAAATATTTTATTGTCTTTTAATTTAAAAAAATGTCAGTAAATTGACAATGAATTAAAAATGTGAATTTTTTCACATTTTCAACTATTAATGGAATTGTTTGTAAATATAGAAAATTTATAGAAATAAAAAAAGAGAAATAGTAATAAAATTTTTTGAAAAATAAAAATGTCTTACATTTCCATCGGTGAGTTTTCCAACGATAACGGAAATTGTTAAGCCTGGAATTGTCGCAAAGAAATTTGTGATTGAAACAAGTGTACCGGCATAATTGGGAGCGATATCGATGTGATTCGCAAGAAAACCACAGTACATTCCTCCGAGACATGTGCCACCAATTGTCATCAAGGTAACGGCGAGAAATCTATCTTTACCAACGTAAGAGACACCGATCAAGCACAACATTGGCACTGCAGATGCTAAAATAAATCAATTTTTCCAACTTTTAGTAATTCTATCTTTTTAGTTTCCAATAATTTTTTTTTTTTATCAGGAAAAAAACGAACCGAACAGTGTTCCTATTTTTCTGGAAACAGTTACGGAAATCCAATTCTTCTCCTGCATAATTGCAAGAATTTTGCTCAAGCCCATTGTAAAAATCCACATACAAAAGAATGGTAGCGCGGAAAGTCCTGCATTCTGAGAGAGAAAAAATTTTTTACCAGGTATTCTTTTTCTTACTTTTTTTAGAGGTAAAACAGATTGTTTCAAAATAGTTGAGGATAATAATTTATTTTTAAATAATTACCTCGCTTAAGTTAAATTCCAGCATTTGATTCATGTAATGGGGAAGTTCAGTGAGTAACATGTACCATCCAACGTTGCTGCAAAAGTGAGCGACCAAAATTGCCAAAAACGGTGGCGAAGTAAAAACTTTTCGCCAAGGTACGCCGGCACCCTGGAAATTAATTTACTTATATTGATTTCTCTTATAAATATAAAAAAGAAATTTCTTTTAAAATATGAAAAGTGAATAAAGATAATAATTACATGTGAACTTTTGCCAACGGATTTGTTCAAAGACGAAAGAATGTACTCTCTTTCTTCGGAGGTGATGAATCGTTTTTGTTTATCTGGACTGTCTTCAACCATTAACCACCAGGCAGTGCACCAAATTAAACAAAGAGCACCCTCAATGTAGAAAACTGACGCCCAGCCAAAATTATCAGCGAGAATTCCCGTCAAGATTAATGATATCACCGTTCCAAGAGCAGTTCCTGTCAAGAACAAATATTTCAACATTATTAGAAAGTTGGTAATTTATTTTATTCTTTTATTAACTAATTTATAACGTTTTTTGTAATTATTCACCTTTTTTATTTATTACTCTGTTAATTTGTACTTGTTAATCTTATTCTTGTATTTATTAATTTATAAGTAGTGTAAATTACTATCGTATTTTAAATTAATGTTAAAATTAAATTTATTAAAAGCTATTGTAAAAAAAACATAAATTTTTTTTGTTCTAGTGACTCTTTTCTAATTACTGCAACCAACATCTGCACAAATGAATTTTCCACTAATTTACCTGCATAAACGATGGATGTCAAAACGCTTCTTTCATTTGGCGGAGCCCATTTGGAAACCATAACATGCATCGCCGGAAATGTGACACCCTACAATTTGGAGATTTTTTTTTATAAATCTTTGAATTCTCTGAAAATTTATAACTGCATCATTGGAAAAGTGGAAAATTTGCAAAAAAAGAGAACTTACACCGCCAATTCCTTGTATAAATCTCATAGCGATAAAGAAAGAATAATGCATTTGGGCAGCAACAGGTGATAGAACTGAAGCAACAACGTTCAATAAAACGGATACATTCATCACCCATTTGGCAGAAAGAAGTTCAGACATTCTTCCAGCAGGTATTAGTGACACCATATAGCCCCAAAAATAGGAGGATTTAATTAGACCCTGTAGCGGTCTACTCCAAACAAATGGTCCATCCTAAATTAAAAAACAAACACTCAATTATCAAAAAGTATTAAACTTTTCTTTTTTTAAGTTTCATTTAACTTTTGAAACAATTTCTTTATTCAATTTGTAATTTAATTTATAAATTTTTCATTATTTAAGAGATTTTGTTGTTGTAACGTAGAAACAATTGTTTTCACTTACAGTTTTAGAAGATTTACTTAATTCATGTAAAGTTCCACTGACACTTGTTGCATTAAAAATAGTATTGAGAGTAGAATTGACAGATGGATGAAAACTCGAGTTCAATGATGGATTAATAATTGTACTGTGATCCTTTGGCAATAATTTGATCGCTGTTTCATTAACCATCGCAACCATCGCCACACTGACATTAACTTTGAAGCCATAAATTATTGCCATGCCAATACAACCCATTATGGACATTATATATCTCATGGGAATAATGGCATGACCTCCCCGATTTTCTATAAAAATAAAGACATTAATTAATTTAGTTTATTTTTTTAATTAATTTTTTATTAATTTTATCCAACATACAGTTTATCTTTTAAAAAGTGTTTACATTTAATAATTGACAATTCAATAATTCAAAATTATTATTAAGTGAAAATTTTTTCCAAAAATATATTTATAAAATTTTTGTAAAATTAAATAAATAAATATTGGTAAAATTTTTATTTAATTTAAAACTATATGAGAATTTTTTAAAAGTGAAAAAAATGGATTATAAATCTCTCTTTTTAAACAAAAATTTTGTAATTAAAATTAATTTACTAATTGAAATACTAATTTATTAATTTAGATATTTATTAAATTATTAAAAGAAATTTTAGGAAGAAAAAAATTGGAAACGTAAGAACAAACTTTCTTAATTAAACTAAAATTTTCAAAATTATTATGTAAAAAATAATTAATTTTTGTAGGTTTTGTGAGGGGATAAAAACAATAAAGATCATAATTTTCGTTTAAGTATAACTGGTTTGACGGGTTCGTCTGCATGCCTTTCATCTTTTAGAGTCTTTTAGAGAATAAAAATTCTCATGATACATTTGAGTCTTTGACTTGACACTCCCTTGTTTTTTTAATCTATACGTGAGTTGTAAGTCTAATATTCTAAATCCTAACTATACCCCAAAGATCGTTCACACACTTCAACACAATCAATATTTCAATTCAGATCTAGGCTAAAGAATTAAATATAAAACCACGTATCTTCTAAACTTCATATTTGTTTAAAGCAAAACAATAAAATTAAATTATTTTCTTTTAGTTTTATTACAGAAAAAAAGTAATTAAAAAAATTATAATTCGATTCTATTATTACATTGAAATAAAACAATCGGAATACTTATACTAATTTATTAAATAAACGAAACAAGGAATAATTAAAAAAAATAAATAAATTACTCCAATCTTGTATTTTTATAATTTCATTCTAATATAATAATTAATTTAATTATTTTTTAAAATCTAAATTATCTCTTTTTCAAAACAAACTAATTTTCTTTCTTAAAATTTCAGATAAAAAATGATAGTAAAAACTTCTGGGTAGAAATTAAATTTTAATTTTATTTGGATTTTAAACAATTTTGTCTACGTGCTGAATGACATGTCCGTTGATGCAGGTACTTTTCATCGCCATGACTTTTTGAATATACAAAACAGATTTTTTTATAAATTTGAGAAAGACAACTTTAATAGTACACTGACGAAGATTATTTTGAGAGCGAGACAAAAATACGTCATAGCAACTCAGAAACGGGAACTCCATCTAAAAATAATTGATCGAACTCGATTAGAGAAATTTTTTAAACAAAAAAGAATGAGTCGATCAATTTGATCAGATTTAACTAAGAAAAAAATTTTTAAGCACTACTTTTAAGTGAAATGAAAAATTTTGAAAATAATGAAATATTTAGAACAAAATTTATTACAAATTCAGAATATTGAAATGAAAATGTCTTCTAAAATTGCAAAGTCAAAAATTCATTCCAAGCAAGTTAAAATTAATCAAACTTGAACTTCATATAGTTTAATAATGAAAAGACCATTAAAGTAGTAAAAATGTTATTTAATTGGACCTTTTTATTAACGTAAATACAAAGATCAAGGCCTTTCATTCTGATTCTTTGAATAAATTATCTTCAACTAATCACTGAATTAGAATATTGTTTTTATTTTATTTATCTCTTTTTCTGTCATTTTTTTCAAATACTATATTTTTAATTACATTTATTTTTTCAAAAATATATTTTATTTAAATTTATATTAAATTTAGAAAAAATACAAATTTTCTAAATCTTAATAAATTTTATATGCAATTTCATGATAAATGTAGGCAATTGCGCACCATTACATCAGCGAGGAAAAGCATTGAACCCACTCTGAAAAGGATCGATAAATAATGATGCCAAAACCCACATATACAGGAACAGTAAACTTTCTGTAAATTGTCTACGGTGATTTCTCAATTAAAAAGATAATCTAATTTGAATTCTAATTTTTATTCATTATTTACAAAACTTTTACTTTTAAAATTTAATTATCTAACTAGATTATTAAATGTATTAAAAGCTATTTCTAAAATACATTTTAAATATAATTATAATAATGATAATAATAGTAAAAATATGGATAATAATTTGAGAAATTTAAATTTTTTTCTATAAAAATCAGAAATACGTTGACTCCCTTGTCATTCTCGTATCGATCCAATCGGAAAGGTGATTTCAAGGTCATTGATAAAAAATTAATAATTTTCCGACTTTTCTAAAAATTTGAAAACTATTTATATCCATTACTTCACTATTTACTTGCATTAAATGAAGTGCATCTCTAAATGATGACACACGTGTTCCGCTTTATGACGAAATGCAAGCACGTGCTTTTGAAAGCTTTCCTCACTTAATTTTTAAATTAGAAAAAATTCACCCAAAAATTATTATTATTATTTTATAGTTAAAAAACGTAGAATAATGTTAAATTACTAAATTTTCATTAGTTTTAATTAAAGAAAAAATGTTGCAATAATCAACAAATTTTCAGTTAGAAATTATTGCTTTTAACAATCGATATAGATAAATTTTACAGCAAATGACTTGAATTTTAAATCACTTACCATTTAAGCTCCCGGCTGCCATGGTTCTTTTTTTCTTTTCTATTTTTGGCTTAATATTCAAAATTCAAATTTACTTTTTGGCACCAACACTGTATGATCACTCCATCACTTGAAACAAATTTTTTAATATATTAATCATAAATTTAATTCAATAGAAAAACATAGTTATTTGAAAAATTGATTATAAATTATTTATAAAATAGATTCCAAGAAGGAAAAATAATGTTAAAAATGAATAAAATTAAAAAATGCAATTACAAATTAGAAACAAAAAGCAGTTAAATGGATAATAATGAAAAATATAACAATATTTCTGATATTGAAAATGCTGATAATAGAAATGTTAATAATAGTGACAACTTTTCAGATAATAAAGAAATAACGATAAAATTTTAATAAGAAATTTAAATAAAGATGAAAATTAATTTTGTAGTTTAAATTTTGAAAAATCTTGTTTGGAATGAATTTTGTTTGAAACTAAAAAACCGTCACTTGTTGGAATGCATAAGGGAGTGGTAAAATAATCACCCGAAGTCTTCGGAGTTTGGAGAAGGAATACTGTCGTTTCAGGTTCGCTTGCGCGTTCTATTATAACTTTACCCTCGTTAAAGGCTCAAACTTATCTGTTGTTGCGTAGGTTTTCCGACCATGCGTTCACTCAAGTATCGATTTGACATTTTATTTTATTAAAATTAAGAAAAAAAGTAGAATTAGACTAGACCTTGATCTGATTTTCCATTTTGAACCAATAAAGATAAAAAAGCAGTTTCTCAAAAAGGAAATCAATTTTCTACTTTGCTGTGGCAAATTTTTTTTATTTACTTTCCATATTTTTTATTTTTTTGTTTAATTTTCTTTTAAATTAAAACTGTTTTTTACATTTATTATTCTTCAATTATTTAATTAAAACTACATTTACTTTATTAATTTATTTATTTAATAATAATACTAATTTATTTCATATTTTAATTGCTGTTATTGAAACATGATTTTATTTCTTTAATATACTTACTTTTGTATAAATTGTCAAATTTTTATGATTTTTTCTCACCTTTTTATTATGTCATAAATTTTTATCTATATGACCAAAGTATTTTTTTGAATTATAATAATATTATTAATTTTTTTACTTTTAAGAGATAAATGAAGTCATAGGTTGCCTTTTGAATTATGAAATTCAATCTTGCTAGGCTTTGAAATAAAAAAAAAAATAATAATAATGAAAAAAATAGAACAGACTTTTAGATTGTTACCGTTGAAAATTTCATGTCATTATGAATTTAGAAATGGAGAAAGAGATGGAAACGAATAAATCTCCTTACCGTTCCAACAGCTGCTGAATTATTAAAAATCGATTTCCTCAAACAATTTGTAACATACGAAAAGAGTAGAATTTGCTTCGGTTTCCCTGCAATACTTATTTAATAAATAATTTTAAAGGAGATGATAAATTTTTTTATTTACGAATATAAAAAATTAAGAAATTATGTAAATCTAGATAATTTAAATCTAAATCTAAATCTACATCTTGCTTATTAATAATTTTGTAATAAATTAAACATATTTAATAAATCTCGACAGAAGTTTCATTTTGAAAATTATATACAGTAATTTTTAATTTTTTTATTCACAACAAAAAATACTGATTCTTTTGAATAAAATATTTTCGTTGAAAAAAATGAAATGAAAGTTTTAGAAAATGATTATGTAAATAATGATTAAAAATTGTCAAAATAATTAAAAACATTTGTAAATAATATTAAAAAATATATTAACAAATTTATATAGATTTTTCTTTCTTACAGAAATAAATTGAGACCATCATGGATTCAAAACGACCTTCGCACGTGACGTTGACCAGAAGAGTTGATCGTTGATGAAACTAATTCGCGAACTACTTTTGCTATGAGTCCCGGAAGATGCTTATAAAAGGACAACTATGTACATGATAGCGAATTTAGTTTTCATTGTAACTTTGCTCCAGAATGACAGGACTCTCACTAATGTGGCAATTTTTGACTCTCTTTATCGTTTTTCTGTCAGTTTCCAATGTTTCAAGTGAGTTTATTTTCACCTTCATTTAAAATTAAATTATTCCCAATTTTTACTAAATAAAAGTTCAATATTTCCGCCCTGAAAAAATTTCATTTTTGTTGAAATAATTGAATTATTCAGTGAATATTTTTATCTACTTTATACTCTTGATAATATAAAATTAATTTCAATTATTGGATTTTCAAATATGAGAAAAAATTTTGTTTGAAAAAATATTGATAAATTTTAATTGATTTTGTAGTTTTTTTTTATTTTACAAATTTAATAATTGAATTTTCAGAAGCGGCAACATTAAGTAATGGAGAAAATCATGTAACGGAAAGGATTTCCCTCCTTAGGGATCAAATGCGATTTTATAATTTGTCGGCTTACATAATTACAGACGTTGATGAACATCAGGTATGTACAAGAAAAATTTTTAATAACTTTTTCTCTTATTATAATTCTATTTAAGTTTAATAAAAAAATGAGAATGCAAAAAATAATTCTTTGTCAAATTTTTTAAATCAAGTTTTTGGAAAAAAGTATTTCAGTTAGAATGTGATAATCGCAATTATTTTGAAAGTAATTTCTCCAAATTATCACCTTTCGTCGAATAATAATTTGTAAAATGGCTTTAATTGAATATAATAAGTATTTTACAACCCACGCTGCTTAGAATGATTACATTGTGTCTGAACGAGACAGAAGGCGAGAATGGATTTCCGGTTTCTCGGGTCTTCAAGGGGACGTTGTAGTGACAATGAATAAAACTGCACTCTGGACATTAGGTTCCTTATTTTATTTAGCAAAACAAGAAGTTCCCAGTGACTGGATTTTAATGGAATCCTGTCCTTCATTGGTAAATTAATTTAACTATTGAAATTTCCCCTCTTTCTCACTTTATTTTCCAGTGTTAATTATTTTTACGTTTAATTTGTTTCAGAATGGCAAATATTTACCATTAGAGGTTTGGCTGTCAAAAGAACTTAATTATGGAAGCAGAGTTGGTGCTGATCCCAATGTTGCTTACTCAGAATGGAACGATTGGGAATCGAAATTGCGTAAATATTATTTTTATTTCATAAACGGAATAATAATAATAATAATTTTTACAGTTGTTTATTTTTTTTAATTGTATGTAAATAGAATTGAAAAATATTACACTCGTACCAATGGAGGAAAATTTAATTGATTTAATTTGGAAGGATCAACCTGGATATAGAAAAAATCCGCTTTACAATTTGCCGTCCGATATTGCAGGTATTGATCTTAATTAATATACTTATTATATCAGAAACGTTGGAATTTTTTTCATTACCAAAAATATTTTTATTAAAAATTAATTCAGCTACTTATTGATACTTTTTTGATAGGTGAAACTCCGAGAGAAAAATTGAAATTAGTTCATGAAGATATGACACAATTAAATGCCGATTTATGTATAATTACGGATCTCAGTGAAATTGCTTGGCTAACAAATATGAGAGGTGGCGATATTCCTTATGTGCCTGTTTTTCGATCATACATGCTGCTTGGAAAAGATTTCTCGAATCTTTATCTTCCACCAGAGAAGCATGAGTCACATATTAATATAATATTAAAAAATGAAAATATTACGTGAGTTTTTTTAATTCATTTATTTTTTCTATAACTGTAGAAATTAGTTTTCATTAATTAAATTTTTCCATAGACTATTGGATTATGATCAATTTTGGAAAGACTTGAAATCGTATTCAAAAGCAGCAAGTGGTATATTACTTCCAAAATCTTATAACAATGCCTTTGAAGTCAGTTACAAAATCTATTCAATGGTATTTAAAATAATAATTATAAAAATAAATAAAAGACAATTAAACTAAATAAGATTATTTATATATTTAGGTATTTAATTAAAATATTTTTTAGCTGCCTAAATTTAAAATCAAGAATAAAGTTTTTCCAATTCTTTCACGGAAGGACAAAAAGAATCCTATCGAAATTGCTGGCCTAAAACAGATTCATTTACGAGATGCAATTGCAATGATTCAATGGATGATAAAAATGGAAAATGGAGTATTTAATTTATTAAATTACGATTATTGGAAAATAATATTTTTAATACTAAAAAAATAATTGATTTCAGATAAAAAATGGCAGTTTGATTAGAGAAATAGATGCAATTGAATCTCTGAGAGAAATTCGTTATGAGCAAAAATCAAATCGTGGCGAAAGCAGTGAGTGCATTGCTGGTTATGGTTCAAATTCGGCAAATTTCTTCAATATTCCAAAAAATAAATCTTCAATTCAAATTAGTACTGAGAAACCGTTTATGATAACAACTGGCGGACGATATGATGGTATAAATTTCAATTATTAATTTACTAAAAATTCTGAATTAAATTTAAATTGGTAGTTGATAACAAATATTTTTAAACAACAAATAGAAGGTAAAACACGACTGGCAAGAACATTTCATTATGGAACACCGAGCGAAAAAGAAAAGACAGCTTACACGGCTCTATTGGCAGGAATTATAGATCTCGTTAAATTAACATTTCCATTGGGAACTTCAGCTTGTGCGACGGATATTGTTATTCAAATGCCTCTTTATAAAATAGGCCAGGAATTTGAATACGAGGCGATACAAGGATTCGGAGAATTTTTCGGCGAATATGAAGGTGCAAATTAATTAGTTTTTGAGTTATATTAACATTAATTAACTAATAGAAATCTATTAATCATCTAATAGAAATTTAATAATAATTAATTGGTTAATAGAACTAATTAAGTTCTTAATTAATGGAAGTAGTTAAATATTATAAAGAAACTTAATTTTTTTATAGCATTCAAAGATACCTATGATCTCAATGTCTTCCGATTCCAAGGCATTGGTTATCGTCAAGAAAGAGAATGGGGAATGCTTTTGAAAAATGTTGTTATTGTTGTTCCAGCTAATACAACGGTAAGGATTGAAAAAACAATTATTTTTTTGTTAAAAAAGAAGTACATTTTTCATTTATTTTTCATTAGAATAGTTTTTTTTATCTGTTTTTGTCTCATTATTTTTTAAAAATGAATTTGCATTAACTCGAAAAATTAATTTTTCTTTTCAAATTATTTTTCAGTTCCAGTCTGGAAAGCAATTTATGACCTTCAAAATGATTACTTTAGTGCCTTATGAAAGAAATCTTATTAACCCTGAACAACTCACGAATGAACAGGTAAAAAATTTCAGTTTTAAATTAATTTTACAAATTAAAAATCTTAGTATTTTTCGTTGAGTCTTATGATTTTTCACAAATTTCAATAAAATAAAAAATATAATTCTTCTTGCAGCTTGAGTGGTTAAATAATTATCACAAAGAAGTAAAGACAGAAATTGAGGCAGAATTATCAAATCAAGAATCGAAAGAAATCCGTGAACAAATTATCAATTGGTTAAAAGAAAAAACAAAGCCAATCGAAAAATTGAAATCTGTTAAACTAGACATGACCAATTAATTATCAGTTTATCTATATAAAAATTATTTAGTTATTAAATAATAATTGTTAAATTTATTTTTATCCTCTTATAGGTATAGAAAATTTAAAGTAGGTAATTAAATTGCTTTTTTGATAGAAAACTTTTTTCTCACTTCTTTTGTTTTTTTCTAGTTCCTAAAGTTTAGATAATTTTTATTGACATAAGTTTGACAGATAAGAGGCGATAAACGTTTTTTTTTTTAAGAAAAATTTTCAATGCAGATTTGAACTGAAAATAAACATTTTCCTGATCTTAAGTATTTATTAAAGTAAATTATAAAATATTAAATCGTAATTATGAGTTTCAACGCAGAAAAAGGAGATGATTTTGAATTAATTTACTCATGGCTCGATGGAATTCCTTTCTCTCGACCAAAGAAAAATACAGCTAGAGATTTTTCCGATGGAGGTAAAATTTTAAATCAATTATCTTTAACTTACAGTGAAAAATTCGAATTTAGAATACTAATCTTATATAAAAATTGAAAAAAATTGTCAAAAAAATCAATTGTTTTTTTGCAGTTTTAATGGCTGAATTGTTAAAAAGATATTATCCTCGACTTGTCGATGTCTATAACTACATTCCTGGGAACAGTATTTCAAAAAAAATTGATAACTGGTGTACATTAAATCGTAAGGTCTTGTCTAAAATTGATATGAAACTTTCTAAAGAGACAATTGATCGATTGGCAAATTCACACAACGGAGTCATTGAAAAAGTTTTAAACGATTTGCGTGTAAAAATTCTTAAAGACTCGAACACAGATTCAGAAAATTTATACATTGAAGCAGAAGAAAAAGGAAAAGGCGGTAAGAACATTTTTCTTCAATTACAAAAATTTTAATTTGAAAATGATATTAATTTTTCTTATCTCCTTTCACAGAATCGACAAGAAATTACTTAATTCCAGAATTATTGGCAAATAAAACTGTTCCTCGTGCTGTTTTTATGCAATTAAAACATGAATTACAGGAGAAAAATAACGCCATCAGTATTTTAAGTGAAAGAGTCTTAGCACTAGAAAGTCAAGTGGAAATTAAAAATCAACGAATACATGATCTCACCACACAAATTTTATCATCAAATCAAATTCTCAACACGCCAATTCCTGCTTCAAGAAGTGGAACATCAAATAAAACACGAAAAAGTAATACAATTATTAATTAATTACTTTTCCATGGATATTCAGTGTTCTGTCAAACATCACGTTTGTCGCCAAAAAATAAAATCAACGTACAAATTGTGAATATTGATTTTATTTTTTAAAAAAAGAAGAAAGTCATAAAGTTCTTAAATTGTATTAGTAGTAGGGGAATTTTTTTTAAGTAAATAACTTGTGTATTTGAAAAGTTGAAAAAATACTTTAGTCAAGTACATAATACGGGAAAAATCGTAAAAAAGGAACCGACCTTAAAGTACAAATTGTTCGAAAATGTAGTTAAGCCGTCGGTCGCATACTGGGAGGAGAAACAAGAATAACGCCGTCACCTCTGACAAATAACATCGGAATGTTTCGCTTTGTTGTACGATAAACTTCTTCGTAGGTTTCCTCGTCAATTTCCACTGTTGTTACAGTTTCCTCAACTTCTCCAAGGACCATGTTTAAATGTTGATCGTAAGCCTGCATAAAAAATAGAAAAATAGTTTTATTTTACAGAAATTACTTGATTATAAAACATCTTATTTGGGAAAATCCAATACTAACGGTATTAATTTATAAAATTAATATACTAGCGGTTAAAAGAAATATCTATAATAGTTTAATAATGAAATTCGAAAATAACAAAATTTTGAGGTTATGTTGAGAAATTAATAAAATTCTTGCAATCTTACGTGTAAGCGACCACGAAGTTCTCTTTCATTTCGCATTTTAACATAAATTCGTTCATCAAGGCTCAATCTGATCAAATCTAGAGGTTCTTTAACATTAATTGCCGGTACCTGAAAAAATAATTGCAGGTTAGGTTGCGTGCAAATTTTTAATAACATTTTTACTTACTTGTTCAGCTTCTTCTGCCATTTTTCAATTATTTGCTGAATTCAGTATAAACTAATTGTTTTAACGATTAAATAAGCTGCTTATTTTATTTAAAAAATCAAAGAAATTTACATTCCTTTAACAATGCGCGTGTTTACTTGGTTTACTTTCCTCCAAAACTGTAAAAAACGCAGTATAAATATTATTAAAAATCTTAATATAAACAGACTAACTATAATTTTATAAATAATTAATTGTATATACCTCGGAACAATTATTTTTTTAAATATAAATACAAATTTCCTCGGAGAATTTTAAAATGTTGAAAACTTGAAAATGTTTACAGTTGAAACAGCTGATGCGTAAAGTAACTGCGCAATTTGTTTTCCCCCACTCTCTAAAAATAATCTTGTCACAGAAAAAAACATAACCTTGTTTTTTTCTGTAAATGTGAATCTGCGTGTGACAGCTGTCAAAATTATAATATGGTAATAAAGTGTCTTTACAGAGAATAATCTTTCTAGGCACTTCTATACATCGATTTTCAAAGTAGTTGTTTAGAGAAAAACCTAAAGTGTTTCATTTGCACGGTTTTCAAATAAAAATATTATCCAAGAAGGATGACAATGGGCGATGAGACTCCAGTTACATCACTTGTTCTTCCTGTAATATTAAGGCCAATATTGGCAAAGGTATAATTTTCATATTCTTTTAAACTTAACTTGAAATATTTACCGTCATATCATTGTTTTATAATAAACCCAGTAGGTCAGTACCACCTATTTTACGTTTTAGAAGTTGCATTCACACTGTCTTATTTGGTCAAACTGTTTTTGCGACTCTTATAAAATGAGATAACAAGACAATTAGATTACTAAAAACTCAATAATATACCAATTGAATAGTTTATTTAGTCAAGTTGATATGATTTTGGTCTAAGAATAATATCTTGAAATATCTTTGGAAAACAAAATGAAAAATCTTTTCAACTATTATTAACGATTGGCAGAATTAATAATAATCGATTGTTAACAAGATAATTTATTTTCCACTTTAATAACTCAATTCACAAACAATTTAAACATTCCTATATGAATACGTAATTTAATTATGTAGGTACCATAACCTAAAACTGACAATCGTTTACACTCGAATTAATAAAAAAGACGATAGAATTATTTACAAAACTAATATCTATTTTTAAAATCAATCGATTATTTTTCTTTCTAGTTTTCGGATTACTGTATTTTTAATTTTTTTAATAATTATATTTCTAAACTTTGTAAACTTGAGCTTTGTATATTCAGTGAATTTTATTTTTTTATACTTTTTTACAGTAAGGTCGAGTTTATTTTTAATTGTGATAATATTCCGTTGAGATAAATAATATATTGATTTTTAATTTCATTACAGTTGGAGAGGCAAAATGTTATGGCTGCGCAAACATTACGAACGGCATTATCGAAAGCTGAAAATGCTCATCCTGGAATAACTTACGATTTAGTTTTGGGAATCGTACGACGAGCTGAATTGAATCTTGATATGAATGAAAGTGTTCTTCGATTACAGGGTAGCGCTTCAGATTGTGATGGTAATAAGAAACAATTCAATACCTTCTTTTTTTATAATCATTAATATTTGTTTCATTTGAAACACTGTCATGAATTTTTGTTTATTTTTTCAGTTGTCGAATATCGTTCAGCACGATCAGAAGATGCATTTCAAGAGCTTAATCGCAAATCAACTTCATTGAAGAGGATACTCAGTAGAATTCCCGACGAAATAACAGATCGAAAAACATTTCTTGAAACTATTAAGTATGTATATATATATATATATATATATATATATATATATATATATATATATATATATATATATATATATATATATATATATATATATATATATATGCACGTTTTTTCCTTTTTTAGTAGTAAAATTTAAGCAGAGAAATACATTTTGCAATGGTCACAATTGTTTATTACAGAGAGATTGCAAGTGCAATAAAAAAATTATTGGATGCTGTGAATGAGGTGACGGCATTTATCCCAGGATCGGCTGGAAAACAGGCTTTGGATCAACGTAAACGAGAATTTGTTCGTTACAGCAAACGTTTCAGTAATACCCTGAAGGAATACTTTAAAGAGGGACAGTCAGTATTTAAAATTTTTATCTCTTTTTTTTAACGAAACGAAATTTATTTTTTGTTCTTTCTCAGATAATAAACTATTGGAAATTTTTGATTTTCAGAGCGAATGCTGTTTTTATCAGCGCATTGTACTTAATTCATCAGACAAATATGATAATGGTAACGGTAAAAGACAAATGTGAATAATTCGATAGTATGTTAAAAAGTAGTACACGATATAATATTAACAGTTATATATATTACATTAAATAATGTTTTTTCTTATAATAAATGTTTAACAACAAAAAAATTACTATATTATATAAATTAAATTTTGTTAGTATTACAAAAGATTGTTAAAAAAACTCAATTCGAGAATTGACTATTTCTTTCTAAGATTAATTGAAACTTCAGTATTAATTAATAATTCAAAGGAAGTATTTTTCTCGAGAAAAAAATCCACATTCCTAATTTTCTCATAACCGAGTGATGAGTCAATAATTATTATTATTATTATATATCTAAGATAATTGGTGTAAGAAAATGTAAAATGTATGTATATATAAAACTTGAGCTGTTTTATTGAATTACTTTTAATTAATTAAGAAGTTTTTTTTTCTCTGTAAGTAGAAGAAATAAAAATTTATTGACAAACAACTTGACATAAATGCACTGTGGTTCTGTTTTTCTTTTTTTCATTTTTTTAGTGGAAAAATTGTAAGATCTAGATACAATTTTCAATTTCTATTTTTTGAATTATAACAAAATGAAAAAATGGAAGTGATAACATTTTTTAAGCTCTCTTACTGTCGGCAAATACACGAACAATACATCCAACACCACCGACATTATAGACTTTCTCATGCCATAATAATAAATGTCCACTACTTCCATCCGTTGGAATTTCAAAACCACGATAAATGTATTTCATTAGCACGTCTATTAGATCACGATCCAATTGTGCTATACAGTCATCTATTTGATTTGATTTTATACTTAATAACACTTTTTGTGTTAAGTTTCTAGCATTGTCCTGAAAAACAATATTCAATTAAATATAACAGTAATAAATCACACTCTTAAATATTTTTTAAATAGAAAGAATGATTAGTATTTTGTGAATAAATTCCTTGAGAAATTGAAAACAAACAATATTTTGAGGTTACCTTGATTTGTTGATTTTTACAACCGAGTGGAGCGAATTTTAGTACAGAAATTAATGCCTCGGCATTTTTACCCTTGTTTTATGAATTAAGGAAAATAATTATAAAAGAGAAAAATTGTATATAACTATGACTAATATTAACGAATAGCTAAAAAAGGATATTGGCTAAGGAGTTGTAGAATTTCGTTTTCATCCGGACCGGTCGGTCCTGTAGTTCCGCTATCAACTTCCTCTTCTTTAAAATTATTGTCATTATATTGATCTACGTCAATTTTTCGAAAAGCTGAATCACTTGTGTCATTTCGTCCGTCGTTTCTCGACATTTTTTTCACTTCTCTTTTTGACGTTTTTCGCACAGTTGTACGTCAGATGTCAGCGCAGAATATTTTCATTTTTATTCTTCACGCGCAACCGGAAGTGAAAGTCTTTAATATTGTCGTTTTTCAAATTGATAACATTTTTTTATTGAAACTAGCGCCTCAGACGGCCTTCGGCCGTCTTCGTTGTTTCTATTCCTTCTTCATTTTTGTTCAATTTTTACTAATGTTCAGTTTTTTAATTTAATAATTTTTTATATAAAACCAGAGCCCTCGTCGACCGCTTGGCGGTCGACTTTGTTGCTGCTTTATTCTTAATTCTATTTTAATTTTTAATTAAATTCTATTTTATATTTTTAATTATTATATTTTTATTATTTGATATCCTTCTTTTTTTTATTTATGATTTCATTTTATTTATAAATAAAATAATTTTATTTATAAATTTTTCTTGAGATAAACCAGACAAACCCAAGACAGCTCCATCTATTTCGTTTACATTTAGAGTGTGAGGTGCGCTTTCTATGTTCTTTTTTATTCTCTATGCTTATTTCTTGCTTCGATACTTTTCGAGTTCGACTTTTTTCAATTCGAGCTTTTTCTGCTTTGCATTTTTTTAGAAAGGATAAAAACTTTTCTTATTAATTAAATGAAATAAAAATGTTTCCCCATATTCTTTATATTGTTGAAAATATTATTTAATGCAGTGTAAATACGTTAATTTTTTAATTATCTATTAATAACACTTTATATATGATAAGAATTGAAGATATTGGACGAAAACATATCCACCAATCAGAAAACAGTATTCTACTGGATGGACCAATCAGAGCACAGACATGAATGCTGCAGGTTTATTCCTGTTGAAGTTTGCCATTCTCCATCGGAGCATACTTGAACTGACGGTTACTCCCAATCATCCTCACTTTTCCAACAAAAATGGTAATTTTTTCTCAATGTACTATCAATTTTTTGTTGTAAATGGTTGTATTAGTAGGGAAAGTTAATATTTTTTGTGAATTTTGGCCAAGTATGATCTGCAATGGCGAATGTGTGTTCATTCGTCTCTGTTGAACATTGGTGCGTACATTGTTGGACATCGATCAAAATTGACAAAAATACGTAAAATCCTTTCATAATTTTGCATTATCGGTGAACATTTCACACTTGCAATAAGTATGGCAAATTGATTAATTGTTTTTGGTGTAAAATTTGCCAACTTAACAAGTGTGAAATATTGTCAATATTGTTAACATTTTTTCAAAATGGCGGCAATTGTATTTTAGCAATAATTAGATATTTTTACAGGTTTCTCATTCGTTTGGCTGTGGAAATCATGGAAACATTGTCACATTCTCTATATACATAAAATTCGGCCTTTTAAGGTTACGTATTATATTTTCAAGTTCTGAAAATATTCAGCATGTGTAAATATGATTGTAATATTGAGAAGGAATGTCCGGGTCATATTTAGGCGAAATCGGAGTTGAGGGATGCCGAGAATCTTCAATTTTGGTGAGTTTTGTTGAATTATTTATTTATTTTATCCAAATAATGAATATTTAATTGCAGAACAATAACATTAATAATAAAAATTGATAAAAGTATTACAGTATTATTGCATATTCAATTGCTTTTAGAAATATTAATTTAAGCAATTTTCAAAACAAAAGAATTTTTTATTTTCGAATTGTACTGTTTTTATTTATTCACGAAGGAAATTCGTATAAAGAATTTTTAATTTTCAACAATAAAGTATAAATTTTTGAAAATTCCGTCGATCATTTTGTATCTATAATGAAACTATTTTCAGTATTCTCCTCAAGTCCGCTTTAATAAGACTGTGCAACCGCAGAGATCAAAAATAATACACGAAGATCCTGAGCAATCAGACAAAATTGCAGGCTGCTTAAAATCCGGCTTTTTTGCAAGATTACTTTTTAAATCTCTATGCTCTTGAGGAGATTTGAATCGTTGCTGAATGTAGAGCTCTCCATGGGATAAATAGACTGAAGAGGATATCTCGTGAAAAAAGTCTTCTATTGTGGTGAATATAACAATTATATAAAATTACTTCTAATTACTTTGTGTGCTCAAAAAGATAAATTCCGGAAAAATTTATTATCATTTTATTTTATTTTTACATATAAAAATTTATTATTTTATTTTTTTATATCTAAATTTTCGTCTCTTTTATAGAATCTCAAGTTTTCGTGGAATTTTTAAACTCATCACTGGATAAATTCTATAAAGAGGAGGCAGCGGTGTCAATATTCTGTCGAGATGAAAATCAACGAATGTAAGTCCCTCCTGTTCTCAAAAATTTAAACGGAAACAGGTTGTAATATTTTTTTAAATTTTCCAAGTGACAGCTAATTAACTCGATCTGATAATTAGCTCAACTAAAAAATTATTTCATCTCTTTAATTAAAAGGCGGATTTCATATATTAGGTATATATTTTTTGACATGGGAAGATTTTAATTGAATTGAAAACATAATTTTCTACAAAAGTTAAATTTGTATTCGAAAAAATATAAATTATATCCACTGTCACTTGTGAATTTTCACAATATTGTTTCTAAATATTAATAATATATTTTTCCAACGAATATTCGTTAGGAAAAACATTTGAAAATTTGGTCTTAGACTTTTGTATATTATTATTGACAAATTTCAAATTTCTAAAGTATAAATGAATTTTAATTTTGTTTATTATAAAAAGTTATTATTTAAAGTACAATATTTTTTCCAACAAATAAACATTTACATAGTTTCAAGTTTTGAAACTATAATTTTAAATTAAATTCTTTTCCATCAAGGAAACATTTACATAAATTAAATTTTTGAAATTACATAACATTTTTTTTATCTTGAACACAATAAAATATTTAGGAACGATAGTTGAAAATTAACATTTTTGGAATAAGGACAACTGAACAATCCTGCGAAATTGGATAGTATAGATTTTCATTAGTCACAATTTTCGATTCAACAACTTTTTGTTTTGAGTCTAGCAATTTTTTTAAATATTTCTTCCTTCTATATTGGCAAACAGCTTGTTCTAACGCTTTCGTGAGCGCAGTCTGAAAAATTTGAAAAGAATTAATAAAATAACGCCTATAAACAAATTGAAATAAAATAGATTATATTTTCAAAGTACCGTTTATAATAAATATTATTTGATATTTATAATAATAATATTTTAGCTAGGTATTTCACTTATTTATTTTTTTAATTGGAATTTTTGTAGTAAATAAAATTACCTGACACTCCCGGAGGCTTAATTTGTGCGCACTTTTTATGATTACATCATTTTTCTTTAATTCGTGAACGTAATATTTCCCTTTTATCGATTTATCACTTGATGTCGCCGATTTACGACAAACGTGTTGTAATAGTTCTTTGCGATTTGCTTGAAAATAATCGTGTAAATACTCATGTACTTGAGAACCTTGCAAATTATTTGAATCATTATCACGATAGAATGTTGTCACTTTCTTAAATCCATATAAATTTAATTGTCGTATAAAACTGTCGATATTTCGTGTCTTGAACATTTCATTTGTCGTGAATAAATATTCTGTTTGTAATTTTTGATAATCAATGAGAATTTTTGTACCGTTTTCACTCCAATTAATTGCATCACTTGAATTATTGTTAACAATATTCCACAATTTTTGAGGAAACTTCATAATACAATTTTGCATTACTTTTTTTCTATAATTGAAATTTTTAATTCGAATCAAATTACAATTTTCTTTTTTTTTTGGTTATGGAATATTTTTCGATATATTAGAAAAACAAAACACTTTCGTTTCGATGATGGGGGGAAATTTATTGTTTAGAAAATATTCTTTCACAGAAGAAAATATTTAAAAAAATAAAAGTATATTGCAATTATTTTAATTTTATTTTATTCATTAACTTTATTTTATTTTAATTAAATTTTGTCGGTAAATTTGTTTGTTATATATATTTTTTTAATTAAAAATTTCTAGGATAGGATTTTAAAGTTTACTTAAACTTTTTTCACAATATTTGTTCTTCTTTGTTTTGAGTAAATTAAAAAAACAATTGTTAAACATTTTCGACCATTGCTTGTAAAGAATAAACTTTACGTTTATTTAACCACTGTAGAGATCTAAAATTGGATTTTCTCCCTTTAGATAGTCTCGTTTTTCTGAATAAATCCATCTGAAATTGAATCATTTAAATGTTTTTTAGAAAAAATTGTTGCTTTTCCTCTTTATTTTCATTCATTATCGTAATGAGAAAAAGTATTTTCTTTTTAAATAACCTCAGTTGGATTTACAGTTGACAATTGTTTACTTATTATCCAAGTCACAGTTTCTGTACACGGTGGAGTGGTCAGAGAGCCTTTATAAGTAATAAATTCAGATTTTATATTTAATCCGAAACTTTCTAAATTAAATTCTCGAACATTAATGGAAATTTTCCTTGAATTTATCAATTTCTTTAATCTTTTAATAAATTCCGTCGCTTTTGTTCTCTTTTTATTTGTTATCTGAAATTGTGATTGCATTTTGAAAATAACAACTACCAACCCGAGTTTTGATTATCATTTATAAATATTTGGAAAACATATATTAATATTTTTTAAAATAATATGGAGTTACTATAAAGTATATATTACTTGAAAAATAATACCAATCACAACGAGTCCATCCTTATAATTCATAGCTTCTTTAACTGAACCATAGCCTCTTCTATAATGGACCAAATGCAATTCTAGAGGAAATCTATTGTTTATAAGAATTCTTCAATTAAAAATTTTGTTGAATCAAAAAAAAAGTTTGCACAAATATCAACCAAATGCTTAAATGTGAAAGTGAAATATTTTGCTCGGTACTTTTTTTTTACCTGTTGCAATGAATTGTGTGTTCACTTCCTTTCTTGTCATTTTTTCCCCAATGAAAATGACCTCTCTCAAAAACGTAGACATCCTTTAATGGTCCACCAGAAAGATTTGGAATCATTTTTCCCCATTTTGCTTTAAAGTTGACTAGATAATACTTTATTTATTAGTAACAATATAATAATATATAAAAGTGATAGGTAATAATAATTACGATGAGAAGAACAATATTTTTCTTTAAATAAAAATTTGCCCTTTTTTGTATTTTATATAAAAAGGCATATATTTAACAATACCAGTATATCCTGTATTTGTTAAAGTAACCATTTTTGGCATTTTGTCATAAAAAGAAAATTTCAAATTCCTGAGGTTTTGATTCACTGGTGCTGTGAAGTTGAGATCGATAGGTGATTGGTTTTTTCCATTACACGTTGCATACCGCAAACCCCATTTTTCTGGTTCACGCAAAAAAAAAGGAAAGAAAAAAGGAAATTTCTTTCGTTTAATCGAAAATTTGTTGAGAGTAATTCTAACTGATTTGAAGAGAAATTGATATTGCGTCCATATAGTTTAATGGTTATTATTTTTTTTGTGGTTTATAACATATTTTAATTATAAATTTTCATCGCAATTAAATTAATAATCTAAATTTAGTATTTAGTTAAAAAAAATTTAAATTAGTATTTTTAAAAGTAATGTTGTAATTATAATTTATTAATTGATTATAATTACTTTACTGATTAAAATTGAATTTAATTTATTAATTAACTAATTTGTATAAAATTTTCCGTTTAAAAAAAATGCATTTCTTTGAATTATTCAGTTTTTAAATAATTGAATTCAACTTTTTAAAAATTAATTTCTACATACTTTGTTGTAAAATCACTTCCGTTTCTGGTTTAACAAAGGGTGAAATTTCGTCATCGTCTTGATTCACTATTTTCCTTTTTTCTAAATCTTTATTTATATTTGACAAAACATTATCCACAATTACTGAAAAAGTATTTTTCTTAAAGACAGTTATTTATTAACATTAATATTCATATAAATTAAGGGGATAAATAAATATTTCAACGTATATGAAATAAGTTTTTTTTTAATAACTATATGAATTACTTACAAAGTAGAAGAAAATTATTAATAATTCCTACGATGAATAATATTTTTTGCAGCAATTTTCGTAGCATTTCGATAGTTTATAAGACATAATTTTCAATTCGCAAACACTCTATCGACCTTGTTTGAAGTTAGTTCGGCAAATAGTTGAAACATTCGTTTGAAGCTCTAAAAATTCCATATTATAGCCAAAAACCAATAACAATCTCGTGTTATCTCAGTAATATTTCAATCTTGACTATATTAGTTTCATATCCGGTTTAAATGTTTCCTATCTCAGTTTGGAAAATATTTATTTCTGTTTCCATGAAAAATAACAATTTTTAATTTATTTCCTCTAATTCATCATTTTTTGCTGCATAGTGATAAATTAAAAGTAATATTAATCGAATTTATTAAATTGTTTTTATCTTAAATAATTCATTATTTGTCGTAAATTTTAACTTCTTGCAAATTTTTTATTCACAAATATTTTAATAAAAAACACAACTAGTTAAATTAATAAAAAAATTAATTAATTTATTCACTTGATTATAATTGATTATAAATATTAATTAAGTTTTTATTTATAATAATAAATTTAGAGCACAGGTATTTTAAATTTTTTCCCTCTTAAAATAAATACAAATCAACATTATTTCATTAATTAAAAATTTTTATTTTTATTTAAATTATTTACAATTTGTTTTCGAGTAGAAACGAAATTAATTCGGTGATTGTATTTTTTTTATTATTATTTTGAAAATTGAAAATCAATCAAATGGAAGAATCTTAGATTAATTTTTAAGAAGTTAGTTGTTATTAGTGTATACATATGTATAATGTTACAAAATTATTTGACCCCTATCATGATTGACCTCTCAGGGTCCTTCGCGCAAGGCAAAGTTTGATACTACTCTACCATAGCGAGATTAAAATACTATAAAACAGTTTCTTTTTATCATTACGCAAAATTTTCCATAAATAAAGAAAAAATATCGGTAAAAAAATATATACATAGTGAGTTGTATTAATAAAAATACACTATTGTTTGTATGTAAACAATTTTTTCTTGTCGCATACTTGTTTTTTGTTTAAAAAAATAAATTTGATAATTTGGTTTTAAATTATATTTAATTTAGATGAAAAATTAATTACAGACACTTATTATAATATTTAATTAATTAAATAATTTAATACCAATTTTTTTATAAATTAAGAATTCGAATATTCTATCGAATTTACATAATTTTGTTTGTCGAAAATAATAATTGTTAAAATTAGATTTAATTAAATTTTAAATAATTTTCAATATTCTTTTAAAAGAGAAAAATTAAAATAATTAAATAGTTTACAATAATTTTTCGAATTCTTAGAAATTTAAAATTATATTAATAGTTATGATTTTGTAATGCATTTTGTCAATCGGTTTTTAATTTGAGTTTCATTATAAAATCATCTCAAATTTAATTTTAAGCGCACTTTTTGAGTATTAATAAGGCACAGTCTTTGTGAAATGTTGATAATATTTTCATCAATAATTATCAATAATGCATCGAAAAAATATTCTCAAAGTACATATTCCTTTCATGTTAATGTAGTGTTTTTGCTATAAAATATTAACGGCTACTAATAAATATATTATGCAATTATGTTCGCCTTTTGACAACAGTGTGAAAAATGAAAGGGATTCTTTGAATTGAATATTTTTAAACTGCTCTCGATCGAATTAATTACCAATTTACGTACAAGTTATAATTTGATCGTCGGCAATTGGCGGCAATGGTTGCCAATATTCGCACGGTTTCGTCGGTGCCGGTAACAAGTAACCATCGGGATCGAGAACATCCGGTGTTCGTATGGTAACTGGACCTTGTGGTGGTCGCGGTAATGTTTCCATTTGAGCAGATGCCTCCTCCGCTTTTCGTAAATGCTCCAAAATATCCGGAAATCGAAGTCGATCGCGCGGTTCCGTTTTCCAACAGTCCTTCATTAATTGACAAATGTACGATGGACAGTCTGGCGGTGTGAGTAACATTATTCCTTGCGTTATCAATTTAACCACCTGAAAATTTTATCGAGACTATTTTTATTACTTTATTCACATTTGAGAAGAAAATATTAGAACAAAATAGAGGAAAAATATTAAAATTACTTCTTCGTTATTGTGTCCGTAATATGGTTGTTTCCCAAAGGAATACACTTCCCAAAGGACCACTCCAAAACTCCATATGTCACTTTCCAAAGTGAAACGACCGTACATTACACTTTCCGGGGACATCCAACGTACCGGAAGTAAACGCGATCCTCCCATCTGTGAGAGAATTAGTTTTGTTTTTAATAATATATTGCGCTTTTGCATATCGATATGATTATCTTTTTGATCCTACCTTGTAGTAATCGCAGGTGTAAACGTCCCTCGACATTCCGAAATCGGCAATTTTCACAATCAAATCATATCCCACGAGGCAATTTCGACATGCCAAATCTCGATGAACAAATCTCTGCGTTGATAAATATGTCATTCCCTCCACTATTTGGGTTACTATCCAATGCAGGGATTCCTGTAAATTGGAATCAATTATTTCGTTAATTTTCATGCAACATTATCCCTTTCATTTTTGCGCACATCGCTATTTAATGTTAAAACGATTTCGGTCAATGTTAGGTCAATAATTTTCATTTGTAGAGTCAATATTGTACTATATTTGAATTAGTGTTCTAATAAATAAAATTACCCTCGTTAATGGTTGCAATTCTGATCTGGATGATCGAAAATTGTAGGGTGAATTATTTCTTAAAACTTCAGTTAAATCGCCGTATGGCATATATTCAAATACCATCCATGGACTGTGTCCAATTTCCCTTAAAACAACTCCTTTAAGTAGTAAAATATTTTGATGGCGAAAAGTTGACATTATGTCCACTTCCCTCATAAAGTCATCCTCAACTTCACGCGACGCCGATTCCTTTAAAACTTTAACTGCTACGATTTCCACTGACTCGCCATATTTTAATTCGCCTGAAATCACAAGAATTTGAATAAAATACTTGCAGTTAAAAATTATTTTTTAAATTTTATTACAAAAAAAATTAATTATAATTAATATTCCTGAATATTATTTTTGCATATGTTATTACAATATTCTTTTGAGAATTTAACTTCTTTACTATTATTTACAAATTAAACATTAAATTAATGTTGGGTATCGAAATTAGACATTTTTTTTATAAATACCTTTAAAGACTTTTCCAAAACAACCCTCGCCAATATCATGTAGAAACATAAGTGAGTCGCGTTGAAGTAGAGGCACTTCCGGTGAGGAGCATGCAAAATATTGGGGATTTCGAGTGCATTTACTATCCAATAACAGACTTTTCTTGAGATTTCGAGGTATATTCTGTAAAAATATTTTTAGTATAATATTCTTTTCTTTGGTGTAGTGTTTCTTTTTCAGTTTTTTGATATTCTTTTAAGATATTCTTTTAAGAAATTTTAGCAAACGAATTTTTGAATTTCTCCTCATCTTTCTATGATTTAAATAGTAAATGAAATTATGAGAAGGAATATTGATTGATTCTTTAAAATAATAATACATATCTTTAGTTTTTTTCTTAGTTATTTATCGTGAAATACAAAATTCAAAATATAATTAATGTTAATTAGTTAAAGAAAAACAAAAATTGAGTCTACTTTTTTAATTAAGTTTCAATATAATTTGGTATCTCTTTAATTGAAAGAATATAACCTCGAGAAATTCCAACTATACAAATATATGTATAGGATATATTTTTTCACAGTAAATTGTATGCATGCACTGAGCAAAACAGTGTATGCCAAGGTTATCAAAATCGTGCTAAAGTTTCTTGGCATTAATGTGATTGAAATGACACAATAAATTAATCATTACATCGAGTGAGTTTCGCTTGGACTTCGCATTATAGTGTCTTCGTTTATAACAATATATTATGCTCGATACTATCGCTAGTACTAAAAAACAGCCAACGGCTATTCCAACTACTTCAGGTACTTTTTGTCTCGCCTGTTCCACCTGAAAAATAATTATTGCCTATAATATTGATATAAAAAAAAATATTTGGTTATTAATTGCTATATTGTTTATAAATACCTGTTCCGGTTCGGGAAGAACAGTTGTTGTACTTTCTGTGATGTTGCCACTTGGGGGAATTATATTGTGTATTGGTTTAGGTGTTAAAGGCACTGAAATAATTATTTTAAATTATAAACGAATTGTTTAAAAAGTTAAATTATTTAATTAAATAAAAATGTAATATTCCTGGAAAAATGGAAAAGTAATTTTTGCTAGTTAGAAAGTAAAACGGAAACTGCACTTTAGTTAATTTTTAATTCTTTTTGGATTGAATGTTTATAATTGAATTGAGTGTTTAGATTTAGATAAGTAAGTTAAGAGCAATTGATTGCATACCAAGAAGGCGATTCGGACATTTCATGTCGGGTGTAGGTTGAGATAAATCATGGGGGCATACACATTTTGATGTGTTATCGTCGAGTTTCCGACATGCAGCTTCACTGCCACAAACTCCAGGTGTATCTATGCAATTTGTAATTTGTGCAGCCTCCATGTTCGATAATCTTGTCAGTAGTGCCGGTGAGTGTGTCGTTGTTGGAAATTCTGAAATTTTTAATATTTATTTTCTTTCATTTTTATTCTCAGAATTTCTATTTATGGTTGACAATGGTTGAAATAATAATAATTAAAAATAGTGATGGTTAGAATAATAATATTTGAAACAGTTAAGAAGAAACCTAAAAAGAATTTCTTTCTTAAAATAAATTTAAAGCTGCGTGAATAAAACTAGTAATTTTTTCAAAATGTTATTTTAACTAAAAATTACAAACACTTTTCTAAGGATATCAAAGTGAGACAACATGTTGCGAAGCAACGTTTTAATTCGTTTTTTGTCTCAATTATTCTTAGAAAAACTGTGAATGTATGATTAAATTAATAAAATAAATAATAATCAGATGGAAATAACATTAAAGTTATATAATAACTGTTTATAATTCCTTCTAATCAATTGGCCTTAACTGAATCGAGTCAATAAAATATTTGTCATCTAAGAAGAATTTACTAACTCTAAGATAATTTTTTATTATTTCTATTATTTAAAAAATTTTCTAACGTGTCATCTTTTAATGATCCGAAAGGTCAATTAAATTTCATTAATCGCGATGAAATTACAAAAAAAAAGAAAAAAAAATATAAATGCAATTGCAAATTATAAATATAGAATTTAATGCACATTTAGTATAACTAGTTTCGTTTAGATTTAAAGCGAGAAAGAATGAAAAAAAACTTATTGAAATGAGGAGGAAAGAGGAAGGGATATATAATTTGAAATGGCTAACGAATCAGAAATTTAAAAGGCACGCCCAATTTATTATATAGTAGTGTGCATTCATTCAGAATATGCAATTCTCCATCATTCACTGTCTATTTCATTAGATTCACGATTCGATTTTATCAGAAAAATTTTATTTTATTTTTAATACTCATTCATGTCATGATAACGTGATACGTTTATTTATCAAGTCCCTTCATTTGAACGACATTATCGTATTTATAATGTGAAATTTTGTTTTTGTTTATCTGGCATAATATGTTTTTGTTGTTTCTCTCACAATTTATGTAGATGTTGCAAAATTTCTAAATATCGTCTATTGTCAATAAACTCAAATAACTTGTTTTAGGAAGTATTTCAGTTATTTAGTTAAAAAAAATCGTTTTGGAATTCTTCTATTTATAGGCTATTTTGAATTTCCAGTGGATTTCGATTTTAGAAGGAAGAATTTGTATTGAATTGAATTTTGCACCGAAATGTATCTGTAGTCTTTAGTTTCGTTGAATAGAAATTATCCTAATAGTTAATATTTATTTTGCGGTACAATATTTGATTTTAGTAAAAAATAACATTTTGATCCGTTGGATAGCATTTTTTTTAATTACTCTAACTACCATTGCTTGAAACTTTCGCTAATTATAAATTTCATCTATTGTTTTTCAAACAATACTTGAAATTTGAAAATAGGAAAAAACAAATCAATCTTTTATCTTTGTTGGTTGTTTAAAAATATCAGACTTTTATTTGTTTTTAGTGAATCGATGATTTTGAATTTTATCAATGTTATTGACAGTTTTATTTTCATTTGTTTTAACCTGAGTTTTATAAATGTTTTTCAATATTACTACTGTATTATATCGGATATAAATTTATATAATCTAGTGGAAGTGATATGCAGTTACGCAAAAAATTGAAATTATTTTCTTACAATATATTATTGGAAATGGCGCACGTAAAATGGAGGTTAAAAAATTTTTTAATCGGAATCACTTAAGAGACATGTACCCAAGGTATCTTAACGATTATTATTTACGAGAGGACGAAGATGAATGTGAGCAAAGTTCTTCATAATACTACTTAATGCTACGTAATAGTTTCTTTGTGAAATGACCGAAGAAATCATATGGCTTTGTTTACCACGCGTTATTTAATTAAAAAAATGCCCCCTGTGTCCACTGCTGAAAAACAAAAAAAAACGAAATTTTTCAAATCTTAAATATTAACTTCTTCATCATTAAACAAAAACGTAAATTGTTTTAAGAACTTTACAAAATAAATCATGAAATATTTATTTTAATTTTTAACAAAATTGTCAATTTAAGAATTTGTTAATACTTCTTTGTACATATTTTATGAACAGTCGTCAATGTTTGTATTAACTCTAAATTTAAATCAATGAGAAGTCATTCAAATTAGTAAAAATTCCTCTTCATGTGCAGATTAAAAATATTTAAAAAATAGTTTTAATTTTGATTTTTAGTAAAGAAATCTTTCATTAAAATTAGATACATTTAGATTAAAGACATTTAGAATTAGTGTCATCACATTAGTGAGATATATAGTAAACTAAACATTTTAATATTGATAATGAATGTGACAACTAATTTTTCCGCGATGCTGCTATAGCTAAACAGAACAATTAAAGATTACTTCTGTTTTAAAATAACTCGATGTGAAAAAACAAAATTTAAGAAAACAACATATTTTTGGATTCGAATTTCAAAGATTTGATTTATTAATTAATAATAATTATCATATTATAATATAATAAAAAATATATTGTAATGTAGTAATTATAATTAATTAATGATAAATTTAAATTGTTATTTACTTTATATGAATCAATTAGTAATTTCTAAATAAGAAGTTAGAAAAAAGTGACCTTTATGTTAAGATTGAAATTTAAAAGAGAAATACGAACCCTCATTTTCCTATAATGATTTCAGAATGGGGCTTTTAAGGTATCGAATTCCATGTATTTTTTTACTATATTTTTTGTTCGTCACAGAAATCGATATGCAATTAAGGATGAAGCGAATAGGAAAAGCGGTCTATTAATATAATAATATAAAAAATAATAAAAAAGCAAAATGTTTATATAGATGACTTTGATATATTTAAATAAAAGAAGATGTTCCAGGGTAAATTGTATATGGAGGGAAAAGGGTCGCTTATTTGAATTGAACGTTGGCTAAAGAGACAGAGAAGGCATTCATTTGGTGCTTGGGGTTTGTAACGGGTCAGAGCTTTATCTCCGCGGTCAGTGGTCTTGCAAGACCCTGTCTTGAAAATTATATGTTATATATATATATATATATGTATGTATATTCAGTGAAAATGTGCCACAATTTGACAATTTCCATTTTCAAAAGTTGTCTTGATACTTTAGATGAAAATAATACCCATTCTTTTTTAAAAGATTTTCATTTATTAAATTATTTAACATTAAAGAAATTGGTTTTAAATTATTTACAATTAATTAATTTTATGTACTTTACTCTAAATCTGAACTAGTAGTTTTTGAGTAGTTTTCTAATAAATAAAGGTAAATTTACTTGTATTTTGCAAGCAATTGTAATATTTAAATTCAATTGTTTAAAAATAATTTACTTCTGAAAATATCTACTATTTATACTTTAAAAACAATGACGGTGCACTAAAGTAAGTAAAAAGCAAGACCTTCTTATTAGTGAGAAAAATAGAGAGAATGCAGTACAAGTATTTGAAAGACTTCATTGAATTAGAACTAATTAGCCAATAATTATAGAAGAATGATTGATGAAAGAAGCAAAAAAAATTGTTATTTCGATGATGTTATTCGTAGAAATCGGATAAGATGTAAATAATGAATTCATATATGTCTTCCGTATTTTAGAAGTATATGATCTATTAATCATCCGTTACAAAATATCACGTATACTTTTGTACAGCAATAATATAATAATCTGTTGGTGTGATTTAAATATGCGTGAAGCAACTTATCGACAATTTTCAACTGTCAATTTCAGCATTAGCTTAAGATAGAGTCCCATTATCTTTGATTTCTAATTCAAACTTATCTCACTGACACTCTTGGAGGTCCTACTATATAACTTATACACTTTCCTGAGGGACATAATCCGATGAAACAAAACAACAAGAAAAAAAGAGACGATTACTTTTTTCTTGATCGTTATACTTGGCCTTTTTAGATTAATTCTCCACTTTGGTTATTATTTTTAAGAAATGGAATATTTTCTTCTTCACAAAAAAAAAGTTTAAAAAGAAAGAGCGATGAAAAATTATTTTTAATCTGCCCTAGATAATTTAGGTTAGGAGATAAAATTCGGTAGATTAAACTTGAAATTTGTATTATCTTGGAATAATAAATTATGTGATCAAATATGGCTTAATTTTTGATAGTTTTGAAACTAGTTGGTTGTTGTTGGTTTTGGAATTTGTTGATAATTGCTATTCTTTAAGCTTCAATGTCAAATTACCTGTTTAGTTGTTTTTTTAGTCTCCCCAAAGACCACATAAGAGCTACTGTGTCAGGAATAATCTCGAGGATCTTCATGATACTCATTAATACAGTTGCAAAACCGACTAGAACTTTTGTACAATGGGATCTTTGTGCTGATTTGTCGGCAGCTCTGTAAGTGTTTTACAAATGACTGCAGAGATTTAAACGAGATCGAGTTTAGATGTTGTTTTATACAGAAAATTGCCGGTGGGGTTATGTAAGCCTGAATAAAAAACATCTGCCAAGTAATTATATTATTAATTTTACACTTCTAACTAGTGGTAGAAATTATAGTTGAGGATATTTTTTAACAAGTATTTGTAAATTCTTTTTGGAGAAAATAAATATATGAGGAAAATGTCGCGGAAATAAGTGGGACGGAGATTTTTTTACATCAAGAGGAAAGTAACAACCGTTATTTACTTAGATTCGAGGAGAAAATTTTTATGTCTATGTGATGTTAAAAGTTTTTCAACTTCATTAAGCAATGTTTTGCTTACAGAATATTTGAGGCAGAAACGTTCGTTTAACTAAATGGTTGAATTATTTCAAATATAAATTTTAACCAAATAGGTTCGGAGTATTACAAAATTTAATAATTCCAAGTATTATGGTATTTTTCGGTAGCTTTCTTATAAACGATTGTTGTTTCAAAAAATAGTAAATTTCTTAATTCGAAAAGAATGATATAGTTACAATTTAAGGTATTTAAAATAGAATTTATAGAAGTTACTATTTATGATAGTTTTATAATCTACAGTAGTTAAAATTGATGAGTTGCCATTTGTCATTTCTTCAAAATACAATTATGTTTCTTATTGTTATCAATCGTGTTTTGTGAATTTCTAACTTAGAATCAAAATTTAAATATTAAAATTAAGTGTTATTGGACATGTCGATATAGAATCTGGGACTATTTTTTAAAAATATATCATGTCATTGTAAAAATTATGAAAGGTGTATTCCCGTCAGTATAATATATATCGGAAGGGAAGTACCAGAAGACACAATTTGGGTGGGCCGTGTGTAATGAATTGAACATTGTTATATGTGGGCGAAGCAGCAGCAGCAGCAGCTTTACTGAGATTTACTCGACTCATTGCAGATGTTTGTGTGGGTGGCTAAAGGTGATCTTCTATATTATATTCTCTTTTTTAACTACAACTAATTAATAATCTCCCGATTGTAACGCGAAATCTTCCGTTTATTTACAAATTTAGAAAGATTTATTTTCAAAAATTAGATTTCCAGTATGGAAAATTGACATTTTTGACAAAAACAGTGAAAGAAATAAAAAACTATAAAATTGGATGAAAAAAGAAGACAGATAATTAAATGAATAATAAAATTTGGAGTAGGTACTGTAAATGTAACAATTTACTCCAATTGTTACAAAAGTTCTACATGGTTGTGTATGCCTATATAAAAGGATTAATGAACGAAAAATGATTACTATACTTTATTGAAAATTTTATCTGTAAATTTTACATGTTACATATTGACTATTAAATCACGTTACACGATCATTATTTTAAAGTGCTTGGTTATGATTTTCACAACAATAAACTCGTGAATATCAAATAAAATTAATGAACTAGTATAATTTAGAGCCAATAAAATAGAGAGTTTAAACTTTACTATATTGCATAAAAACGTCAAGTATAAACATTTACATTCTATCATGATTTACACACCTGTTGATTCATTATAATTTGTGTCTTCTATAAGTATAGAATTTATAGTTATTTAATGTTTCTCAGTGTTTAATTAAAAACTATTAGTAATTATAATTAATTAATTGGACGATAATAAGACGATGAATTAATTCGTATGGTTATTAAATACAAAAACGTCAATTTACTTATAAAGATTTATTTAAAGGAAACATTATTGTTGTGACAGATAGAAGAAAAATGTTAGAATTTGTTACTTTTTCAAGAAAAAGAAAACAGATTGTGCGAACTTTGAGAAATAGACAAGGCATGAAATAATAATTCAAAAATTTTGAGTGAATGTTGAAACAGCATTGAGAACATGAATAATCTTAAGTAAACACTCCCCAATTGAAAAATAACGGGGTTCTAAAGAAATAAACTTCTTCCAAGACAAATATTCCGGCAAAAGTTTTGTTATTAAATGTAAGATTTATCAATTGTCGTTTCAAAGCTTTGTGTTGAGAATTATTTTTAGCAACAACTTTTTAATAGTGTTGACCATAACTACCAATAGTTACAAATTACAATTATTGACAACTGCAGTTAGTTACATCATTAATGGTAGCAACTAGGTAGTAATTACAAATTAAAATTAAAGACTATTGTTATTATAAATAAAGCCAATATTAGTAAAATAATACTATGACAATAAGTAATAATAATTTTTAACTAAATAATTAATTTTGCAATTAAACGTGAAAACATTACCTGCGTGAATTTCTGCCGAAGATATACCCCTCCGTTTCGGTGATTTTTTGCGTCTAATTATCATTTTGACGCGGTTATTAGTGATAATCATGTTGAGGCCTTGACTTGTACAAGAAAGGACGTTAAATCGCTATTCATTTAGCACTTTTTCACCTCACATATATAAATATACGTATATAAAAATTATTTACCGACACAGGAATAATTATCATTCTGGTGTTAATTTATATTATTAAATACGTGAAAGCTTTTCTCTTATGTATATTGCAATTTCTTTTGATTCGCCTCCCAAAAAAGGGAAGAAAAGAAATAACTTCTAGAGAGAAAAAATCGGGTAAAATAGAATTTTCCTCTCAGTCTGGTAAACATGAATAATCAGCATTCTCGTCGCTATTTGTATTGGATAAATTCCTTGACTTACGAAGCGATAATATGGTGTATATATAATAATAGTAGCAATTTTTTCTTATTCGGTAAAATTAATGATGGATAATAAGCAAATGCTATTTTTTCTTAAACATTACTGATCGTTTTCTTTTGGATTTTTTTAAAATTAATTTCTTCTTTTCTGTAAATTAATCTTTTCTTTTCACTTTCACCCTTTTATATTATTTCATTAACACACGGTGTAATTAATATTATGATTCTGATTTATTTTTATCACCTTCTCTTTTTTCCTCTCAATTCTTTTTATAACACTTTCTTTGTACACGCGCAATTGATGATTTATTGTCTTTATTTCAATTGAACAGTCGACAAGCACTTCTTTCTTATTCTTTTTAACTTTAACTTTCTAACTAAAAATATTCTTCTTCCACTATTATCGTAAACGTTTCGTTGTCTTTTAACTTCTTTTTATCATACTCCACGAGTTCTGAAAAAGATAATGCGAATATTTTTCTTTTTATTTTCAATTCCTTCGTTGTTTTGAAAACTGGATGATAATAATAATAGCGCCAAAAAATATATACGTGACAAAAATATGCCAAAGAATTAGTGGTAATTAATGATAAATTTAATGTTTATTAATAAATGTTAATTGTCTGACTAAATCAAATAAATTAATTTATTAGTAAAATTTATAACTAATGAAAAATGGTAAAATAATGTCAATTACCATATTGACATTTAATTTACAGAAAATGTTATTTTTTATCCTTTTTTTAATTATTAAGATTGGTTCTGCTCCCAATTAGTTCGGATAATTAAAATTCGACTGTAATTTGGTTCAAAGAAAAGGTTTTGGAAAAACAAATCACCGGTAAAATAATATATTCTCTTCTGTTTTGTTGCCATTAACTATTTTTTTTATTTTTAATTCATTATTCCTTTTATTGAAGTTTATCTTGAATAGAATCTGTTGGAATGCAATTCGATTTAAAAAATTGGGTTGCATTCAATATTATTTAACAATAAAATTATTATGACTCAGTAATAAAATTTTATAAATTTAGTTGCTTTCATTCAGATTTTAATGTATGGTTATTATTCTTACACAATATTATTGTTACAGTCTTTTTCATTACAAAATAATAATTATTATTGTCATCCGTTTTTCACTACATATCTCCCTATTTTTGCACTAAATTTTGAAAATTCTACACTATTTTTTGTTTATTCTTTTTATCACTTGAATAATATTATACCTTTTTCACTATTTAAAGCCATTTTTTTCTCCTTTATGGAAAATTGCACGAAATTTTTTCTTATTTTTCGGAAAATATTGAAAATTTGTTTGTTTCGCGCATCCTGTAAAAGGAGGAGAAAAGAAAAAATCGCGAACTGTAAATGTCATATGTCGCGGAAGAAAAGAGTAATAAAAAAGTAATAAAAAAAGGGAAGAAGAGAATGGTGACCACACTCTCTTGACTGAAACTGACTGACTGCCTTCAAGCTAGAGAACTCCCTCGCACATATTTGTTCGGTGTTCCCTCTTAATGTTGGGCTCTGTCGTTTTAGTGACTGTGTTATCTTACACACACATTTACGCGCGGCACAATATTCTTTAAAGCATTTATAAAGAAGCATCCAGCAAGAGAGTGTGTGCTGCAGTTTTGTTACAACAGTTGAGATTTTGCCTCCTTTTCTTCTTGGAGGGGTTGCTCGTGCCACTCTCAATATCATTGCCACGTGCTCTTCTATATTCACTAATAACAGTAAACACTTTATCGTGAGCACGTTATTTTATCGTGCATTTTGCAATATTCTGATCTCTTCTCTCTTTTTTCCCCAATTTTTTCTTTCTCTTTTTGGTCCAGACGCTCCGAAGGTGAGCTTTCGTTTCCAACTTTTTATCTCATATTTTTGTTTATTTTATTGTTATTTTTACTGCGCTCTTGTTTTTTTCTTTTCTCTTGATATGGAGAAAGAAATAAAGAAACTCTACATTTTTTGTTTTATTTAAAATAAGGGACTTTTCTCTCTTTGTTTTATATGGTTGTTAGTAAACGCTGGGATTTTTGTAAACGAATAACTAAAAACTGGAATTTTTTTGATAAAACTAAAGACAAGAGTTTTTTTTAAATAAAAGTGTAAAGAGGAATTATTAAGTTGAGCCAAAAACTAGAATTGAAATTTTATTTTTATGCATTTGCATGGTAAAGATAACAAATCCCACCGCTGTCACTCGTATACAAAATATTTCTTTCCTGCCGATAATGAATGCTGTATCTAAAGAAACTTATCGCGAATTCCTTACAAATTGTCCTTTGACTCAGGGACAAATCTTTAAACCATTTATCAAAATATTTCGGAAGTGAGTCAATGGCAAGATACAATACAAAATTAATAATCTTTTTGTACAAACTTAAAAGTTAATTAGTGCTAGAAATTCATCACTTCATATATTTTTTATTTATATTCACATAATAATATCAATAAGTACAATTAAAACTGAACACTACAAAAAAAGTAAAAAATGAATTTTTTATTTAAGTTGAAGGTCAATGACACGCGCTAATTCTCTTTCGAAAAGTATAATAAATTAGATTGACGTGAAGAAGAATATTTGTAAACTATTTTTACATTTGAGGTAAAATTAGTGGTTCTTCAAGAGAAATCCTTAGTCTGAGTATGTGTGGGGATTGTTTCGGAAAAAGAGATACAATATCGAGTGAAGGGGAGTAGAGAAATGAAAAGAAGAGAGAAAAAGCCGTTAAGAGAACTTGGCTCGGAAGTATGTTTATATGAAACGTTACAGAATCACACCTGGACACGAGAATAACTTCAGACAGTTTTGGTGAGAGAAAAAAATCCCCTTGAACGTCACTCAATTCTATATATCAATTTTACAATACATTGAACACTTCGGTTACTATTCTAAAAACGAATGTTAATTGTTTCAATAGAAAATTTAATATTTACTTCTTTTTGAAAATATAGTCTTTTAAAAATTTATATTGAAATACTGCGTCGTAAATGTAACTAAAAATAAAATTGCGATAGAGGAATTAATGCGGAAGGAGTGTTAGTGTGAGTGTTTTTTCGACGTCGATTTGAAACACTTGAAACTTGGAATTTGATAAATTAGAAGTGTGGGCTATAAAATTTCTAATTGTGATGGGAAATTGCTCAATGGATGGGTTTCGTTTGTATGCATGAGCAGAAACGGGTTTCAGTGGTCGGCGATTCTTAACTTCACAGATGGATTAGGGTCTAAAATAATAAAGCGGCAGCGCACACAGGGATGGAAAGTGTTTGTTATTTCGGGTACACGCGCTCCAAAAGTGACCCACCCGGTAAGATTTCTCTTATTCGAAAACGGAAAAATAATATTTCTTTCCTCCAGATTACGTCCCGAGTAACATATATACAAACGTAAATCAATATTTTTATGACAAACATATTATACCCAAGTTTTTCATTTTTACATGTGTGCGTGTGTAAGTGTTCCAAGTTTTCTTGTTCTTTTATTTTCTGTATACAATCCACTGTATATTTTGAAGAAGAGTTTTTTTGACTTTTTCAAACTTTTAGTTATTTGATGTTTTGAAAATTTTACGAGTTGTAAATTAATATATATAAATAATTTTTAATTATTTGAAAATAATTTTTGAAATTATTGTTCAAGTTATTTTTCATAATGAATAAATAAATTAATCCTTTATTAATAGAAACAATAATTAAGAAGAATATTATTTTTACTATTTTTCACTCCTAAGTAGAAATAACTAAAAATACTTTAACATTCACCAAAGCAATATAATTTCAATGCTCATAGAAATATTTAAAAATTATTAATTAAATGACAAAATAATTAAAACAAGTAGGGATTGAAAAAATTGCAGAATATTTATAAAATAAATGTATATATTTATTCAGATTTTCAAATCCTTCTTTTCAATTGTTTACAAGGTTCTTCTTTGATCGCCTATTTTATTTCCTGTTCTTTCTCTCTTTCTTCCTTTTTTTGTAAATCTGGTGTTGGAATTTAAATTACATACATAATAATCCTCTGATTAATCCCTTCAATCTCACCCTCATAATTACCTCGACATTAGAGGAATTGACGAAATTTTTGAAATCTGTATTTTTCTAATTATTAATAGATTAGGTATTTAATTTTACTCTGCACCGCAGTGTTATTCCTCTTTTTTGTTATATTTTACATTATTCTCTTTGTCGATCATCAGCTGAATAAAGAGGTCATTAAACGTTATTAAAATGTTCGTTGCTAAATGTATTTTAATGCGCTCGTAAATAATAAAAATAAAAATAATAATAATGATTATAAATGATTAATATAATTGAATATGTTTAAAAGCCGACTTGTGAAAAACGATTTGACATTCGTAGATCTCGATTATACAAAGTGTGATTTTTTTGTCTTTTTCTGTTTGATGAAAAATTCTTAGAATCAGATTTTTACTAAAATTAGGTCCATATCTGAGATTAGCCGTGAATAATGAAAACTATGCTACGCTTTTCATCCCTGGTCCCTCTGAGGCTATGTAAATGTCGCATTATGTGCGCATCGCACTAGGCATCTTTTTCTATTATTAAAAAAGAAAAGAAAATTCGTTTTTCCTATAAATTCTGATTTTATAAAATTGATAAATTAGTATTAATTTAAAAAAAGAAAATTACTCTCATAAAAACTAATTCTCTGTTCTATTAAGGAAATTAAATCAATAATAGTAAAAATGTTAATTATTTCTCTTATTAATAATTATTTAATAGTAAATTAATAAATTAATAATTAATTATATAGCAATGCTTATGAATATAGGGTGAGGCTAAAGTGTGGCTAAGCCTTAAATATTTCTTAAAATCTGTATTTTGGGGATAAAGGTTTGAAACAAAAGTTTTTGCTCCAAAATACATATTTTAAGAAAATATTTAAGGGATTTTATTCATTTGCCACACCTTACTAATGAATAAATTATAATAAATTTTTAATTATATATTAATCATTATCGATAAATATTTACCTTTAATTAATAATGATTAATTAATAATTACTAAATAATACTTTTTTTTAATTAACTAAATTATTCTTACGAGAGTAATTTTTTGCATTTAACGTTTTAAAAAATAAATCAATAATAATAAAATTTTATTTTATCGAGTTTATTTTATCGAACGCATATTTTTGCGATTTATCAAATAAGTTTTTGGGAATTTTGTTTTTGTTTTTTTTCTTTTTTACAAAAGAAAAAGGGAAATATTTTTCGTTATTAATCACGCTTTATTGTGCTATGGCTTTTGATTCCAGTTTTGTCTGGTCTTTTAAGCTTTGAATTGTGCGGACGATTTTTTCCAATTATTCGCAGTCACGATTTTTCAAGCATTAAGAACTATATATAAATGCTGTTGGATTTTTCGTGGACGAATATATGATTTTTTTACGGAATAAAAAATAATTTTTTTCATTAATTCTAAAAAATAATTATTATTTGATAAGCGTAAAACTTTCAAATAATTTTTTTGGTAAAAAGTGTTTTGCCCTATTTCATGAAATAAAATTGAATAAAAATAAAAAAAGGAAAAAAAAAGGAAAGAAAAGGAATTATGATAATAAATTTTGTGTCATAAAGTAGATGTAACGAAAAAAGTATGTAGATTAATTATTAAGTATGTAATTACCGTAAAATTAGAAGGGATTTTTTTGCAAGTTCGAATATAGTCAAATATTCCCTTTCACCCAAGTGGAAATCTCAAAAAGATAATCACTTTCTTTTATTATAAATATATTTCGAAATTCTACTGCCTGAGAAGAAAATATGTAGCAAGTATATTTTTTGTTTTTTACAAACGTATAATGTAATAATACGTAGCAATGGAATGTTTCGAACGATCCACAAAAGGATTTTCAAAATTCAAAAATCATTCAAGAAATAAATTCCAATCGTTTCCTAATTTCGTTGGATGCATAAACATATAAAATCTGTGTTTGGTTAGGAAATAAATGACAAGTCGACCATGAAATGTTTTTCTTTGCGTTAAAGAATATAACACGTGAAAAAGGAAAATTTTATTATGTACAACTGAAACCATCTTATCAAAATTTCGTAGAAGATTTTTCGATTTTGACGCGTTATTTTCCTGAAATATTTCAATTTCGATTTGTCATGGTGTTGAAAACCAAAGCATGTTCTTTCACCTAACCAGCAATTTTTTCTGCAAATGTTTAAATATTTTTTTAATTATTATTCTAGAAAAAGTCTGTGAATGTAAAAATTCGTATATGGAATCATTTACTTTATGATTAATAAACAATACAGCTGTATTTTTTTGTTTTTTTGCTTCTAAAGAAATGGTTGTTAAATATTTATTGAATGATTTTATTTCGCATTGGACGAACATAGATTACTTACACAATGAATATCTGTACATTGAAAATACGATTAAATAGCTCGCTTTATTTATTTTTCATCTAAAATTCATGATCCCACAAATCTGTAAAGCAAAGGAAGGAATAGTTTGTTTCGATTTTTTTTAGGGTAGGGGGATCGAAAATTTTTATTGTTATTATTATGAAATATTCTTCAGACTATGAAAATGAAGGATACAATAAATTTTTTATTCCATAAGCATAAACATGGCGCTTTTGGATAGGAAATAACAGGGTGTAAATCCATTCATTTGATCGACCGTACGAAAATGACAGAAATTTTTTTGCCCAAGGGAAAAAATAAATGCCATTTTCGCACAAGGTGAACAAGTGGATGATTTTTACTCCGTCGTCTGCTATCTGAAATCGTCTCTTTTGTGCCTTTGGAATAAAAAGTATCGCAAGTAACAAAGTGCAAAGCAGCCAGACAGTTTTCGTTGATGTTTGCGAGCACTCGGTTACGAATGCTGCAAACGCAAATGCAAACAATGGCTGCCTTTGGCCCTTGTTGCTTAATAATACTATTTTTTGTCTAAATTTCAGATAGGACTTGTGTTTTAAATACTCTCTACATATCGTATAATATTATAAGATCAGTAGTAGGCTATTATGTTATCGCAACGTTATGTAAATATAATATAAGCGTCTTTTTTGTGCCCTAAGTTAATTTTTTATTGTGTAGTTTTTTGTTTCACCAGTTGACACTTGTTTTTCTTATTCATCCACTGTTTTATTAAATTAATATACAGAAAATAATTATCATACGCATAAAAAAATTGTCTATTAAATTTTTCTAAAATATTCAAATAGATGAATTTTTAATTACCTACTTAAGTTGAATTTAATAATTGTTTAATTACTTGTAATATTAATTTTGTTTTAGCAGAAATATTTTTAACTTTTCTTTTGTTTTTATTATTTTAATTTTATATTCTAATTTTATTGTAGGTAATTATAGTTTGCTTTTTTTAGAAGATTAGACACATTATTATTTTTTTATTATTTCAAAAATTTTATAATTAGAAATTGAATAAAAAATTTTGTCAGTGGATTAACGAGAAAAATTAAGAGTCGCATTTCTTGTATGAAAAAACGGTTGAAATCTCGTCAAATCTGGCATTGGTCTTACAGCAGAGAATAAAATTCACTAACGCAATAGTCGAATTGCTTGGAAATATATATATATTTTTTTATATACGTATATTATATAAATCGCGAAAAGCGAGAAGTGTTAAAATTTAATTGGTGTTTCCTCATTAATTCGTACTGATTTAGCAATCGAATCTACATATTTAAATAAATGTAGAAAACTCGAAAATTTCTAAAAAGTGAAAAATTTTTATATAAACTGAAAAATTAATTCGCTGATTGCCCCAGATTTGTGACATTTTTTATTTTACTTTCATTGAAAGCATATAATTTATTTTTTTTAAAGCGTTTTCTATTTACAAGTTTAAACTTTTTTTTAAAATAAATTATTTTTGAGGCAAGTCCTCAAGTCTTTATTATGAATGTTTATTTGCACGTGGATTTATTTTATTTCGCGTCATAAGATGTCAACGCGGGGAAAAAAAGGTTGCTAGTTACATTTGTTCAAAATTCTAATTTAAATTATATTCAGAATTGAAATGTTTTTAAGCAATTTTCAAGTTTAAAGTAATTTAAAAAGAAATATTTTGCAGTTACAAATTGCAATAAAAATATAATATTTTGTGCGGTAAATAAATAAATAAACTTGAAGTTTTTTGAATAGATTGTAACTAACGGATACACATTTTTTCCCTCAACGCGAAGACAGTTATGGGAATTGAAATATTAATATTCCGATGGAGTAAAATGTTTGCACATTTTCTTGATGATCCTTTGAAAATTTTTTCTTCTTTTTCACTCAATTAGTTCTCTCCTGTCATATCGTTTTTGAAGTGAAGAGCTCCTGTTAGGGAAGAGAAAAGGCCGTATATATATGAATGCATCATTCGCGGATGGTCATTGACATACGACACAAGTGGATTTGTCAAGAGTTCCCAATGCATTTACGGCTAGGAACGTGAGTGGGGGTCGTGAAAGTCCAAATCCCTAGATTGTTCAATCAAAGTTAGGTCGCTCGCACTTTGACCCGGACTCATACTAGGAGTCACGATAATTTGAGTCCTTGTTGTTCCGAGCAAGGCCATGTTTTCACAAGAGGTCTCCTCCTCTTCCTCTTCTTCCTCATACTCAACATCAATATCCGACGGCAGCGAATTTTCCGTCGTACCTACAGCAGAAATGCGATATTTATTGATAAAAAAAACAACTCACACACACATACGTGTTCACATTCACATACAACGACCGGACAATACAATGTCCAGCCTCTTTCGTTTATGTGCCATATACTAAAATTATTGTCAAGCTCAAGTATTCAAAATACAATGAAAAGTATATTTTTTTAATTGCCTTGCGAGATTTCCTTGCAAAGAAATAATAGAATTTCAGAAAATTGATATATCAAAAGTTAAATAGGAATTATTGGAGAAATATGTTTATAATATTACAGTTTTTCTAAGGATATCAAATTGAGCCAATAATCGAATCAAAATGTTTGATATCCGCAGAAAAACTGTGATGGTAGAAAATTAAAAGTAGCCACCACTGGAAAAATTTTACATTATTCGCAATTTGATATTTAATTATTATTATTATTATTATTAAATAAGAACATCCTTATTTCTAATAGATTATTATTATTATTGGGATCAAATGAAAATTTTTATATTTGAATATTGTTTATTTTACTCTAATAAAAATGCTTCGGTTCAAATAAATATTAATTTAATAATAGTCAAGTAACAGATGTTGAATCAAATAAACTATTTTTCATTGTATTTAATGTACAGAATTGGGTTGGATAAAAATATGGCTAATATTTATTTAGCCGAATTATTAAGCCGAAATTCATGGAACTAATTTTATTGGAGAATTTTCAATTAATATATAATTTATCTTTCAAAAGTATAGAAAGAAAGAATTAATGAAAATTCTGGCTAAACATTAAAATAAAAGTAAATTAAATGTGTTAAATGTTATCTCTACTGAATAGAAATTTAATTAGGTAAAAAGCTTGGCTAAATATAAATTTTTAAAAAAGTTACTAATTCATATTTTTTCTGGCAATTTTGCATTATAATTGTTAATAAAATTGAAAAAATAATAATTTTTTGATTTTATAAAATTATAAAAATATCATTCTTAATAAGGCTCATCATTCAGAAAATTATTAGCGGAAATAGGCTTATTAGCAGTAGGACTCTTTTAAAGACAGGAATTAAAACCGAAAATAAATTTTGTTATATAATTAAATTATTTTTTTTAACAATGAAAAGAAGTCAAGAATATAAGATCATAACTTACATAAATATTATTAAATAATTTTTAATTATTAATAGGTATGGTTTTTTTGAAAAAGAAAATTATTTTTCAACCTTTCTAAGTTTGACTCTATATTGTTTAACACTGTCATGGAATTCTATCAAAATTTATCTATTGTATTATACTTTAAGGATAAACTTCCTTTCGTTGACTATGCAAATTTCAAACTCGAAACAATCCTGAACTCAAAATATTAATATTGCATTAATTTCAACTACCTCATTGCAATGATTTTCATTATTTTTCTTTAAAATACCTCCTTTTTTTATTTATTTTTATATGAATTATATAATTTTCGTAATTAAAAAGAGATAAAAAAATATTAAATAATTATTAAATAACGAAAAAAATTTCGGTTTTATTTCCTGAAAAGTAATGAAAATAAATTTTGTTCGTATAGCAAAAATGATAAAATAAACATATATATTGAACTATATATCGATGAAAAATTAATTCTCTACACACTATTTTTATGAAATGTAGAAGCAATTGATTGCTTTTATGGCAAATTAATTTTTCATCGAATCAATTGGAAAGGAAAGGTCGCTAAAAACAGAAAATTGATATATCTAGTTGAAAATGAATAAAGTAGAAAGTTTATTTACTAATTGCGAACATTCATGGAATGTGTACTTTTCGTGTTGCTTTATAAACTCTCTCTCTCTCTTTCTCCTTCTTTCTTTCTTTCTTCTTCTTTTTATCTCTCTTTATCTCTCTATTTCGATTTGAACTCATTTGGTACGAGAGATTAAATATTAATATTCTTTTTTTCGAATCCCCCACTTGTATTGATTGCTTTACAAAAATATTGAATTCTCTTCTCTTTTATTCAGAATTTTTAGTGATGAATAATTTATTAAAGCTTTGGACTTTAACGTATCCGATACCTCGAAATTCCAGGGAATTTAAAAGTCAGATATCCTGAACAAAATATGGGAACGAACTATATACATAAATATATATAGAGTGTGAGAAAAGCAAAATTAATGATCTTTTTTAAATCAAAAATAAGTCTCGCGAGGCGCAAAAATGTTTTATTTAAATTTACTGTTAAAGAAAGTGTTGTATTTACTTGTTCTACTTGTAAGACAACTGGATTTTGCAATAGTTTTTCTTTATGGTGAAATTTGCAACATTTAAGAGAGAAAATGAAAAATTAAAGGGAATATTAATAGTTTTTATTTTCAACTACGAAAGCTTTAAATGTTTGGTACTATAGTAATAAACCAACTGTTACTATACTAATTGCATTTATTAATGATTGATGCTTCCTTTTAATTTTTTTACTAGGTACTAATATTGTAGCTACAAATAATTTTGACTATCAATAATTTATTGTTAACCTCAATGGTTGTAATTACAACAATAACCAGTAGTTTTTTGTTTGAAACTCCCTCCATGGTTGTTACCACTCATCACTATTTTTCAATAATTGTCTCTAATTCCCTACTTCGAAATTGAACTAAAAATAGTTTTTCGATTCTTTTATTTATTTGTTTGTGCTCGGAAAGTAGCAGAATTCAGATTTCATAGATTGATTTCTCCCCCGGGATGGGATTAATTTTGAGGTGTGTACACTATAACACAATCGTGCAACATTCAATTGGATTTGGTGAATCGAGCGATACAGAACTTGAGAGACATTTTTTTTATGTCACGAATATAGGGTGCATCCCAAATGGATATTAAATTGATCAATCACATACAGTGGACAGTTTTTTAAACGTTTGCTAATGTGATACTATAAAACAAAATAATTAAATCTCTTTTTTAAAAGCTGTATTTTTTGTATTTATTATTTTTAAATGTTAAAGCACGTTTTCCAAATAATTAGATATGTATGTATATTTGTGGAAAAGAAGAAATCTTTTTATTTATCGTTTGTTTGTTTAAATGGAATGCAACAGAAATGTAGGTTATTCTAATTTGTAAAAATGAATTTTCGCCTATGATTAGGATTTAGGACTTACTGCGTTAATTATTTTTCACTACAACGAGGAGGTTGACGATCGATTGTTGAATGTAGCTGAAAATTCAATTATTCTTAAATAATTGCATGCTACAATGCATCTATATTTATCTATGAAAACCTCTATCTATTTAGCGAAAAATTTTGCAATAAACAGATTAACAATTTAGTAATTTTAGTAATTAATAATAATTTTAGTAGTAAACTATTATTAATTGTAATAATAATTACTTTTCTAGTAATGAATAATTTTGATACATCTAAAGAATTGCCAATGTAAAAAATTACTAATTATTGAAAAATAGACACTGGAACTCGAGTTACTGAGTACTGAGACATCTACCTCAATAATTCGAGTTTCAGTGTAACACTAAGAAGAAAAATTCTGAATAGAATTGTAAGAATATTCTGAAGGGAATATAAAATTGTACAAAGCCAATAACTTTTTCATATACATTTTTTTTCGAGTTTTATTTATTTTCTCGTAGAAAATAAAAAAATAAAAAATATATAGAAAATCATGTGAGAAAATTTTGAAAAGATATTTTTTGTACAAATGCATTTTTTCTTTGCATATATGTACATATGTATATACTTTTTTATTCTCCCCCGGATATATCTTTGGGTGAATATAAAAATTTTAGGAATTTTTTCTTGAGATTTAAATAATCCACGGATATACTTAGACACTTACCAGTAGATTCAGTTGTACTTTGAGGCAAACCGGAAATCCCAAAGACGCGAGAATCCTCATGTTTGGAGTCTGCTTCTGAATTGGTAGGCACCGTGATCACCACTTCACCTTGTCGGTGAGGCGTTATTTGATACTTTGTACTCGACTTTACTGCTCTAGGATCAATGGGAGGTGCAAAATGCGAAGGAATTGAACTGCGCAAAAAACGGAAAAAAATTCACATTATATACAGTTTGAAAATTATTAAATATTTTCATTTTTTCACTCTTTTTTCTTTCAAGTTTCAAGAAGAAAAAAGAGTGGAAAAATGAAACAAGATTTTATTAAAATAAGAATTCAGTAAATACTTGCTCGAGGGAAAAGTTTACAGTTATTATATATATTATTATGAATGTAATAAAAAAATTGATGTGAGTGAATTGAACCTAATGGAGTGAAATGTTGAGGCAGAAGAGAAAATTAATAAAATTGTTCCATCTTATATATTGAGACTCTGTAATTTATTGGACGTGCTTCAATCATTTTATGACTCGATTAATTCGAGGATTACGATAAGGCGTGTGAATGTCCTTTGATTTATATGGAATTGAACCTCCAAAGTACCGTTCTATTGTGCTATATTGCCAGGCCAGATTATCTGTTCTGTTGATAAGGGTTATAGGGGTAGATTTACCGGAAGTGAACTCTTTTTTTTCTTCAACTTTTACAAGACCTTCATATTTGGGAAATTCTTATCTTATCGATTTTCAGTTCCCCCTTTTCGATATATATCTACACTCATTTCTTTCTTGATTTTTTTTGCCTCGAGCACCTCTCAATATCAGTTTTCAAACAAAGACAATTTTTTCCGATCCATGTTTTGCAAATTATGTTGTAAAATATTTTCCTTTTTTGCTTAAAACTTTATCCCCTTAACCTTATCTTACCAGGAAGGGTAATTTTATTATCATAATTGGAGGGGAAAAAATGTTTTTCTTTTAAACATTAAAATTGGTTAATTTAATGGTGTCACTAAACAAATTTTCTTCTTTCGGTTGTTATTTGTAACTTTTTGGTTGAATTTAGTAACTTTAGGGAAATAGACTTTTTCTTGCAAGCAGTGGAAGGGAATTTGTTTATTTGTTTCTCTATTTATATATATACGAACCTTAAAGTGACTCGTTTTTTCACTCGACTGGAGAGATCTGAATGTCCCCGATGAATCGGTCTCGGTTTTTGCTTTTCGTTTTCTCGAAAAGAAGTGGTGGTCGGTGAACTCGGCTCGGATAATTGTTTATCTACTAAAATCGGCTTTAGTACAGTCGACATGCTCGGTGGCTCCTGTACATTAACGGATTGATATTCGGACTCTGGTATAGGTAGGGCCAAAAGTCGTTTTCTATCCTCCATATAGAGCTCCAACAACTGATCAAGTTTAGTCTCGATATCATCGACCTGTGTAAAATTTAATCACGAAATATAAAATTACATTATACCTTTACCGGTAATGTTTCATAATCAAGTTACAAACATTTTCAACTCCAAACTTATTTAATCCGCTATTAAAACAATTTCTAGAAACAAAATTTCTCACCCCTGGTAAATAATTAAAAAATTCCAATTTCGGAAAATTTTTTCTTACCATAAAGTTGCGAATTTTACGAAATTAATTAATTTGTCATTTGTCGCCTAAATTATTGAACTTGGCGTTGATCTTTTTAGGAAATTCAATAATATTTATTTTTATACTATAATAAACATAATTTGTTATGACTCACCTGTCTCTCGATAGTGACAACTCGTGACGCTAAACTAGTTTTCGAAGCGTAGACATCTTTTGCTTTAGAACCTTGTTTTCCCAAAATTTGATCTAACCTGATGTGAGAAAAAGAATGTAAAGTTGAATAAAAAAAGATTTTTTCTATTTTTTTTTTTGAAAAACCAGGTAAAAAGCTAAGTTCAAAGCTCACAACGCGTATGGAAATTGCATGCAAGAGAAAGAGAACACAAAGTGCGATACTATCATATATATAAAACAAAGAAAAGTGCTAACATCAAAGAAAAATGTTTGCTAGGAAAAAATATTGAACAATTCAATTCAACGAGGAATTGAAGAAAAGTAAAAAATCGAGTCTGAAGAAAGTTTTACGCACTTTTTGAACTCCTCCAAACCTATTTTCTTCAAATTATTTTTGAATAACACTAAAAAAAAGAAAATACAAAAGGGTCCGATTTCTAAAAAGCAAAAGCTGTTTGTATTCATCAAATAGGATTTAGGGATTTTAGAACATAATACAGGGTTTTAATATTTATTTTCATAATTCTGTGATAATATCTGTGATAAAATTTGTATCAATAAATATAAATTTGAATAACAATTTGACTAAATTTGGATAATAAGTATAAATTTTTTGCGATTTCCGAAAATTGTTTGCGAAAAGGAGAAAATGGAAACAATTTTTGAAGGAGATTGCTAGAGAGATTGATAAAGAGAGAAAGAGAAAGTGAGAGAAAAATAAACAAGTTTCGACGTATGGAATTTACGTCGTGAAATTTCGAGTTTTGTTAAATTGAAGAGTTGTTGTTGTACGCGGAAAGTAAAAAGTTTTTTTTGAAAAAGAAAAATGTACTAACTCATCCCTGTATTATCCTGAAAGGGATCGATGCAAGCTCTCGAGTACCTCTTGCGAAATCTCGTTTCTCCTCAAAGAAGAAGAAGAAGAAGTAGAATGGGAGCATCGACGCGACGATATGACGATAGAAAGGATAACGCGGGTTGGCAAACAAGAAGCAAGGATTTAGCGTCAAAACAGGCTCTTGCTTCAATAAAAAAAAAATTATTGAGTTAGGCATTTTTCATTAGACGACAATTTTTCATGAAATATGATGAATACAATTTTAATCCGGGTTTCATTTTGTTGTTTCACATCATAATTTGGAAAAAAATTCATTTCTCTTTCAATTTGTGTGGACGATCAATTTATTCGGTTGCTAATCAGATTAACAGTAATTATAAAATTTCTAGAAAAAAAATTATAGCTTTACTAAAATTTTTTCATTTAAACCGTTTGTGACTGCGGCAAATATTTCTTTGTTTCACTCGGTTTCACTAAAAGAAAGCTAATTCAATATATAATACCAAAGATACGTTCTGATTAAAAATTTATTTATTCTAATAATGAATTATTTATCAGCAAATGCGTAAAAATTGTCAAGAATTATCGTAGTGAATGAAAAATTTGTTTACAAATGTACCAACACTGTTCTGTGTGAAGTACATTTTGCCTAATGTATTTTTTTTTGTTTTGGTAACGAAAAGAAGTTTCTAAATGAAAATTTCAAAGGGGATCTTTCAATTTAATAAGAGTGGTTTTCAATGAAACTCCGTTTCGTTGCGGAAACTCTTGTGAATAGAAAATTGAAAAATGAATTTAAAAAAAGCTGTACAAACTACTGGGTCATAATATACAGCGAAAGGGATTGTATTATATATTAATGGATAAGGGAGCGCATAATAAGAAAAAAAATAAGAGAAAGTGAGTGAATTCGAAAAAAGCTTTTTTTATTTGAATATTTGAATTTTTTGAAATTCGACGAAGGTACTCGAAGGGTGTACCTGAACTGAAGGTTTCGTACGCGATTCAGGAGATCCGCATGTCCCGAGCTGTATTGTTCGATCACATCCTTAACGTCATAGGGCTTTAAGGCTTCCCTGAATTTCTTCCGGGCCACAAAGTATCTCAGCTACGCACACATTTACTTTTTATATTTACTCGTTCACGATTGCATCTTTTGTCGTTTATATTTCTTTTTTGGAATTTCTATTTTATTTCAAAATTTTCTTTTTATAAAATAATTATTTGAAGAAAAAATTTCATTTTTACATTCTCATTACTAATGAGAAAGTATTGGATTTCTAGACCAAACGAAAATTTTTACTGAAACCTATATTTTTTATTTTATATAAATACTTTTTCGATTTTGATAATTAAAATTATTTAAATTTTTTGATAAAGCAATCGTAGATGCGGTTACGACACTTTCACAATAATGGATGCTGTAGAAAAGTAAAGATTGAGATTTACAAAGATGTTAGGTTAGAGTTGGAAGAAAACGGCATGCACACTTTTCTGGTCGAAATGGCATCGCAAAACACGACCAACAAATAGGCATTGTATTAATGTTATTGTTTTAATAAAAAGGCTTAAAAATCTATAATGTAAAGAAAAAAAAATGTAAAAATTATTATTAGTCAAGAGATTTCTTAAATTATTTATTAAATTTAGCTATTCATTGAATTAAATTATTAATTGCATTAAATTTTGTGATAATTTTATTTTTGAAAGAAGTTGAATCCTGACAATTTTTTTCTTCACCAAATGGGATCCGAGTTGAATTGTTTATTTAAGCCTTTTTATTGAAAATAGCCAGTACGTGAATGGATGGATTGATATGGAGTTGGAAGGAAAGAAAAAGTGAGATGGGTTTTTGCTATATATCCAAGCTCTCTCCTTCCAGGGATCTGCATTCAGTTCGTGATACAGTCCTGATGAGCTTGAGAGTTTATAAGCGCAGTGAAACTGAAAGGGTGGATGGGACTGAGCTTGCAGCAGATTGCAAGATTGGATCAGAGAGAGAGAGAGAGAGGGAAAGAATGAGAGTATTAGCATGGGGAAGAGGGAGAAATCTTTCTGGAGGATTTACTGGGAGGAAAATGAGCGCCAGAGAATTTGTCAGAGTTTTAGATTGTCAACTAATTTTGCACACTATTTTTGCAATCTGGCATACACTTGAAAATACATTCCCTTATTTCTAAAACAACAATTTTCTATATTCATTTAAAAAATTCTAATTGAAATCGTTTACCTTCCGAACATTTTTAATTATTTAAATTAATTTGAAATAATATTCTCGTTTTGTTTATTTTAACAAACTTGTTACAATTTTTAACGATTCAAATATGCAATTTCTTCTCGGACATGCATAAATGCTTCAGTTTTAAATTGTATGTATTCATTTTTAGAAAACTACATTCACAAACTCTCATTCCCGAACTCAAATATAGTGAAATGGATTAAATAAAGAATAGAAAGGGGGAATTTGGAGAGAATGGGCAACGACGAGGGGGAGGGGAGACACTGAGATACTTGTTTTTCTTATCAAATATTAGCTTTGATCTGATTAAATCTAATTTCAATTTGAAATTATACAAAGTTTATTGATTGGAATTTTAAATGGAAATGAGTAGACTAATGAGTTTAAAAAAAAGAGGAAAAAAGGATAAATATATATGTACAGAAATAAATGAAAAGAAATATAGGATTATTTCAATTTATTCACTTTTATTTCTTGAAAGTTAAATTAAGGATTTTAAAAAGTTTTCCTTTCGTGATGAGAAAAATTGTTTCGAGTCGCATTTATCAAGTGTGCGACACAAACGTGCGAAAGCATGAAATTTCTCAGATTTTCTACCCCACCCCCCCTCACTTAAAAAAAATTCACCCACTTTGATGAGTGGAAGTATTTGAGGTTGAAAATATAATATTTTGGTGTGATAGTTGTGAAGGATCAAGCAAGGGTACCTAGTTTGGATATTTTTCACGCGACCGAGTAGATCAACGTGTCCGGCGCTGTATTGCTCGATGACATCCTTAACGTCATAGGGCTTTAAGGCTTCTTTGAATTTTCGCCTGGACACGAAGTATTTCATCTGGTTGGTACGATAATCCATATTAAAATGATAATTTTTTCGCCCTATTTTTATTGTCTGACAATCGATCCTGCAGTTTTTCTTTAAATTAAATAATTAATCTTTTTTGTAAAGAAAATTTGTTCAAGTTAAAAGATCAATGACAATTTCTTGGTTCCCTGAACTTTTCAAGCTCTGAAAGATGCGATAGTAAAGTCAAAACGAGTTTATCGCGATAAAGTTTTCGAAAGTACCTCTTTTGAGTGTTCTTTATAATTAGTTGAGAAATTTCTGCTTTAAGGTGCATAATTCTGTGTTTTGCAGCAAGCAACATGGCGCCTTCATTTCCACTATCAGTTCCTTGTTAAGAGCACTCAGTAGACTGTGTCATTCATGCCTTTCAAACGAACCTAATTTTCTATTGTCAAACTGCGTACCATTCTTCGTCTTTTTTAATCATTCTAACCTTTTAATTTTAATCATTTCTATATTTCTAAATTTTTTCTAAATACTTAATTTGTTGTAAAATTTTGTTTTTACTGCTGGATCGATTGTTGACTGAATGTGAATTAAATAAATGATACGTTTCTTCTAGAGTAGAAAAAAATAAAAAAAACTGAAATATATATTTCTTTTGTTGAAAAAACTCACCTTTCGAATAGCCCTAATAGCACCTTTATGTTGATTTGTCAATTGAACACACCGCCGAGGTTCGTCGTCCTCATCTGTACAAAGAAAACAAAGGAAATAATTATCAATTAAAAATTGCTGTATCATGGTTTATTTTTCTTCGTCAAAATTCGTGCAGTTTCATCCACTAATTAGCATTATTCCTCTGCCTCCATTTCGAAGAATATAATGACTATTAGTAAACTATTTCTTCCTAATGACTTTTTTTCCGTAAATGAATCCGTTTGTAAAAAGTTTTTAGTGATATAAGTAGTTTTTCATCAGACTTCACTTCCAAATTGCCTTTACTTTCTCTATTATTCTTGTTTTCTTTCTTTTATTATTTTTGAATGTATTTTAAATAAATGTTTATTTAAAGAATTAATAAGTCAATTTTAGTAATCATAAATATAATTAATACAATTAATAAATCCGTGTGAAAATTGAATTCTATTGATGGTAGTCGTACTACCCAGATAGCACAACAATTTGCCACAAGTTTGCAGCAAGTTTGCATTGCAAACTTCGAAAATTTGCATGGCAAGTTTGCAGCAAACTTGCGGCAAGTTGTGAAATGTCCGCCTTGTGGCAAGTTTGCATGCAAACTTGCAGAAAACTTGCGTGGCAAGGTAAATTAAAATGTCTGCGCAGTAGTTTTATATGACATATAGAGCTGCGCACTACATTTTGTCACCTTCCCCAAGGGGGAAGGCAACATGTAACAAAATATGTACATTTTGAATACAAAAAAATTTTTTTGAAAACTTTTTAGAAAGTTTTTAAAGTTTTCAGCAAGTTTGTTACAACTTTTCTGCAAGTTTTCTGTGAAAACTTGTAGCAAGTTTGCATGCAAACTTGCCACAAGGCGGACATTTCACAACTTGCCGCAAGTTTACTGCAAACTTGCCATGCAAATTTTCGAAGTTTGCAATGCAAACTTGCTGCAAACTTGTGGCAAATTGTTGTGCTATCTGGGTATGGGATTGTAACTTTTTAAATATTTTACTTAATATTTAATAATTATTTTTTCAAGCCAATATTAGATTCTACTAATAGAATAAAAATACTACCTAATGACGAAATTTAATTTAGTGAAAATTAGCTACGGCGAGTTGATATTTTCATTTGTTAGTTATTACTGACTTAATGTACCGAAATTTACCCTCCCTGACAATTTAATCTCCTGAGAGTTATTCGTAAAGGCAATTGAGTTTGTGTTACTTTAAGGAGGCGCAGTTAACATCCCTTTAAATATTGACGTCCAGGAAGCAAAAAAAGAAAAATTTTCTTTTTAATTTTTCAAAGTATTTTACACAATTTTTAACATTTAAAAACTAAATTTTTATAACTCAATAATAAATAAGTAAGTAATGAGTAATAAATAATTAGTAAATAAGAATATAATATAACGTAAATAACAATAAAAGTAAACAATTAATAAATAATAATAAATTTATAATAAATAAATAAAGAATTAATTAAGTTTAAAAAAGTTAAAATTTTAAAAATAATATTTAAATATATTTTTGAAAGTAATAATCTAAATACTTTAAACAAAAAATTATGTTTTTTTATATTTTATGTGAAAGTGAAATATTGAGAAAAATGAGAGTAAGTGTAATAATTTGGCAGTCCTTAATATTGGTTTTATTTTCATTCCTATAGGGAAATGATAAATTTCTCTCAATCATCAAATATCGATAAAAATAGGATAGGAGGGATGGCGGAGGTGTTAATTAATGTTTTCGGTTTGAAGTAGTAGGATCACCTCTAAATACTTTTTGAAGTATGCAAATTACTTAATTCTAGTTTATGGCCGGTGGTACATGGAAAATTCCTCTTGTTAAAAAATTTTTTTAAACATATTTAATCTCCCTATATATGTTAGTTTAATGATTAAAATTAAAGTAGATAATTATCAGTTTTTGATAATTAATAATTCGTATTTAATAAATATTTTTTTCAATTATTTATTTCATAATTTATACCTAAATTATTATATTATACTTAGTATATTTAGAATATATTATACATTATACATTTTATACTATTGTCATATTTATTATATATTATATTCATTTATTGCATTTGTTTATTTGTTTCTTTCATCATTCACGAGCTTTTAACTGTGAAATATTTTATGTTTGTTACAAAAAATTAAATTTTAACTGATCATTATTTCTATTTTATAAATAATTTTGAAAAATCACTATGCGAGTACAAAGAAGAAAAACTTAAAAAAAGAAATAAAATAGATAAATTGCAAAATGAAATTTCAGACCATCAACATTTTAAGGGACGAACAGGCCTTTCTATAAATTTATTTATCTACGAAACATATCAGACATACAGTGGTAGCGTTCAGAGCTTTTCATTTGCCATGAAAAACGAGCATGTCACCTCTTTTCAGAGTAGTACAGTTTGAATGCTTTGATAGTTTTTCTTTTTTTAGTTTTAGTTTTAGTTTTACTTTTTCAACGAGTAAGCAAAAGTTATGGCTTGAAAAAAAATATATAAAATTCGGCAAACAAAATTCTCTTTCGTTTAAATTGTTTAACATACAAGTAAAAAAGATAAATATAGTATTTGCCATAAAAATATTTTTGATTTATTCTTTTTATATACCTATACCATAAATATTGTTCAGAAAATATATTTCAATTGTCTATTTTCGTGAATGATAAAATTTTGCAAGTATTTTTTGTTCTATAAAGAAAGTGATTTCTTTTTTGTATGTTTTTCCACTAAATAAGAAAATAAAAATTATTCAATTTAGATCATTTTAATGATAGTAGCAAGTAACAAAAAGGAAAAAACAGTAAAAGCAATAAGAAAAAGAATAAAGTAATAAAAAGTAAATAACTAAAAATTTACTTTAGTATTTTTCTTAGAATAGTCTAAATTAAATGTTAAATTTTGAATGTGAATAACAAGCTTCTGGAAACCATAATTTTTGCTTATTCCAGATTTCTTGGGTAAATTTCTCTAATTACAAAACTAGAAATTAGACAGCAATAATGCCAAACGACCAAAGCGTGAAGCAACTTAATGAGCGTGCATGCTAAAAAGCACAAAAACTTAATTACAAGAAAGCAAAAAAAGGAAAAAAAATTACTTTTAGCCAATTATGAAATACGAGAATCGTGATTTATATAGTTTTTTTTTGTTAACTTTTATACCAGATATTTTGATTTTAGATTAATCTTTTTCAAAAAATTTAAATTTGTCAAAATTAAAATCAATGAAATGATAATAATAATGATGATGCATTTTATGTATGTAATTTTTAATATGTCATATAATAGGGAGTTTAGAATTCCTATATAAAGTCTGAGGTATAATAATACGTACTCTAGAGAGAAATCCAAAGTGCGTGACTTGTGTGTAAATTTGATAAACGACTCACCCACATCGTACATTGGTACAATTTGGAGTGCTAATAAATCTTCAGTTTACAGTTAATGGTTTACAAGCAATTTAACTCTATATAGATCCATACACATTTCCCATGAGATTTTCCTTTCTGATTGCTGCTAAAAAACAAAACCAAAACAAACGAAAAAAGGTGTACTGTGCATACTTGTCTAAACAAAATGTTGACGTTTAATAACTAGAGAATGTTTATATGCAAAACATGCAAAAGTGGTAGGAAATTGTGACCGGAAAAAAAACAAAAAAAAACTGCTTGGAATGTAAATCAAAATTAATAAAAAATTATTGAAATGAATATAGGAATTGAAAGGACAAGATAGGGAAAATATTTTTGGTTTTTTAAAAATTAAGAAAACTAGTTAGGTTCTTCTTAAAGTCCTTTATTGGGCAAGAAAGAAAAATTACTTTTCTATGTCGAAAGATAGGAAAACTTGTTAAGGCCCCTTTTGTTAAAAATTAAGATTAAAAATTAAGCTTTTTAGAAATTACGGAAACTGGTGAGGTCCTTCTTAAAGCCCTTTTTCTTATTGAACAAGGTGAGAAATTTTAATTTTGTAACGTAGGTAAATTTATTTTTTTTATAAGAAAATAGGAAAACTTGTTAGGGGCGATATTAAAGTCTTCCTTTTATTGGGTCATGTGAAAATTTTTTCTTTTGTTGGAAATTTGGAAAACTAGTTAGGATCCCTTTATTGGACAAATTAGGTAAATCTTTCTTCTAGTCTTTGACAAACAATCAGGAAAGCTAGTAGAGCCCTTATTAAAACCCCATTTCCCATCGGAAAACAGGGAAGTTTCTATGCTATGCTACAAGTTAGGCCTATTTAAAAATTCGCAAAAGTGGGGAAATTTTTTGTTTTTTCTACCATGGTAGAAAGTAGAAACTGTATTAAATAGTTTAGCTCTTCTTAAAGTTTCATTTTAAATTAGATAATATAATAATAGAAACAAATAGTAAAGAGGATAATATAGAATGATAATAGAAAATAACAAAAATTTTAATAATTATTTAATTAATTAAAACCCAACTTGGTATATAATAAAATGTTTGACAAATTAAATATTTACTTGCAATTAAAAGTGAAATGTGAAAGAAAATGAAGTGCATAGTGCACGATAATTCGATTGAGTTAAACGAAACACGAAGAGTTTGTCTTGATGATTAAAAAAAAGAGAAGAGCGAAAAGAAAATAGTGTCAGGTTTGTGATGTTTAGTGAGGAAATACCTGAAGACTCGAGATGTACCGAATATAATCAATGATGAAGGGTCCTGAAAAGAAGCTAAAATAGTAGAAGAAGAAGAAGTAGAAGAAAGTAGAAGAAGAAAGAGAAGAGAGAAAAAAGGAGTGTTGCGTACTCTTTTCGGAAGTTGGAGATGCATTCGGGGAGGTTGGTGACCCAAGAAGTTCCGGCAGAGGGGGAAGCGGGGACACCAGACCAGCGAGTGCTAATGGCAGGGTCGAAGTTTCCCCTAGACGACTGATCAGTCCGTCGATGCGCAGCTCACGAAGTTCAAGGGTCGATGAAGATCTTCCAATTCGGCACTTTACTGCTTCGCAGGAAACATCCCCAAGAAAGCCTTGGTCAGTCGAATCAAATTCAGGATGGTATTCGACTCAAGATTGCTTCCGGTTTTTTTTTGCTTTCTTTATTTTCCATTTTTTTCTCTCTCTCTCTCTCTCTCTCTCTCCCTTGGGTTATCAATTTGATTCGGGTCACACGATAGGATTTCAAGTACAAGAAACCAAAGCGTGCGAAAAAACAAAACAACAAACTCACCAATTCTTTTGAAAAAACTTTTTTTCTTAATTTTCTTGTTATTTACTTTTGTCTGATATCTATTCATTTAGTTTATAAAATAACAAAATTGATATAAATTTTAATCAGTCATTTCAGATAAATTATTTATTTTTATAGATTTAACGATCTAAACTTGAAAATTATTATCTCGTGCAGCTTTCGTAATTTAATTAATAACTTTAAAATTAATTTTCTAATTACAGAATTTAATTAGTCAACGTTGAAAATATCAATAATTAATAGTTCTGGAGATATATAATTATTAAATTATTAATATCATCCTATACATGTATGACAAAAAATAATTACAATTTTGAACAAATATTATTAGCTTTTAATTAAAATAAATAGAAAGAAATATTATTGATTAGTTTAATAAAAATACTAGTTAATTGCACATATTTATAATTTGTTCCATAAAATTTCCTTTTTAATTTTGACTCATTATAGAATATAATAGGACATCAGACAATTTTTAATAAATAATTAATTAACAAATATGAAATTTTTTCAAATGAAGTGGTGAAAAATAATGCGCGCAAATTTATAATGTAGTAAATAAAAAGTAATTATTGAATTGGAAAAAAGAATTTATTCACATAAAAAAGACAAATAATATAAATAGCAATTAGCAACAATAAAATAATAGATTTAAAAAAGTAGTTATAAAATAAATCCTCTATATATGAGGAGGAAAAAATAAAGAATAATTAACAATAATAGTGAATAAATGAGTACAAGACAATTTATCAATAATAATAAATAAATTATAAAACAATTTTACGAATTAGGCAAATAATAAAAAAGTGATAATAGAACAAAAAGTATAATTTTCAAATGTGAAAGAAGAAAGATTGAGGATATATTAATTATTTTGCACAGAGATTGAGAAATCAATGAAAAAAAAGTAAATAAATTTACCAGCTGTGTTTGAAATATTTTTAGAAAATATGTGCATTATGTGACACACATATAATATTTTATAAATAGTTACCTGATTACGATGTTTGAGAATATCCATTGAAACATTAAAAAAAAACTATTTCCTCATACAATTTGTATATAATATGAAAATGTGTTTGTTTCATTTTGTTTCAATTTTTTTTTTAAAGAATAATAAAGACTTTGCGCTTCAGAGCCCCAAACAAGCACAATGAGAAATTAAAAAAAGAAGTCATATTTTTTCTTTATACCAAAAAGAAAGAAAATTACGAATATAAAAATAAATTATCGAGAAAATAATATATTATACTAATTTATTATTGTAAAAACGATTCTACAACACAGTCTAAAAAAAATTTTGTTTATGTTAATATCAATACTGATTAAGCAAAGTACGAAATTGAAATTATACTGAATATAATTGTATAATATATATAAAAAAGCAGTTTTTCAGTTTTTGCTGCAAATATAAAAATAATTAACTATATTTTTAATAATAATGTGTGCTTGTGTTATCAACATATATAGAGAATTGTTATGTAGAAAATAGCATTTGCATTAACAACAATAATTACGTGTTTTTGAAAATAAAAAAGACAGAAAACTTTACGAACTATATAGCTATAATATGACGTAATATAAAATATTAGCGCTTTCAATATTAAGGACTGTCACAACTTTTAAAAATGCGTGTCTATTTAAAATTTTCTTTTTTGTTCTATATAACTTTTTGTAGTTTTTAATTTTTGGTTTTTCAAATTTTCAAATTAAGGGTATTAAATGAATTTTTTTTATGTTTAAATGAATTTTATATAGGTACTATTTTTATAATTATTATTTTGTTTATTTTATTTTTTAATTTTTATTTACTATTGATTGGTTTTTTTGCTTCCACGTGGAGGAAGCTTTGTATTTTTTTTGTGGGCTTAGTAAAATTTTACTTACCGTCGGAATTTTTCTTTAATAACGCAGTCTCTGTCACTGAATCCTCCGAGTAGCTTGCATTTATTCCAGACACCGTTTCGTTGTTATGGTGACCATTATTATTGTTCATTGTAGTTGGAGCACCTGAGCATAAAGAAAATATTCTATTATCATAATGATAATTATTCTAATAGCATTAATTATTATTATTATTATTATTATTATTATTATTATTATTATTATTATTATTATTATTATTATTATTATTATTATTATTATTATTAATTAATATATTATATTAATTAAATATTAAAAATAATAATTTTTAATATTCATATTTCGATTATTATTAAGACAAAAAATATGAAAATATTCGACTTGAAATAATTTTTAAAAGGTACATTTTCAACCTTTAAACGATTTTACTATTTAGAAGAAAGATAACTTTTTTAAGTGTTGTAAAAGGAGAAGTTTAAGTACTAAACGACCTTTTTATTGCTAATAAAAAAGGTTGTCAACAATATTTCGCAAGTTGCGATTGTAACTGAAGTTAATCAAGATCCTGAAAGTTATAAACCTTTGCGATTTAATTTTTTTTCAAACAAAATTTTAAATGAATGATAGGATTTTAGAGATAAAATTTTTGCAAATTAGAAAGCGAATTTTCCTCTTTCTTATTATTTTTTTCCTTTTTCGGGTTTTTTTTGAAAAACTTACCTAAGTTCTCAGCTGAGGATATAAAATCGGTGAAACCCCTCGTAACGTTTCCTCTACTTGTGTAACTTGGATGAACTGATTTGTATAAATTGGGACTGTGTAATGATGTACTCTTGTGCCTTCGAATCGTTGGAAGACGACTGACGAATGATGCGTTTTGCTTAAAACTAGAAGATACTCGACTTCTACCATAAAAAAAGATAAATAGAAAAAAGTAAAACTATAAGAATCTTTAGGATAACGATCTTTGTTGTTATACTTTTGAAAACATTTCCAATTATTCTAGATTGTTAGAGAATAGAAAATTGTTTTTGTTTTCAATTATTTTAAGTGGAAAAATAAACTTTGTAAAGTTATTATTTTAAATTTAGAATTGTTTACAAAAATGTTATATTTTTTTAATAATTTTCATTTAGCAAACGTTTTTTTTGTTAATTTTAAAAAAGTTGGAGAGCGCTTAGGAAAATAGAAATAAGAGTGAATAAGTGTGGAAGATTGAGTTACCCGGGCGGGCTGGGAAGTGGAATTTGATGAATTTTCCAAGTGGCAACACTTGCACTCTGTTCATCAGCAGCGTAACATCGCCAAAGCGCTTGAATGAGACTGGCGGCCGGCTGCCTCCTTCGTATCATGTGCTTCTGCCTCTGTTGCTGCTGGACCTTCAGAGCAAATCCCGATCCCAAGATGCCCTGTAAAATACAACCTCGTTATCTCTCTGAGACTTCTCTTCTCATCCTTCTTTTTCCTCTTCTTCGTCTTCTTTTCTATATAGATTTTTTGCGTCTTGCTTTTGACCTATACGCCTCTTGATCTCTTTGTCCTATTCTCAAAAGACGACCAACAACTTGGGGTTGAAACGAGGGTTGGTATATATATCTGAAATTCCCACTACAATAAAACTGAAAACGACTCGAGTGTTGGTAAACATGTGTTTGTTCGTGTGTGTGTATATTATACACTGATGATAAATTTCGGAAGAGAGGGGTGGTTGGAATAAAAAAAAGAAATGTACTCGAGGGTAGGAAAAACAAGAACAAAAAATATACACTTTTACTCAATTGTCGTGTAAATTAGCATAATTAACTGGTTGTTCCATTTTTTTTATTACTTTGCATTGCAATTGAAACTTACTCCTTTTCTCTAAATCTAAATTAGCAAACAGTTTTGGAATGCTTTTTTAATTTGACTTCTTGACAGTTTTTCAAAAACTGCTTTATTTAATCCACGGTAAATTCTTAATTGGTTACTTATAGTTCATAATTTTTACTTATTATTTTTGTGCTTTATTTCACGTTAGGCTAGTCCAAAATATAGAAAATACTTACAGCTGGTAGGGCAAAGAAGGATATTCCGAGTAGGGCACAAAAGGATGCGATGATCTTTCCCTGCCAAGTTTTTGGAACAGCATCACCGTAACCGACCGTACATAACGTGATCTAAAAAGAAATGAAAATTTTTCAATTTGATTGGAAACATTGGAAAAGGAAAAAATTCTATTGACAAACTGAACACACAGATGTTACTTTCTTCTTAGTTTATGAATATATTAAGATAATCAAGTTTTTTCTTCTTTCTTTTTCTCTCTCTATTTTTTTCCCTACTCGTGACGTCAAAACCCCCAACACGACCCAAGAAGTTGTTGCCTAAGGCTATGTTGCTTATTGTCTGAGACAAGCTCTCTTCATACACAGTTTTGTTCCTTTCACTGTTATTCGCTAAATTTAGAATGTACTCATTGCAAAATTAAATTTTCTTTTCCTTAAACTTTACATTTTCAACATTCAACATCTCACTGCGTTAACAACACAGGTCATAATTTCCAATTATTTTTAAATGCACTTTTATAGATATAATATAGATAAAAGTGTATAAAATGCGCGCATTGTGAATGATAATTTATGTTTTATGAATAAAAGGGGAGAGAAAAATGTGTGTCTTGTCAGGCACTATGTAAATGACAAATTTGCAAAGACAGAAACATATGGGTGCATTATGGTTATTATTATTTTCGTCATTTTTATTATTATTATTATTATTATTATTATTATTATTATTATTATTATTATTATTATGACTGTAGTTTCTTGTACATCATCTTTTGTTATTATTATAACCATTGTTTATTTCTTTATTAATTGTTACTATTGTTTATTTTTACCAACATTTAAAATTAGCATTAGTTAAAATTACCGCATTAAAAGTACGGTTAGATCGCAAGTTAACAGTGTGGCTGGTGAAATTTATCACTAATAAAAAATTATTATCATTGGAAATGAAATGTTAAAAATAAAGTTGATTACTCACCACTCCCCACCAAAGTGCTTTGGCAAAATTATCAAAATGTACATCATCCTTTTCGGCGAGGAAAACCAAAAAACTGGCAAATATTAAACCAAGAAATCCAATGTATAAAGTTGTGATGAGTTCCTAAAACACATTGTAAACAAAACTTGTTAGAAAAAACGACACTTGTTCTTTTCTTCCCACTTTTTTTCACAATATTTTTTCTCCTTTCATTTTTGTATAACCCCCTACCCTTTTTTTGTTATCCTGAATAGATGCGATTCTTTTTTTTTATTTGAATATAATTCAAGCAGATTATGAAACGCAATTTCCGCTATTGACAATTTTCGATTTGAATACTCAATGAAGATGTATTTCCTTCTCGTCACGTGTTGCCTTCAATATATATATATATATATACATATTCATAGAGGTTTAATAGGCAAACCGCAATTCTATATTTATTCTCAAACTTGACGTTTCTCACTCTCTATATATATTCCACACCTATTTTTGGGATAATATACTTTTCCGTTCATTGCTTCACGTCTCGGACTCTAATTTTATGGAGTCAAGGAAAATTCACCCCAGACACGAATAATATTCGTTCGATTCTTCTTCTTCGTTTTTTCCCCTCTTATTTTACTCGACTCCTCGTGAAAAGAATAGGGAATTTAAATTCAGCTCAGTTTCTTTTGTAATTTATAAAATTTGTCTTGAAAAACAAATTATTTTTTTATACACATAACAAAAATTTATTATTTTATTCATTAACAGTGCGACGAAAAGAAAATTACTTAATTTTATTGAATATATAAGATTTATTATTTTTCTTATTATAGTTTTTGAATTATTATTTGAAATAATAAATTATAAAAAATGACATATTTAATAAATTACCTGACGATGTGCGTAAACGACACTGCCGAGAAGTTTCCATGTCCCTCCGCGACGATCCATTCGGACCATTCGTAAAATTTGGAAAAAACGAAGTCCCCGTAATGCGCTCGCTGCAAAAACTCCGCTGCTTCTCATTGCAAGAACAACAATACTTGCGAGAATTGTTATAACATCTAAAAAAATGTTTTAAAAAGATGTTAAATTTTTGAAATCACAAAGTTTTTCAACTTATAAAAAAATGTTGAAAATTTACGAAAGAAATGAAAAAGAAATTGGAAAATTATAATAAAAGTTTAAGTATATTAATTAAAGGTTTTTAAATTATAATGTTTATTATAGAATTAATTAAGAAAATTAAAATTATGATATTATGAATAAATCTTTTGTTCTGTTTTAAAAATAAAAGCATTTTAAAACAAATCAAAATATTTCTGAACAATAAAATAATACTGGAAACGTTACATTTTCTGCGGGTTACAAAATAGAGAAGAGAGAGAGAGAGAGAGAGAAAGAGGTTCCTGTCTAATTAGCACTCGAAAAGTCGCTACTATAATTGCAATGAAAATCCCTTTTGTTTATTTATTTAGCCAATTAGTCTGGAATTTGTGTCACGTTCAATTTTGAAAATATTCATTAGAAATAACCTTCCCCCCTTGTTTTGTAAAATAACAAAATTATTATAATTAAAAAATTATAAAATTTCCAACGAGATTAAAAGTTTGAAAATTGTAATTTACAAACAGTTAAATATTCATCATCTCTTTTTTTTTGTTCCAAAAAATTCAAAGTATTCTGTGGTTGAAAATTTTTTAAGTATGTAAAGAGAATTTTGATAATTAGGCAATTAACACATTTGAAAAATGAATACACTATTTTGCTATTTATGCATTTAATTTTAATTTGAAAAATGAAAATTTTCTTAGAACATTTTCTTTTCTTTGAAATGTGTTTCTGAAAAATTTATTTTTTCTTTATCATCTTGAGAAAAAGGGAGAGACAAAAAAAGATTAATAAATTAGTACGTCGCATGAGGAGAATAATCATATCAAGTAGAGGAAATTTTTTCTCGTCATTATTAAGGATCTATTTTAAAATCCTTCAAATAAGAAATTCTTGTCATGCAATAAATGTAAAATCGATTTTAAAAGTCATACGGTTTCGTTTTTAGATGACATACTAAGTGGAAAAATAATTGAATATGTTAAAAAAAGAATTTCTCCCGAGAAACAATGCATGAGAAAATTAGAATCGGAAATTTAATTTATTCAGTTTCCATTCTAAAAAAATAATTACAAATAATACGGTCAATAATAATAATAGTGAGAATAATAATTCTATAAATAATAGTAATAAAAAAAGAAAATTAGAAAATAAAGAAAAGCCACTATTATCTCGCAATCTTACCTGAATTTTTCACCTAAAATTTAAAAAATTTAAAAATGCAATTTCAAAGATGTTTCACTTACCGATGATACAAAAAGGTCTTCGGAGAAATTTTAATCGGCCAATGGCCGTTTGGTACCTCGATCGACATCCTGAGGACCATAATCTGGAAACCAGGAAAATGGCTACAAGCATTGTAAAAAAAAGAAACATAATGTATTTCTAATGGAAAATGATTATTTTATATTTTAAATTTAAATATGAATCAAAAAAATAAAATTTCATGTATAAAACGTAGGAAATATTCTGTCGATGGAAAGAAAAAAATGTTTTATATTGAAAGAAAAATTCTTATTTGATTTCATGATGATGATGAAATTAGGAAATTAAATTTAACGAACACATTGATTTTCTTACCTAAAGATAAATTCGACAGCAAACCAGACGACAACTACCATTTCCATGTAAAAAAGTAGAACGCCAGCCTCGTCTTGGTATTCGTCTATAGTACTGAACACGGAGAGGACCAGACAAGTAAAGACCATACAAAATCTAAAAAAGAAAAAATTCCAAGAAATTTTTATTCTTGAGAATATTTTCAAAATTCGTTTTATAAACATTTTGTAAATATGACACAGAAATGGAAATTGAAAAGAAATTTTAAAATTATTTATGCTTGAAAATATTTTACAAAGTACAAAAATTGTTCTTTTCGTTCTTTTCAGTAGTTTCGAATTATTCATAACTCGTAGTGGAAAATTGTATATAACACAGTTTCTTTTTAATTTAATTAAGAAATTTTTTGTAATTAAACTCTAATTAATTGTAATTAAAATTCCAATCGAATATCCTCTCGCAACTTGTTACTTTTTTTCAATTAATTAATTAAGTACCTAATAATTATAATCAGTAATTTTTGTAAAATTGTAACTTGTTTACTGTTTTCTACTTCTTTTGATTTTTTTTATTGTGCTTTGTATTTTATAGAAAAGTTTTATTTTTTCTTTTAATATCAATATTTTTCGAAGGAAAATCGTCTGCAGGGAATTTCTTTAACCAATAATTTTCAAGTTCTCATATAAGAGAGACAGTTTTATTTTACGTCCCCTGTCAAATCTACAAAAAGATCTGAACAATAAAATATCTACCGAAGATATATTGTGATTTTACATGAAAAGATAGTTGAAAACGATAGAGGGTAGATTCTGTATGATAACATTAGACCCGCAGTATTTGATAATTAATTGAAACTATACCATTTCTATATTACTTGAAAACTTTTAAAACATTTTCACTGTTATTAACTTTTTGAATATTTTAATTAAAGATAATGTTAAAGACCTACTTTAAAATAAAGTATTATAAAATAATTATAATAAATTTTTATTTTTCTATTTATATTTTATAAATTTTTTTATATACTTATTATTATTATAATAATTGCTCATTAATTAAGAATGATAGATAATTTATTCTTTTTTTTAGATAATAATAAATAATTTCTAAAAATTCAAGTGATTGAAAATGGTAGATAATTAAAAAATTTTTAGTGGAAAAGAAATTGTTATAAGTTTCTTAAAATTGTTTCTTTTTGAGGCAATCTATATTGTAGGATTTTTTAAAAATGTCCAATGGAGAATAATGAATCGAGAAAGACAGAATTAGAATAGGAATTTTAATTCCCCAACCCAATGGGAAATTTACAACTGGCGTAGTACTGCGCCAGCACTGGCAGCACTGGCGGCAAGGCTGAGAGCCAGCACTGGCATGGCACTGGGATGATAACGCCGTCTGGCGCTGCCGAAGTACTGTCTGTCAGTGCTGCCAGACAGCGCTGGCGCAGCACTGGACCAGTGCTGGCTGAGAATATTGCCGCAATAAATGCCGTATTGTTATTAATTAGTCGTAAATTAATAATTATAAATAATTTAACAACAAAATGGTAAATAATATTAATAAATAGTTATTATTCATAAAATATTTCTCTTCTTAAAGAAATTGTATTAAAGATGGAGACTAACAATGGATATAGTAAATGAAGTAGAAAAAAATTGTTTATAACATTTAAAAATTAAATAATAAACAATTACAGTAAGTGTGCATTAGTTTTTCATATTTTAGTACCTAACGATTGGAATCAAGAAATATCGCAAACCTATGAAAATAAACAAAATTGCTGACGAGGGGAATCGAACTTACGACCTACGGACTAACTGACTAACGCTCTAACTACTATGCTAACGACACATGTGTACAGTAAAGTATTAATATCTCAGTATCATTCAGACATACAATTATTGAGTCAAAGATGAGACAAAAATAGGGATACGTTAGAAATAATAAATTGAAATAAAATAAATTAAACTAAATTTTTAAAAATTAAATTACTTTACTTATTGCATTTAACATTTTATGTAATTCTTAAATTACGTGGTAATTTTTTAATAATTTTTTATTCATAGTAAGAAGTATAATAGTATTTTAATAGGAACCAAATTATTATTGAGATTAAAGTTTAAATTTTGTTTATAATTTTAATTTGTTTAAATAATTTATTATTTACAAAATTAGACAATTGTGTTAAATTGTTATTATTAAATTTAATAAGAATAAAAAATGAACAACCAAAAAGTAAAATATTAATTTTTTGAATAAATTTATATTTATAAACATTCATAAACTTTTTTTATAATTTTTTTCAAGTTTATGTCAAAAAAGCAATGTTGGCAAAGAGCGTTGTGAACAATTTTTCTATACTCAGCCAGCACTTGCCGCCGTGGCTTGTCCAAGCTTTGGCGAAACAAAAATTCTGTACTGCGCCAGCACTAATTGTCGAGGCTCGGCTATAATACGCCGAACAATCGTCTGAGTACTAAACCAGTGGTGAACATCGGCACTACACTGGCATTTCCCATTGGGAATCTGCATAATTTGAGAATTTTATTTTTATGTCGTCAAGGCACTTTAGGGATTATTTATTATGTTAAATAATTTCTCTAAATTCTCCGGAGTTAATTGTCGTGAAATTGTAAATGGAGGAATAATAATGAAATTCCTTTGATTTATATATCTATATAAAATTTTTATCTAGGGAAATTCTTTGATGAAATTCAATGATAAATTATATTGATAAAATGCAGTCTCGAGAAATGCCGGAAACATTCTTTTGCGTTTAATGATCAGAGTGCCACGCATGACTGGACTAAAGCAATTTTGATTCTATTTGATAATGCGTTACTCCTGCAAGCTCAGTAACATTTCATCTCATTTACCGTTATATACACGATGCGTCATATTGGATTTTGAATTTTGATGTAAAAGCTATCCGTCGCTATTTATAGTGATCGATATTACTGACATTTGTACACAACAAGGTTATTCTATCGCAAGTCGAGAGAGAAAGAGAGAAAGGGTCGTGTGCCAAATGGAAACAAGTGGTCCGTGATGCGAACGATAACAGATAAAAGAACAGTGCAACAGAAAAATGGAGAAAATTTTCGTAAAATGGTCAGTGGGAGAAGAAAAAAAAATGGAAAAAAACTTTTCCTATAAAAAATTGACAGGCTGTTATCTTATCGTTGAAAGCAAAATCGAATAATTTTTATAAATATGATGAAGATGAAAACTTGTTTTGATAAACTGGAGAATTTATCCTTATTGTTGATAAATATCATGGTTTCTTAGCTAGTAACGTTTTTACTTAGTAAAAATACCATCCTTACTTTTTATCAGGTTTAAATTATATTAAAAGTTGGTTTCTGATTATTTACAATTGCTTTTGTCATTTTGAAATTAATTCAAATTTTCCGCTTTTAAGCTACCTTCCATTAAGCACGTTCTTATCTTCATTAATTAAAATACAATTTACCTTAATTTTCGCTTACGCACGATATATAATAGAAGAGAGGGAAATCTAAGTATCTAGCAGAACAATTTTTCAATATATAATTCTTTCTTATCAAAAAAAGAAAACCAAATTCTACATAAGTTACTAGAACTTGAAATTTATTGCGTGATATGACAACCTTTTTTGTAATGAAGAGAGGTAGATTATATCTTTAGTATCGTAAAGAAAAGAAAAGAAAAGAAGTAGAGATTAGAAACTTTTTTCTGGAGCACTAGGAGAGAAGAAAAATGCATTGTTATAAAAAATTGTTATTAATTGTAAAGATTACATTCCTCCAGTGGTAGATAATATTCTTTCTTCCCTGCATAAAATTTTTGGGGTCAATTTCTCCTTCGAAAGTGACTGTGCTTTTTTCTCCCCTATTTCCGACGGCATTGCGATTGACATTAATGATTTATGGTGACGTAATTATTATGTTTAAATCCTGGAAGTAAAAATGAAAAACAATACTTACACTATCATGTGGTAAGTCACAGCATAAATGCCACGGGGTCGTTCGAGAAAATTATAAACACGGGCTTGGAGTCGACGATAGCGGGCATCGCGACGAGTCGCCCGATAATTGACCGGGCGTCCCAAAAGTGACATCCGCGGAGCTGCCAGACGTCCACCTGCGCCGCCGCTCCTGCAAAAATAATAATCAAAAAGTACTTGTTAATTTGGAAAAAACAAAAAGACGAATTGAGAAAGTTGTATAAGTTGGGTCTTTCAAATCTTTTCAAACTTGTACAATATCACATATACTATAATATAGAATAGTCGTATAATGACTAAAGGAGAAAGCACTTTGTAGAATTAAATCCCCTCTTATGTTTATTTAATATATTTCAAAATGGTTTTCGATAATTAACACCTTTTATGCCTCATCTGTCATTCAAAGAAAAAATGCTAAAGATTCAATTTCTTCTCTTCTTTTACTGCCACGAAACTTTTTCATCAAGTTGAGTGCTTCTTTCGTGTATAGGGTTTACATACTGGATTTAGAAATTTTTTGCTTTTTTTACTTTTAAACAATGAAAAAATTGGTCAAAATTTTCTTTCGAATTACTTACTATTTGGTATTTACTAATAAATATTAGTCAACTGCTAATTACTTGCATAAAATTGTCTAATGAATTGTTTTCGTATCAAGATACAAAATTATTGGGAATTTTTATCAATTCAAATTTCCAAAGTAAATAAAAGAAACTAAATTTTAGTTAAGAACAAAATTGTTGTCTCTCCGGAGATAATATTAATGATTGTCTGAATTACACTTTTGGGAGTCGTATATATAATTCACGCAAGAGATTTAAAAATATAAAAAAAAGAAAGATGTTAAGAACGTTAAGCACGTTCGCTTCTATCAGTCAACATAATCTTCTTTAGACGCGAATTTTCCAGTCTGATGGAAATATTCTATATTAGAGAACTCTCCTTTTTATGAAGTGCCATAATCCTTGATCATTTTTTACAGTAGTCAGTACGGCTAATATAATCTTTTTCCCGTAAGTCGCTGAGATTTTTCACTCTTTTGACAGAACAAAAAAACAACGTTTATTTTTATATTTCGTACAAGTTAATTCAAACCTAATTATAATACAATTGGAATTTTGTTTCAAAACCACGTCATTTTGATCTTTATAAAAATCTGCAATTCATAATAGTTGAGCAATTCATCTGAAATTAAAGTCAAGTAATTATTGAAAATTCTAACTCAAAGTGCTGATAATTAACTGTACCAAGAATTAATTTTATAAGAACAATTAGTAATTGAATCGATTGTAATTAAATTATCCTAAAACTGAACCTACTTTTTTTTGTATTAGTAATTAGTAAAATTTGTATAAAATGATGAAGAGGCATGAAATTTGGAAATTGTTCGCAATTAGTGTGAATTTAATCACTGTCAAGAATTTATTGCTGAAAATTGTGAATAGCTCTTTGCAGTCGAAAAGTGAAATTCCCTCGACATGAATTTTTATAGAGTAAAAAGCAAAAGATGAGAAAATATAAAGGATATAAATCTCGATCCTATCGCGTCGAATTAGAATTACGTCGATCAAATGTCATCAGCTGGAAACTTTACTCCAATTCAATTCAAAGATTTGTTCGGTTATATGGAAATTTAGTGATTTGGGTAAAGCCCGAGGACGTTTGGATTGAAATTCGAAGATCGCAGTTTTCCGAGGTTCCACTGACAATCGTCTGGCATTGAGCCATGGGACAGTCAGAGGATGTGTCGTTCACTTTTTTTCTCCCTTTTTTTGCTCATTACATTTTATTTTTCTTTTCACTGTAGAGAGATATTCCATGTATCAAGACCGCGTCCTCTCATCTGCATTTTGGATCTCTACCTTGGCTCGTTTTTCGCCTCATTGCGGTTTTTCTACTTTTCCTATAAATACACATACACACTTGTCTCCCGATAACTTTTTCCTTTGGAATCGTCGTGTCCATCACCTTGAAATTCTCTTACGAGGCGACCCTCTGAATATTCCAAGAAGCAAAGCTTTAGGGAGCTTTCTTATCTGTTGTGAGAAAGGATCACACGAAAAGCCTTGCTAAAGTAGAAAAATGCTGATGTTTTCCCCCTTTCGTTTTTTTAGATCTCCCGTAGTCGTTTGTATTCTGATTTTCTGGTGCGGAATTGACGAAGTGTAGATTTTGGAAAAAAAAATTTATTTATCGGTTCCATTTTTCATTTGTGTCGAAATTTTTTTTTTTAGGTTTCATAAGTTTTGTGTTATGAAGAATTTTTCAAGCTTTTATTATTTGTTACTTAAATGAATTTGTAAACGGTAATTTTTTGAATTTACAGTTAAAAATTATGGTACTGATAACAACATAATTCTAGTGCTTTTAAGAAATGAAAATGTTAAATTTTGAAGAAATTATGGATTAGTTTCCTCTTCTCTAATACTTATTGAGGATTGACATAATCCAGTGTGTTGTAAGTAGGGGTCTTAGGGCTCACAAAAGTCATAATCGTATAAAGTTTATTTTTATCATTTTACGTCAATTACGTTTCATTTTCTCTTTCGTAGAGGCGGATAATCAATTTAGCAGTAAACGGAACTTCCATTAGTTTCTTATCCGAGCAACAGAGCAACATAGACTCCATTTGCCACACCCTGACTCTAATCTGAACTAGATGGGAGATGAAGGAGAGGGAAAGTAGGGGGTTGATTGGAATATCATGATCCTTTCCCCCTGAGGAAAAATTTTCGTGGCGCACCTAAATACCGATAGGTTGCCAATTTTTTCTGTTCTGCAAATTTCTTTTCTTTACTCTACTTATCCAAAACTGAAGTTTTGCTTTTTATTTATTTTTCTATTCTATTTTTTTTCATTTAATTATCTTCTTTTAAATCTTTGTCATGAGATAGAAAAATAGGACAACTGTAGCAAATTTGTGTCCAAATTTTTGTTGACCAAAATTTATGTTTTACATTATCAATAAAAGTTTGTCGTATTTTTCGATTTGTCCAAATGAAATCAATTTTCCGCAGGGCATTAGGAGACATGTGGTGGAAAAAAAATCCATCCATCATCATGTAATGATATAGGAATGGTTTTATTTTCGAGTGGATGCGCGAAATCAGTACAAAAAGAAATTGATACATAAATAAATATACATCTGTACATTTCGATGGATTTACGATACATGTATTGCTTTTCCTTTCACATGAATATCAATTATTTTCAGCATCACAGTGAATCATCTTCATTCAGATTTTCTTTTCCTTTGATAGTGTATGTGTATTTCAGAACCAAAAGTCTAAGAAAAGTAACTTGGTGCAAGTTGAAACTTTCTTAAGAAATGCAGGAGTTTATGAGCAAAAAAAAAAAAAAAGAGAGAGAGAGAGAGAAAACGGCAACAGCAACAAAGCATAGGGCAGAGTCAGAAGTTTCGAGTAAGTTCACTCGTTGAAAAACGCTCTTTTGCCAATACACGCGCTACTAACATTACCAGCTACATAAGATCGTTTCCTTTTCTTTGATTCTTTTTGCATTATTCTCGCAAAAGCAGCATAAGAAAATGGGGGAGGAAAATAAGGGAGAAAAATAAAAAAAGGTCTAAAAAGAAAAAAAATAAAAGGCGAACTCGAAAACCTTTCAAGGGTTCTTAAAAGGTTTCTTCGTATTCTAACACAATCATATTTTTTCCGCATGTAATTTTCTCAATAGGCACGTTTCTAGTTTTTCAAAAAAAAGGCATGAATTGACTTCAAAAGAAGTTTCTTATTCTCTCTCTGAAATAAAACATCTATACAAAAAAAGAGGTTTTAAAAGTCCCCTTATATGTGGTTCTTTAGAATTGTAACTTGTGTGTGATTATTTAACTCCTTGACAATAATTATTCTTTATTAGTATCACAAACGACAGATTGTGACCTAATGGCAATGGGGTGAAAAATTCTCTTGCATAATTGTTCTAGTACTTTTATTTTTATCAGATTGTAACTTTCTTCTTTTTTTTAATGAAACAAGTTTCTGTAACGTTTGAAAATACGAAGCCAGTGCTATTTTTAAAAGTACCATTGCTTTCAAGTGTCCTTGTTTAAGAGTTTTATTGATTGCAACGAGAAAACAATTTTTAATTAGAAAAAAAGATGTTTTTTGTTTTTTATTTATTTGAGAAAATGGTTTAACGAAAAATATTTTTATTACAAATAATTATTAATTTTTTGAACTACCATTATTTCCGATTTAATTGTACTATTTTATACAATTTTATAAAATACAATGTAACCATAAATGCTAAATAAAATAGATAAAAATTGGAAAAACAATTTTTATTTTGTGTTTTATAAATAAATCAGTATTGCATTCTCGAATTTAACTATAAGTTTGCAATCAATGCGATTCTCTTGATTTCGGCAAAAGAATCTCTTGATTAAATGAACTTTTCCGTTTAATTAAAATTTCAACTGTTTGATTAAAGCTCGAAATCTGTATCAGTGAAATTCCACTGAAGATCAGTGAAATTTGACTGAGACTCAGTTACTATATTCTCGCGATTTCAATAAATTGAAATTTTACTGAAAATCAGTTAAAAATTACTTAAATATCAGTCATTTTTCACTGACTAGTCAATTAAAAATTAGTCAAAATTTCTGTCACACATATTAAAAATTTTAGTTACTTTTCAGCCAATCAGTGAAAAATTAAAATAATACTAGTTTTACTAAAAATACTAGTAAAAGTAAAAACAATATATTATTAATAATAATAATTTTTTTAAAAAATTTTTTTAGGATATTAAATTAATCTCTAATTTCCTTTCATTTTTGTTGGACATTATGTAATCTATTTTAATGAAAATAACTTTATAAGCTTAAAAAAAGGAAAAAAATTGCATGATGAATTGAACTTGTAACCACACTTTGAATTCATAAATTTAAAGAGACAAAATATTCTTAATAGTCGCCTTGGTATATGAATAGAAAGTAGAAGGAAGGTTTTTTAATGATACAAATTCATCTTTTATAATAATATTCCTTAAGGATTTTTCATTTTCTTTTGAATCGTACTGAATATTTTTCAAGTTACGGAAATGAAAATTAGCAGGTCACTCACATTTCTTTAGTTAAACTCACTTTCTTTTATTATTTATTTATATACAAAAGGAGTCGGTATAAAG